TTTTTTCCGACACCAGCATGGATCAAACATGAACAGACTGTGCCTTGGAATGCATAACGAACTTCATTATGGCTTGGGCATGGGCGGCATGGATGCTCCGGCAAACAAATGCAGTAAATTGACTTTATCATGATGTTGGCATCTTACTTTTAATGTGGGATGTGCCTGTCGCTTGTAGAAACGGCCGCGGCAGAGCTGACTGCTTGGTCTCCAAATCTTTGTGGGCGCTTGTGCATTTCAGACCCTGCCACCGGAACGTAGGGCCCACATCAAGGCTCTGTGCTTGGATTTTAGTGGGACACAGCCAGCCGAGGGCTTCGAAAGCCACCATGTGGTACATAGATGTCGGGTGGTTTCGGCCAGCCGGTATCCAGCAAAGCAGCCACAAAGCAATGGATCCCCTTGCCGCGATGCTAATCTCTTGCACAAAGACGGACCTACACACTGCCCAAACCATCCCAAACCGTCAGTGCACGCAGTCGAGGTTGATGAGTTTTGAAGGTTGCTGCTCGTGTAGTGTAGTTCCCTGAACCAGTGTCTACACTGGGGTTAGCACATTTCCTGTTGTGCCTGGGGCGAGTGAATCCGATAGCAAAGCCGGAAAGGCCATCGAAAACTTGCATGAGTAGCTTGAGACTGCTGCCCGTGGTGAGCAAGCAGTTGAAGCCATCAGTCGTTGCTCGGGCATAGCAGTGTTGTGGGGCGAAGCAACCCTCTTCGCTGAATCCGCATCCACCGAAAACGCATAATGTTGGTTTCAAGATGCTGTTGCGGTGTACGTAATGGCACCAGATTCCCAGCACGCAGCGCTTTGAACAAGTTCATTCCGCACTTCTCGGTAGGAGTGGAGGGACCTGGTACCGCGACCTGCGTGGCAGGGATATGATGCCCGGCTGACATAGTTTCGTCAAGATGCGGAATTCCCTCGAGATGCAGGGTGCGCAGGGCTAGCTGACAATTTGACAAGATGTGACTGGACTTGACTGCACGGCATCGCCTGGGTTTGTGGAGTCCATTTGTGTGTTATTCATTGCCAACTTCCTCTTGTTCGTCAACCTTGCCCCGAAGCCTTGCCCCGAAGTGCCGGTGTTGCAGAGTGTAGTGCAGTGTTGGCTTAAGGGGCGGATTCTCCAAGTTGGTGGTGGGCAATGCCGGCATGCTTCTGCAAGGGACTATAGTGTTCTGTGGAGCGTTTTCCCTGATTCGGCCAGGTTGCGGCGCACCTGCTACTGTGGCTTCCACTGCTGAGCAGCAAAGCTCTGTGTTGCAGTAGGTGTTTGAAGCCGCGAGAAAAGCCTGCACCTCGCGATCTGCAGAAAGATTTCGAGTGTAAGGAGGCCTGCGGGGGTCATGTTGCCTCTGTGAGCTCTCAGTCTGCAGATGTTCTGATCTGTGTGGCTTACCGAGGCTTCGCGGGAGCACCCTTAGTCATGACAATTCTGTTCCATCACATCCCTCGACAAGTTCGTTTAGCACCACAGGCCGCAACACACGCATCCCAGCCTCTGAACAAAGTGTTCCATGAAAGGGTAGCACCGAAGAACAGTCTTTTACACTTCCTCGGCTTTGGCTGCTGCCTTCAGGGCCGGAAACTCTGAAGCCTTTTTGAGAGGCCTTGCAGAAACCTCCTTGTTACCGGATCCGAGGAAAGGCATGTCCTATTCTAACAAGATTTCTGCTGCAGCGCAGTTGGTGCCGCTCCCGGGGGATTTGAAGGCCCTCAGTTTCGACGCTCACCTCCGCGAGGTTCACGAGGATGAGTTTCGACGGATGCTGGAGCCTGGACGAAAGAAGCACGACAAGCTGATCGGCAGGTGCAAGCACCACGGTCCATCTTCTGAGAAGGAGCTTCTCTTCGCAAGGTTGCCAAAAGGACAAGAATCGCCTTTTGGCGACTTTCCACCAGACTATACGCGACCTGGAGATGACACAAAGAGGCGCCCACTCGGAGTGAAAGGCCACTGGTGCTGTCTTGCAAAGCCCTGTCAGGTCCCTGAACCTCCAACTCTCGGGCACAGCAACTCTGACGCCGCGGAGATCAGCGGATCAGGCAAAGAAATTCTGCATCGGGCAGCGGGAAACTGACAGCAATTTGATATGTAAGAGTAAGAGCTCTGCAGGCACTGCCCTCAGCTCGCAGTTCGCTCCCGTCGGCGCGCAGTACTGACGGCAAGACGCCGCGTACGGCTCGCGAGATAGAGAGGCCCAGAGCCAGTCAACCACAGTCGCTCCAAAGATTTGGTCCTGCCTTGGGGAAGTGTCAGGATGACGCCCAGGATGACGCCCCGCGACGGTGCCTTCTCCAACACAGCGCCAAAGACCTTGCGAAGGCGACGTGCCCGAGTGCCCGAGTCCAGCAACTGCATCGCTTCGCGCGTGCAGTTTGGGCCCTCCGGCGGCGGGAGCTTTTCAGAAGTGCGCCACCGAGCGTAGCGCTCCAGACTGGGACGGGGGGCTGTTCGCCTGTTCGCGCATTGTGCGGCGAGCCCAAGGCGACCCATCGAGGCCTCAGAGTTCCGGAGATTCTACGACAGGAACGACTTGCCTATTCAGGCCTGTGGCCTGGTGCCGGGATTTTAGGATTTTTTAGGCCTCCCGGAGCCCATTCTGCTGTTGTTGACCAGATCATGCACACGGGCACCCAGAACAGGATTGCGTGGAAGGCAGGACGTACAGGCATGTCCTTGTTTTCCAGGACTGTTTTCGGCGTGTGTTAGGTTGATGTGGAAAAGCTAGACTACCACCACTACCTTCCCATTTTCTTCGACGGGTTCGGAGCCCAAGAAATCCCTTGGCAGCACTGTGCGGGCATTCAATGGCGGATCGAGAAGAGGTTGCGCGAAAGGGAGGAGCCGTACCGCTTCTTCGCAGTCGAGGGTGTCTACAATCTACTGGAAAAGGCCGGATGGCACGGCTGCGGCCGCAGCACAAGATGGTACTCACATTGCTGTATCGGCATCACTGGAAGGGCGGTTCCAAGATCCTTCCGGTCGTGCCGCAGCTCATCATTCCCATCAAGAAGGCGCAGCTCCCGGGGGCTGGGTCTGCTTCTGCTGTCAATTGCTTCAGAGCCCTCGCAGGCACTGAACACGCGGGGCTGGCAGACTTCTCTTTGCTCGCTGTACTTTTCTGGTACCTCTGATGATTTGCATTTTGCCAGGCGGGACACGGAGGTGATGGTGACGACCATGAAAGCGGGACCCACCATCTGTGCGATGTTGATTTGATTTCAGGATGCTGAAACCATGGTTGCTGGATCAGGTGCTGCAGACATTGGTCCTCTCCGGAGAGATGGTGGGAGAGGCTTGCATGTGGCGAAAGCTGGCCGCACCAGGGTTGCTAGGCCTCAGCGCCTGAAAATGCCGGTGCGATCCAAAATGCTGAGTAGTGCAAGCTGGCAGAAGTGCTCCTTCGGAACAGTACCGAAGCCAAAGAAGCAGGCGCTGGTCCCCTACTATCGCCAGATCTTGCCGGCCAGCAGCTTACGAAGAGGGTCTCAGTATTGAAACAAGCAGCTCTTCTCGGTGTAAGCAGTGTAAGCCAGCAAGATGTCCCTGGTCCTCTGGTCCTGACGCTGGGTCAAACCTCAACCTCAACACCAGTCTAGCATGGATGTGCATGGCCAGGAACCTCGATGTTTCTGTTGTAGCCTTGGTTGTTTTTGCGGAAGGAGTTGGGAACCCTGCTGTGATTTTGAATGTCTTGCTCATGATTTTTGTTCTTTGACGTGATCCTTGGTACCAATGTGGAGTTTGGAGTAGCTGGCGATTTTGCTGCCTGGACAGCTCGAATTGCAGCTTGCATGAGCAGCACTGGGCCGTCCAGAGGTGCTCAATATCTTTAAGTCAGCCACGAAGAGCACCTTCGACCAGATGGTGGGGCCCTTCCGTTGCTCGTTGCTCGTTCTCCGTTGGATCGGAGAGTGGCGTTACCTGACTCCTATCACGGGCCCCTTTCAGGATTATGCCCAGCGCAAGCGCATGGACATTGGGGCCCTCATCGACGAGACCCTGGAGAGCTGTCTTTGCGTGTCTTTGTGCACGAAAAATTCAAGTTGCCTTCCATTGTCCTCTTGCCTTTCAGGAGATCTTGGAAACTCACGGGGGCGAAGATGCCTTCATCAACATCAAGTGTCCCAAAGGGTCGAAACAGGTTGCGGCCTTGCCACCTTCTGCAGCCTTCAGGTACATGATACCGACCTATGAGTCGTGTGTATCTGTTTGAGAGCAGCGGAATCGAACTGGCTTCGAATTGGGCAGTACGTGCCAGACTCTTTCCGCGCGAAACCAGTTGGATCCTGCAAGGCGGTGTCCCTGCGGTTTTGCGGAATCAGGGGCACGTAGTTCGACAGATGTCACCAAAAGGTGGACTCTTTCCAGTCGCCGCTTTGCCAAGTCTCAACAGCGCTGCCAGTCACAATCTTTGCCGGCTTGGGGTCATGTCATGCAGTGCTGTTTGATTCTCTGGGCTGTGAATACCGCAGAGCCAGTGAGTGCTTTTACAGACACCGCAATGGCATTCTCTAGCAGCGAAATCACATCTCAACCCACATCACTGATGTGTAGGTTGCTCTCGTCAAGATTCGGTGTCTCTCAGGTGTGGATCTTTTACTTTCACCCTGATGCTCCCAGCTAGCTGTGTTGCTGAGAGCCGGTTTACGCCCTCGAATTGGCTCTACCGGAGCAAAACTTGAGCCGCCATGTGTATTGTCATTCAAAGGGTCGGTTGCACCAGCCTGTTCGTGGCAATCGATTCTCTTCTGCATGGTGACGTCTGGCTCGGAAGCGCCACCATGCCTGAACTGAACAGCCCACAATTAGCAGTCATCAAATCTCAAAGTCTTGTCACTGCTTCAACGTGGATGTGGGCCTCCGCACGTGGCGACGATGGCCGCTCGGCTCTTGACGAAGTTTCTCTCCCTGTGACTGGGTATGCGTTTTGTTCTAGGAGGCTGTGATGTGACAGTTGCGTTTGCACACAAAGCCAGGGCCTGGGTCTCCATGACCATCTCCGGTCTCTCCAGTCTGTGTCTGGACCCCGGGGCGCCTCAGAGGCCTCGTGAGCAAATGTGACCCAATGTGTCCTTGAGGCATCTTGCACCTGCCGCACCCGCCTCCACACGGACATCCTTCTTCATCGACTGCCGCCTCTACCGGCCGACCCAGGAGGAGGTGTGTTGTTGGCGCGCGGCCTTACCTTCCGCCCTTCCGATGAGATGCTCTTAGACTTGCAGGCCGAATATGCGCGCCGGTCGCTCGGCAGGGGGCCCCAAGTGTTGGATTTGGATTTGGGGGAGCATGAGACGAGAAGTTAGAGGAAGGGAAGGGCTGTCTGACAAAATGCCAGTCAATAAGGCGAAGGATTGTGCCTCTCTGCGCACTGCGAGGCGAGAACGACGTCGAGGAAGTGCCATCCGACCCGCCGCCGGAGCCGAAGGTGAGGGCCGAGGGCCCTTAAAGGGCCTGGGGGGCCTGGCAGATAAACACACATTGCGCCCCGCAGGCGATAAAGCCCAAGCCCAAGGGTCTGCTGCAAAAGGGGCTTGCCAGCGCCTCGGCCCTCGGCTGCGGAGCCGGTGGCCACTCGTATCCTGGCGATTCCGAGGCGATGGCCAAAGACTATGCCCTGCAGGCCTGCAGGCTTCTCGCTTCTTTTCTTGGCTCAGGGACATGCTCATGCATCGTGCTAGGCCGCTGGCGAATATTTCAGCCGGCACCCCACTGCGTGAACGGAAGCGCATCGAGGGGACCAGCGCCGTCTCTCGAGGCAGTGCTGGTGGCAAAGGAGACCCTGAAGTCGAAAGGCGAGAGCGGCGAGAGAGCGCCAGCGGCCCACGGGCTATGCATCCTTCGCCTCCTTGGGCTCTCGAGGCAGTGCCACGAACTCTACGGCCTCTTCCAGAGGAAGAACGTCATGGCCGATTCCTCGAAAATCCCATTCGAATCGAGTGTGCCGAAGATTCTGCACCCAGGAAGCGCACACAGACCGACCGCTCAAAAGGAGCAGAGGAGGCCTCTGCAGATACACGCAGAGCCTCCCACATCCATGTCTTTCTTGCGCAGGGAAGCACAAGCCGCTCGCCAATCTCGAGGGTGACAAGGCCAGCTCGGGGCTCAGGGCTCAGGGTGTCCGCTGTTGGAAGTGCTTCTACTTTGAAGGCTCCAGGTGGCCTCTTCATCCAGCACACGGCCTCCCACCAGTGGCCCCTTTCCCAGACAGACAGCGGCGCCACGCCTTTGGCCTTCTCCTCCCCGCCCTTAGAGCCCGAAAGGTACCACTGCTTCATCTTGGGGAAAAAGGAGGACGCGCAGCTACAGCCGTGGCCCCGGTTCCTGCCTCCAACCGACCCGTGCTGGGCTTTTTGAGCCGAGCTCCTTGCACAGGTGTGTAGCGATGGAGCCCGACTGGATCTTCCAGAAAACTAACCGCAAGCTTTGCGGCTTGCAATCGTAGTTCCCTCGGAGTCTCAAAAGCTGGGCCCTCATGTCACAGAGGCAGTAGCGGCCCCAGTGGTCAAGGTGCGACTACGATCGGCTCACCTTCAAGACCGAGTGCCTCGACAGGCCCTCGAAATAGAATGCCTTGCCTGTGTTGTCTGTGGCGTGGCGCAGTTGTCGGGCAGACATCACAGGGTAGGGGCTGCGGCGGCTACGGGAGTGTCTTCGAAACTATCTTGCGTGAGTAGGATGCTTCTGGCTACGAGGTCTAGTTGTTACGGGTTTTGCATGTAATCCAGGAATCCACGTCGGCATTTGCCATAAGGATTAGCCAGCCCAGCAGTGTGCAGAAAAGGCAACGGTCACGTGTTGAAGGGGTTTGCGAGCCCTGGGATTCAGAGAATGATTGATGCGTTGAAGCTTCGGTGGTGACGCACTTTGCAGTGCCTGCGATCGCATCGTTGGCAGGGTGGTCGGTTGGATCCCGCGGTCACAATGTGTTTACGTTGGCCACCATGGACAGGTGCATCCCAAGGCCTGACTGTCGTTTCACGGCAGGAGACTCGATTGAAAGACACCTGCATTTGTTCAGGACATGATGGGAACCCCTGTCCCATATTCGGCCGGAAGCCCAGATACGAAGACATACAACGCAATCATTTGCTGAGGTGGAACTTGTTCCCGACACGCACACGTCCCCCTGACTCCCCTTCATTCCATGTCAATCTTCACGTTGCAAAGGTGAATCGGCAAAGCAGGTGAGTTGCTTGCTGCAGCCTCTCAGTGCAGGTCTACATCATGGGATGTCCGCCAATACCTTCGGCCCCCACCCTGCAGAGATTGCGAACAAGTCAGCAACTGAGAGAGGGTATGCAGTCACAAGCTTGTCCAAGGAAAGCTTTATCAAAGCAACTTTCGTAAGTCTCTCCATGGTCTATCATGGTCCCGGCGCCAAAGCAGATTCGCGGTTCCATGCTCCTGAGGCCAGAAGTGGAGAGACTTCCTGCTACTTGCAGGGCCTACAACTCAGCTTGCGAGGCAGTGCTCGTCGGACTCGTCGACTCGTGGAGCTCCGAGGTAAGGCATCATCTTTCCGTGCCATAGCATCACGTACTTCGCGACGAAGCCTCGCTGAGCTGCCGGCTACAGAGACTCCGCCGAAGTGCTTCCCGATTCTGCCAGCTGCCGAAGCACGCCGATTCAAGAGCCAGCCAATCCTCGCGAATGTGGTTCTTGTTGGGGCCAGCAATGTGCAGTCCGCGAGGAGCGTGAAGATATCGGGAAACGACGATCCGAGCGAAGAGACTCCCGAAAAAAGCTTTGCACCTCAGATTTGTCCATGTAGACGTAGTCCCTGATGGAGCAAAAGAGATTGGGGAACATGGCTTGCGCCATCTTGCCCCTCGGCTCTAGTGGGGAAGGCTCGTGTCCCGACACGTCCATCTCCATAACTTCCACTTGAGCTCGACTCTACTCTACAAGTCCCTTTTCCGCAGCTCAGACAGTGCCACGCAGTGTAGCTGTCTAGCTTTTGCCTCGGCCTCATCGGCCCCAGCAGAGCTCCATGGCGCTCACTGGGGCCACAGCGGTCTGCCGCGATGACGCAGCGGATCCCCGGCTTCTGGGCCGGCGCAGTGTCAGCGGCAAAAAACAATTCGAGCAGAAGTTCCGCCTCGAGGCATCGTTTTCTGCAGCTTCCGTGCCCCTTCAGACATGATCATGATACTAGTAGATAGTAGCTGGTTCGTAGCTGGTCGGTTCAGAGGAGCTGGCGCAAGAAGGGCGGAAGGCTGCCGGGAGCGGGAAGGCGGGCAAGCAGTCGCGGACTTCCCACCTAATCGGATGCAGTATCCGTCTGTCGCACGGGACGATGCCTTGGGGAGGGGGCAGGGGTTGATCATGTCATCTCTGTCTTGGCGCAAGGTGGAGGAAGCGGTGCAGGCCGGCTGGGCCACCTTGGTTCAGACGGTGAAAGTCCGGGAGACCAAAAGCAGGGACTCGAAGGTGGTCGGTCTCTTGCCCGAGGGTCGTCTCGTCAAAATCTCGAAGCTTTGTTCCAAGTCCGCCCTTCTGGAAGAGCCAGTGGTGGGCTGGATAACACTGTGCAAGGGGGGTGCCGTACTTCGGCAAGACCCAGCACAAAAGCAGCCGGAGAGCTCGGCGACCATGTGGGCCGTTGCCAACGTGATGGCCCGGTATGGGGCCACGCCAACGCTGGCGAGTGCCACGCCGGGTAGCAGCACAGACGTGCAGGAATTGGAGTTGGAGACAGATGCCGCGGTTGCCGTGACGGTCCAGGCAGTCGAGACGCCAGCTTCTGAGAAGAAGCCTTTCCATTTCTTGCCGTCGGTGGGGACCTGGCTCTCCGCCGCTGTCGCACCGCAAACAGGACTGCTGCCATCTACACGGAGGGCGACCTCCAACACAGACATGGCTCCTGCATCGTTTGCCCTGGATTTTTTGGTAGACTCTACCAAAAAATCCACGGCAAACGATGCAGGGTAGACCAAGCGGTCGTGGAACCCAAAGCAGAGGCGCAAGAAATCATCGACCAGGTTGCCGTGACGCCATTCCGGCAGTTGCCATCCGTTGGCACCTGGCTCTCTGCGTTCACCCCGCGGAACATCAGCGAAGAGCAACTTGGACGGCAGGGCGACCAGATTGTTTCGCTGCTTCGCCCCGTGGTGCAGCGGAGGCCACTATCTTCTTCACGGAGGGCAGCCTCGAGGACAGATGCGATTCAGGAGAGTTCTGAGTGTGGGAGCTTCTGGGTGACGCTGCAGCGGGCGCTCCGTGAGATGTGCTGTGTCGGTCGCTGAGGCTTTGTGGTGCCACTTGTCTCATCTTGTCTCACCTCGGAGGTCCTGTAATCGTGCGAGGATGCCTAAACGAGTGCCACTTTTCACTGCAGCTCGCAGCAAGCCGCCATGTTCAAACCCTCGTCCGGAATGTCGTGAAGATCCCCTGTTCCTTTTCCGCAGCTCAGACAGTGCCACGCAGTGTAGCTGTCTAGCTTTTGCCTCGGCCTCATCGGCCCCAGCAGAGCTCCATGGCGCTCACTGGGGCCACAGCGGTCTGCCGCGATGACGCAGCGGATCCCCGGCTTCTGGGCCGGCGCAGCGTCAGCGGCAAAAAACAATTCGAGCAGAAGTTCCGCCTCGAGGCATCGTTTTCTGCAGCTTCCGTGCCCCTTCAGACATGATCATGATACTAGTAGATAGTAGCTGGTTCGTAGCTGGTCGGTTCAGAGGAGCTGGCGCAAGAAGGGCGGAAGGCTGCCGGGAGCGGGAAGGCGGGCAAGCAGTCGCGGACTTCCCACCTAATCGGATGCAGCAGTATCCGTCTGTCGCACGGGACGATGCCTTGGGGAGGGGGCAGGGGTTGATCATGTCATCTCTGTCTTGGCGCAAGGTGGAGGAAGCGGTGCAGGCCGGCTGGGCCACCTTGGTTCAGACGGTGAAAGTCCGGGAGACCAAAAGCAGGGACTCGAAGGTGGTCGGTCTCTTGCCCGAGGGTCGTCTCGTCAAAATCTCGAAGCTTTGTTCCAAGTCCGCCCTTCTGGAAGAGCCAGTGGTGGGCTGGATAACACTGTGCAAGGGGGGTGCCGTACTTCGGCAAGACCCAGCCCAGAAGCAGCCGGAGAGCTCGGCGACCATGTGGGCCGTTGCCAACGTGATGGCCCGGTATGGGGCCACGCCAACGCTGGCGAGTGCCACGCCGGGTAGCAGCACAGACGTGCAGGAATTGGAGTTGGAGACAGATGCCGCGGTTGCCGTGACGGTCCAGGCAGTCGAGACGCCAGCTTCTGAGAAGCCTTTCCATTTCTTGCCGTCGGTGGGGACCTGGCTCTCCGCCGCTGTCGCACCGCAAACAGGACTGCTGCCATCTACACGGAGGGCGACCTCCAACACAGACATGGCTCCTGCATCGTTTGCCGTGGATTTTTTCGTAGACCACGCGGTCGTGGAACCCAAAGCAGAGGCGCAAGAAATCATCGACCAGGTTGCCGTGACGCCATTCCGGCAGTTGCCATCCGTTGGCACCTGGCTCTCTGCGTTCACCCCGCGGAACATCAGCGAAGAGCAACTTGGACGGCAGGGCGACCAGATTGTTTCGCTGCTTCGCCCCGTGGTGCAGCGGAGGCCACTATCTTCTTCACGGAGGGCAGCCTCGAGGACAGATGCGATTCAGGAGAGTTCTGAGTGTGGGAGCTTCTGGGTGACGCTGCAGCGGGCGCTCCGTGAGATGTGCTGTGTCGGTCGCTGAGGCTTTGTGGTGCCACTTGTCTCATCTTGTCTTACCTCGGAGGTCCTGTAATCGTGCGAGGATGCCTAAACGAGTGCCACTTTTCACTGCAGCTCGCAGCAAGCCGCCATGTTCAAACCCTCGTCCGGAATGTCGTGAAGATCCCCTGTTCCTTTTCCGCAGCTCAGACAGTGCCACGCAGTGTAGCTGTCTAGCTTTTTGCACTGGGGCCACAGCGGTCTGCCGCGATGACGCAGCGGATCCCCGGCTTCTGGGCCGGCGCAGCGTCAGCGGCAAAAAACAATTCGAGCAGAAGTTCCGCCTCGAGGCATCGTTTTCTGCAGCTTCCGTGCCCCTTCAGACATGATCATGATACTAGTAGATAGTAGCTGGTTCGTAGCTGGTCGGTTCAGAGGAGCTGGCGCAAGAAGGGCGGAAGGCTGCCGGGAGCGGGAAGGCGGGCAAGCAGTCGCGGACTTCCCACCTAATCGGATGCAGCAGTATCCGTGACGATGCCTTCGGGAGGGGGCAGGGGTTGATCATGTCATCTCTGTCTTGGCGCAAGGTGGAGGAAGCGGTGCAGGCCGGCTGGGCCACCTTGGTTCAGACGGTGAAAGTCCGGGAGACCAAAAGCAGGGACTCGAAGGTGGTCGGTCTCTTGCCCGAGGGTCGTCTCGTCAAAATCTCGAAGCTTTGTTCCAAGTCCGCCCTTCTGGAAGAGCCAGTGGTGGGCTGGATAACACTGTGCCGTACTTCGGCAAGACCCAGCCCAGAAGCAGCATGAGAGCTCGGCTACCATGTGGGCCGTTGCCAACGTGATGGCCCGGTATGGGGCCACGCCAACGCTGGCGAGTGCCACGCCGGGTAGCAGCACAGACGTGCAGGAATTGGAGTTGGAGACAGATGCCGTGGTTGCCGTGACGGTCCAGGCAGTCGAGACGCCAGGTTCTGAGAAGCCTTTCCATTTCTTGCCGTCGGTAGCGACCTGGCTCTCCGCGGCTGGTGCACCCCAAACAGGACTGCTGCCATCTACACGGAGGGCGACCTCCAACACAGACATGGCTCCTGCATCGTTTGCCGTGGATTTTTTCGTAGACCACGCGGTCGTGGAACCCAAAGCAGAGGCGCAAGAAATCATCGACCAGGTTGCCGTGACGCCATTCCGGCAGTTGCCATCCGTTGGCACCTGGCTCTCTGCGTTCACCCCGCGGAACATCAGCGAAGAGCAACTTGGACGGCAGGGCGACCAGATTGTTTCGCTGCTTCGCCCCGTGGTGCAGCGGAGGCCACTATCTTCTTCACGGAGGGCAGCCTCGAGGACAGATGCGATTCAGGAGAGTTCTGAGTGTGGGAGCTTCTGGGTGACGCTGCAGCGGGCGCTCCGTGAGATGTGCTGTGTCGGTCGCTGAGGCTTTGTGGTGCCACTTGTCTCATCTTGTCTCACCTCGGAGGTCCTGTAATCGTGCGAGGATGCCTAAACGAGTGCCACTTTTCACTGCAGCTCGCAGCAAGCCGCCATGTTCAAACCCTCGTCCGGAATGTCGTGAAGATCCCCTGTTCCTTTTCCGCAGCTCAGACAGTGCCACGCAGTGTAGCTGTCTAGCTTTTGCCTCGGCCTCATCGGCCCCAGCAGAGCTCCATGGCGCTCACTGGGGCCACAGCGGTCTGCCGCGATGACGCAGCGGATCCCCGGCTTCTGGGCCGGCGCAGCGTCAGCGGCAAAAAACAATTCGAGCAGAAGTTCCGCCTCGAGGCATCGTTTTCTGCAGCTTCCGTGCCCCTTCAGACATGATCATGATACTAGTAGATAGTAGCTGGTTCGTAGCTGGTCGGTTCAGAGGAGCTGGCGCAAGAAGGGCGGAAGGCTGCCGGGAGCGGGAAGGCGGGCAAGCAGTCGCGGACTTCCCACCTAATCGGATGCAGCAGTATCCGTCTGTCGCACGGGACGATGCCTTGGGGAGGGGGCAGGGGTTGATCATGTCATCTCTGTCTTGGCGCAAGGTGGAGGAAGCGGTGCAGGCCGGCTGGGCCACCTTGGTTCAGACGGTGAAAGTCCGGGAGACCAAAAGCAGGGACTCGAAGGTGGTCGGTCTCTTGCAGCGGCGACCATGTGGGCCGTTGCCAACGTGATGGCCCGGTATGGGGCCACGCCAACGCTGGCGAGTGCCACGCCGGGTAGCAGCACAGACGTGGAGGAATTGGAGTTGGAGACAGATGCCGCGGTTGCCGTGACGGTCCAGGCAGTCGAGACGCCAGGTTCTGAGAAGCCTTTCCATTTCTTGCCGTCGGTAGCGACCTGGCTCTCCGCGGCTGGTGCACCCCAAACAGGACTGCTGCCATCTACACGGAGGGCGACCTCCAACACAGACATGGCTCCTGCATCGTTTGCCGTGGATTTTTTCGTAGACCACGCGGTCGTGGAACCCAAAGCAGAGGCGCAAGAAATCATCGACCAGGTTGCCGTGACGCCATTCCGGCAGTTGCCATCCGTTGGCACCTGGCTCTCTGCGTTCACCCCACTGCACATCAGCGAAGATCGACTTGGACGGCAGGGCGACCAGATTGTTTCGCAGCCTGAGAACGAGATGCTTCGCCCCGTGGTGCAGCGGAGGCCACTATCTTCTTCACGGAGGGCAGCCTCTAGGACAGATGCGATTCACGAGAGTTCTGAGTGTGGGAGCTTCTGGGTGACGCTGCAGCGGGCGCTCCGTGAGATGTGCTGTGTCGGTCGCTGAGGCTTTGTGGTGCCACTTGTCTCATGTTGTTTCACCTCGGACGTCCTGTAATCGTGCGAGGATGCCTAAACGAGTGCCACTTTTCACTGCAGCTCGCAGCAAGCCGCCATGTTCAAACCCTCGTCCGGATTGTCGTGAAGCCTGCCTGTTTCTTTCCGCAGCAATTTTTCTGCTTGTTCAAGGCCTCGCCGAAAGGCGGCCTGATTATTTAATTGCCGTGTCGGAAGGCTGCTTTCTGAATTTGCAATCATGATGGTACTCCATAGTTACTTGCTGGTCACAGCTACCAGTCCTTTCAGGCAAAGAAGGCGAGGGTTCTCGGCCCCTAGACTCCTAAGTCCTAGACTGAGACTCGACAGGGAGGCATCCGCCATTTAGGCCTCTGGCCGGCTTCTCGGCTGAAGTTCGCAGTGGTCGAAGAGATGCTGTCATCTCATCAGCTGGCATCACGGCAGCCTGAGGCTTCAAAATCGGCAATGAGCACCCTCTTGCCGGCTACACGCCCAGAGCTTTCGCTAATCCGGGCCGCTTGCAGCGTTGCTTGCACGAAGGATTCTTTTCATGTGGGATCTGTCGGCCCGGTGCCCAGGGCTTTGCTGGAGAAGTTTGTATGCGCCTTTGCATTGGTCTTCTTGCTAGGTGCGCAGGCAGATTCAACGAGGCCCACACTACCAGCTCATTCCTTTGGTGCGGGGCTCCGACGGCTGGGACTCCGGGACTTGTCTCTCCCGAGAACTGCGTGGCTAAGGAACTTGCGATCGTGAAAGCGCTCGAATGAAAGTCTTCATGTCTAGAAAACTGGAGAAGTCCAAGGTTCGGCGCTCTTGCTCAGAGCCCAGAAGCCGTCTATGTCTGAGCAATGTCTCGCAGAGGCCAAGCTCAATTCCCCGGGTCCAGTCTACGACATCCCCTCGGCAGTGTCGGACTTGGCCCGTCTTGTAGAGACCAAAGCCCGCTCTGAGCCACGAAGGTGGGAGCAGCCCCGAGCTTCTCCTTCGGAACCGACGTGCAGCGGTGCGCTCTAAAACAGCTCGCGCCTCTGCTTCGAGCCTTCAAAGCGCGGCCCCTGCCGACAGGAAGCACGATCCCAAGAAGTATCCAGACTCGACCGTGGACCTGACATGCGGGGGCCTCCACCTCCGCCGTGGGGTTCCGCTGCATTCATGGCGTTGCATTGCGTTTTCACCTCAGGTGCCACGGTCGACACGCAGAAAGTGAAGTACGCGAAGACTCCGGGCTGCCACTTCGGCACTGAGCCAGGGCCTCGAGTCTCGAGCTCACGATTCAAGTCCGGGCCCCCGCTGTCCTGTGGGAGGGAACCCTACTACACAGCAGGCTTTCTCCGTGCGGATATTATCAGAGACCTGAGTGCTCTTGCTGAGTGGGTTGCTTCTAGGCAGAAGCTCAGCCTCAAGAATGCGGAGATCATCCGCACTCATGCAGGGTTGGCTCTGGGAGCCGTCCTCAGCACGTGTTGGGGGTTAATGGGCTAAGGGCCTGAGGGGCTTTGTGGTTTAGGGTGTGCTGTGCCGTGGCTTGTCTCGTTCCCAAGACTGTCTCACTATGTCTTCCGATTCCATACATTGGTCATGTGACGGAGCAGACAGAGACAGAGTTTCGACTGCCAGAGCCGGGAGTTGAGTTGGCGGCTCCTTACTCTCGAGACGTAGCGTCGAGTTGAGGTCTTTTTCATTCAGTGTTTGGCGTCTGCATCGCAGCTTCCCTCGAAGGGCTGCTGCATTCCTCACTCGCTGCAGTTCGGGCAATTCACAGCTGCAAGTACTGTAGCCGTAGACTCACATATCCATGCCAAAAACCGAGGTCGGAAAGACGGCAAGGGTCCTCTCACCGATGTCCCCGAAGCACCAAGATCTGAGATTCGACCCGAAGCATCCCGAAGCCGACAGCATCCGGCAGCTGCGCTGTAGCCTCTTCAGCACCCAGGCGCAGAGTCCCCAAGTGCCCTGGAGTATCACGTCAAGGAGGTGGCAAAGCGCGTGCCCGCACCCTGGTGCGGTTGGGACACGGTGGGAATTGGCGTGACTGTGAAGGGTCTCGGAAGGATCAGAGACTGTACCTACCAGGCCTGCCTACTCCTTTGGGCCCACAGAGTCCATGACGCCACGGAAGCCGGAACCCAGGCACGGCGAACTTTAACATGGGATGTTGAGAAAGTTACAAGCTGGGGCCTGAATTCAGCGTTTCGGAAGCTGTCCGCAATGTAAAGAGCTGCTGTGTATTTCTTTCGGCAATCGTGAGGGCACCGCGATGTAAAGGTGGTGGCTTTCCATGAGAAGGTCAAAGTACCGAAGCCACTACCACAACTGGGTACCGTATCATCTCTGACGAGACCCGGTTCCCTCGCAAATGCGACTTCACGCGCAGTACGAGAAGGCTGAAGGGTCTACGCTTGCGGGGAGGACTCTGGAAGGTAGAAGTGCCCGCGTCAAAGGCTTGGAGGTTTAATTTCTGACTTGTGCTCTGGATCCGAAAGCCCTGCAGCTGCCTGCAGGGTGCAGCTCTTGCAGTCGAGCACACCGGCGCGGGTTGGCCCCGGCAGCGAGCCTAGAGAAGCGTGATCACAGGGCCAGAGCTTCAGACAAGACTCTTGCGTCACGGGAGGGCAAGCCCCAAGAGCATGTTCATCTCCAAGGCTCCCACCCAAAGCCGTCCAGCCTTGGCCAGCAGCCGATGTCTCCGCGCCCCACCGCGCCGGCGCGGATGGAGGGGGAATGGGTGCTCGAGGGGTTTTCGGGAACGATGGTTGAGGGAAGCAAGGGTATGTATTGTGTTATTGTGCAGAGGCAGAGGTCCCGGTGTGATTCGCAGGCCTGGACGATGCCCGGCCGCAGTCCCCGGGAGAAGACGCAGGGATCCCAAGAAGTTTCCGTAAAGTCGTAGTCGTAGAGCACGTCAGGGTTGGTTCGCGGTGCCTCCAGGCAGACGGAGGCTCTTGCGATCGAGGACAAAGTCTTCAGCTCCATCGGCAAGCAGGCGACCTGTCTTGGAGCCCGGATTGCAACATGTCAGTGGGGAAAAGTTCTCACGTAAGGTGCTGTCCACAATCCGATCTCCCCGCTCCGTGGCCACGACGAAGTCCACCCGCGACCAAGTCAACAGGAGCTGCACACTAGCAGAACATAACTTGCTATGGTCCGCGAGACAAAGTCTCGCGACTCCAAGGTGCTATACGTTTCTTGGAGGAGGGTCGTCTGGTCCGCATCTCCAAGGTTTGTTCGAAGTCCGCCCAGCGAAGAGCCACTTGTGGGCTGGGTACACTCTCCAGAGGCGGTGCCGTACCTCGGCAAGAGCCATCACAGAAGCAGCAGGAGAGCTCTCCTGCTGTTTCTGTGCTGGGTCTTGCCGAAGTACGGCACCGCCTTTGCATAGTGTGACGCAGCCCACAAGACAGCTGGGCGGACTTCGAACACACCTTGGAGACTTTGACGAGGCACCTGGCTCTTTGCCTTCACCCCGCTGCACATCAACGAAGATCGACTTGGACGGCAGGGCGACCAGATTGTTTCGCTGCTTCGCCCCGTGGTGCAGCGGAGGCCACTATCTTCTTCACTGAAGAAGATAGTGGCCTCCGCGTCACGGAGGGCAGCCTCGAGGACAGATGCGATTCAGGAGAGTTCTGAGTGTGGGAGCTTCTGGGTGACGCTGCAGCGGGCGCTCCGTGAGATGTGCTGTGTCGGTCGCTGAGGCTTTGTGGTGCCACTTGTGTCATCTTGTCTCACCTCGGAGGTCCTGTAATCGTGCGAGGATGCCTAAACGAGTGCCACTTTTCACTGCAGCTCGCAGCAAGCCGCCATGTTCAAACCCTCGTCCGGAATGTCGTGAAGATCCCCTGTTCCTTTTCCGCAGCTCAGACAGTGCCACGCAGTGTAGCTGTCTAGCTTTTGCCTCGGCCTCATCGGCCCCAGCAGAGCTCCATGGCGCTCACTGGGGCCACAGCGGTCTGCCGCGATGACGCAGCGGATCCCCGGCTTCTGGGCCGGCGCAGCGTCAGCGGCAAAAAACAATTCGAGCAGAAGTTCCGCCTCGAGGCATCGTTTTCTGCAGCTTCCGTGCCCCTTCAGACATGATCATGATACTAGTAGATAGTAGCTGGTTCGTAGCTGGTCGGTTCAGAGGAGCTGGCGCAAGAAGGGCGGAAGGCTGCCGGGAGCGGGAAGGCGGGCAAGCAGTCGCGGACTTCCCACCTAATCGGATGCAGTATCCGTCTGTCGCACGGGACGATGCCTTGGGGAGGGGGCAGGGGTTGATCATGTCATCTCTGTCTTGGCGCAAGGTGGAGGAAGCGGTGCAGGCCGGCTGGGCCACCTTGGTTCAGACGGTGAAAGTCCGGGAGACCAAAAGCAGGGACTCGAAGGTGGTCGGTCTCTTGCCCGAGGGTCGTCTCGTCAAAATCTCGAAGCTTTGTTCCAAGTCCGCCCTTCTGGAAGAGCCAGTGGTGGGCTGGATAACACTGTGCAAGGGGGGTGCCGTACTTCGGCAAGACCCAGCCCAGAAGCAGCCGGAGAGCTCGGCGACCATGTGGGCCGTTGCCAACGTGATGGCCCGGTATGGGGCCACGCCAACGCTGGCGAGTGCCACGCCGGGTAGCAGCACAGACGTGCAGGAATTGGAGTTGGAGACAGATGCCGCGGTTGCCGTGACGGTCCAGGCAGTCGAGACGCCAGCTTCTGAGAAGCCTTTCCATTTCTTGCCGTCGGTAGCGACCTGGCTCTCCGCGGCTGGTGCACCCCAAACAGGACTGCTGCCATCTACACGGAGGGCGACCTCCAACACAGACATGGCTCCTGCATCGTTTGCCGTGGATTTTTTCGTAGACCACGCGGTCGTGGAACCCAAAGCAGAGGCGCAAGAAATCATCGACCAGGTTGCCGTGACGCCATTCCGGCAGTTGCCATCCGTTGGCACCTGGCTCTCTGCGTTCACCCCGCGGAACATCAGCGAAGAGCAACTTGGACGGCAGGGCGACCAGATTGTTTCGCTGCTTCGCCCCGTGGTGCAGCGGAGGCCACTATCTTCTTCACGGAGGGCAGCCTCGAGGACAGATGCGATTCAGGAGAGTTCTGAGTGTGGGAGCTTCTGGGTGACGCTGCAGCGGGCGCTCCGTGAGATGTGCTGTGTCGGTCGCTGAGGCTTTGTGGTGCCACTTGTCTCATCTTGTCTCACCTCGGAGGTCCTGTAATCGTGCGAGGATGCCTAAACGAGTGCCACTTTTCACTGCAGCTCGCAGCAAGCCGCCATGTTCAAACCCTCGTCCGGAATGTCGTGAAGATCCCCTGTTCCTTTTCCGCAGCTCAGACAGTGCCACGCAGTGTAGCTGTCTAGCTTTTGCCTCGGCCTCATCGGCCCCAGCAGAGCTCCATGGCGCTCACTGGGGCCACAGCGGTCTGCCGCGATGACGCAGCGGATCCCCGGCTTCTGGGCCGGCGCAGCGTCAGCGGCAAAAAACAATTCGAGCAGAAGTTCCGCCTCGAGGCATCGTTTTCTGCAGCTTCCGTGCCCCTTCAGACATGATCATGATACTAGTAGATAGTAGCTGGTTCGTAGCTGGTCGGTTCAGAGGAGCTGGCGCAAGAAGGGCGGAAGGCTGCCGGGAGCGGGAAGGCGGGCAAGCAGTCGCGGACTTCCCACCTAATCGGATGCAGCAGTATCCGTCTGTCGCACGGGACGATGCCTTGGGGAGGGGGCAGGGGTTGATCATGTCATCTCTGTCTTGGCGCAAGGTGGAGGAAGCGGTGCAGGCCGGCTGGGCCACCTTGGTTCAGACGGTGAAAGTCCGGGAGACCAAAAGCAGGGACTCGAAGGTGGTCGGTCTCTTGCCCGAGGGTCGTCGCGTCAAGGTCTCCAAGGTTTGTTCCAAGTCCGCCCTTCTGGAAGAGCCAGTGGTGGGCTGGATAACACTGTGCAAGGGGGGTGCCGTACTTCGGCAAGACCCAGCACAAAAGCAGCCGGAGAGCTCGGCGACCATGTGGGCCGTTGCCAACGTGATGGCCCGGTATGGGGCCACGCCAACGCTGGCGAGTGCCACGCCGGGTAGCAGCACAGACGTGCAGGAATTGGAGTTGGAGACAGATGCCGTGGTTGCCGTGACGGTCCAGGCAGTCGAGACGCCAGCTTCTGAGAAGCCTTTCCATTTCTTGCCGTCGGTAGCGACCTGGCTCTCCGCGGCTGGTGCACCCCAAACAGGACTGCTGCCATCTACACGGAGGGCGACCTCCAACACAGACATGGCTCCTGCATCGTTTGCCGTGGATTTTTTCGTAGACCACGCGGTCGTGGAACCCAAAGCAGAGGCGCAAGAAATCATCGACCAGGTTGCCGTGACGCCATTCCGGCAGTTGCCATCCGTTGGCACCTGGCTCTCTGCGTTCACCCCGCGGAACATCAGCGAAGAGCAACTTGGACGGCAGGGCGACCAGATTGTTTCGCTGCTTCGCCCCGTGGTGCAGCGGAGGCCACTATCTTCTTCACGGAGGGCAGCCTCGAGGACAGATGCGATTCAGGAGAGTTCTGAGTGTGGGAGCTTCTGGGTGACGCTGCAGCGGGCGCTCCGTGAGATGTGCTGTGTCGGTCGCTGAGGCTTTGTGGTGCCACTTGTCTCATCTTGTCTCACCTCGGAGGTCCTGTAATCGTGCGAGGATGCCTAAACGAGTGCCACTTTTCACTGCAGCTCGCAGCAAGCCGCCATGTTCAAACCCTCGTCCGGAATGTCGTGAAGATCCCCTGTTCCTTTTCCGCAGCTCAGACAGTGCCACGCAGTGTAGCTGTCTAGCTTTTGCCTCGGCCTCATCGGCCCCAGCAGAGCTCCATGGCGCTCACTGGGGCCACAGCGGTCTGCCGCGATGACGCAGCGGATCCCCGGCTTCTGGGCCGGCGCAGCGTCAGCGGCAAAAAACAATTCGAGCAGAAGTTCCGCCTCGAGGCATCGTTTTCTGCAGCTTCCGTGCCCCTTCAGACATGATCATGATACTAGTAGATAGTAGCTGGTTCGTAGCTGGTCGGTTCAGAGGAGCTGGCGCAAGAAGGGCGGAAGGCTGCCGGGAGCGGGAAGGCGGGCAAGCAGTCGCGGACTTCCCACCTAATCGGATGCAGTATCCGTCTGTCGCACGGGACGATGCCTTGGGGAGGGGGCAGGGGTTGATCATGTCATCTCTGTCTTGGCGCAAGGTGGAGGAAGCGGTGCAGGCCGGCTGGGCCACCTTGGTTCAGACGGTGAAAGTCCGGGAGACCAAAAGCAGGGACTCGAAGGTGGTCGGTCTCTTGCCCGAGGGTCGTCTCGTCAAAATCTCGAAGCTTTGTTCCAAGTCCGCCCTTCTGGAAGAGCCAGTGGTGGGCTGGATAACACTGTGCAAGGGGGGTGCCGTACTTCGGCAAGACCCAGCCCAGAAGCAGCCGGAGAGCTCGTCGACCATGTGGGCCGTTGCCAACGTGATGGCCCGGTATGGGGCCACGCCAACGCTGGCGAGTGCCACGCCGGGTAGCAGCACAGACGTGCAGGAATTGGAGTTGGAGACAGATGCCGCGGTTGCCGTGACGGTCCAGGCAGTCGAGACGCCAGCTTCTGAGAAGCCTTTCCATTTCTTGCCGTCGGTAGCGACCTGGCTCTCCGCGGCTGGTGCACCCCAAACAGGACTGCTGCCATCTACACGGAGGGCGACCTCCAACACAGACATGGCTCCTGCATCGTTTGCCGTGGATTTTTTCGTAGACCACGCGGTCGTGGAACCCAAAGCAGAGGCGCAAGAAATCATCGACCAGGTTGCCGTGACGCCATTCCGGCAGTTGCCATCCGTTGGCACCTGGCTCTCTGCGTTCACCCCGCGGAACATCAGCGAAGAGCAACTTGGACGGCAGGGCGACCAGATTGTTTCGCTGCTTCGCCCCGTGGTGCAGCGGAGGCCACTATCTTCTTCACGGAGGGCAGCCTCGAGGACAGATGCGATTCAGGAGAGTTCTGAGTGTGGGAGCTTCTGGGTGACGCTGCAGCGGGCGCTCCGTGAGATGTGCTGTGTCGGTCGCTGAGGCTTTGTGGTGCCACTTGTCTCATCTTGTCTCACCTCGGAGGTCCTGAATCGTGCGAGGATGGCCTAAACGAGTGCCCTTTTCACTGCAGCTCGCAGCAAGCCGCCATGTTTTCAAACCTAGTGGCATGTCGTGAAGATCACCTGTTCCCTTTTCGCAGCTCAGACAGTGCAACGCAGTTGGTTAGCGGTCTAGCTTTTGCTCGGCCTCATCGGCACCCCGCAGGAGTCCCGCTGGCGCTCACTGGGGCCACAAGCGGTCTGGCGCAGATGACGCAAGACGGATCCCGGGCTTCTGGGCGGGCGCAGCGTCCGCGGCAACAACAAAACAATCGAGGCAGAAGTTCCCGATCGAGGCATCGTTTCTGCAGCTTCCGTGCCCCTTCAGACATTTGATCATGATACTAGTAGATAGTAGCTGGTCGTTAGATGGTCGGTTCAGAGGAGTGGCGCTAAGCAGGGCGTCCCTACTCGAGGGGAAAGCTGCCGGGAGCGGGAAGGCGGGGCAAGCAGTCGCGGAATTCCACTAATCGGATGCAGAAGTATCAAGGTCTGTCGCACGGGACCGATGCCTTGGGGAGTGGGCAGGGGGTTCGGGAATCATGTATTCTCTGTCTTGCGCAAGGTGGAGAAGCACGGTGCAGGCCGCTGGGCCACCTTGGTTCAGACGGTGAAAGTCCGGGAGACCAAAAGCAGGGGCTCGAAGGTGGTCGGTCTCTTGCCCGAGGGTCGTCTCGTCAAAATCTCGAAGCTTTGTTCCAAGTCCGCCCTTCTGGAAGAGCCAGTGGTGGGCTGGATAACACTGTGCAAGGGGGGTGCCGTACTTCGGCAAGACCCAGCACAAAAGCAGCCGGAGAGCTCGGCGACCATGTGGGCCGTTGCCAACGTGATGGCCCGGTATGGGGCCACGCCAACGCTGGCGAGTGCCACGCCGGGTAGCAGCACAGACGTGCAGGAATTGGAGTTGGAGACAGATGCCGTGGTTGCCGTGACGGTCCAGGCAGTCGAGACGCCAGGTTCTGAGAAGCCTTTCCATTTCTTGCCGTCGGTGGGGACCTGGCTCTCCGCCGCTGTCGCACCGCAAACAGGACTGCTGCCATCTACACGGAGGGCGACCTCCAACACAGACATGGCTCCTGCATCGTTTGCCGTGGATTTTTTCGTAGACCACGCGGTCGTGGAACCCAAAGCAGAGGCGCAAGAAATCATCGACCAGGTTGCCGTGACGCCATTCCGGCAGTTGCCATCCGTTGGCACCTGGCTCTCTGCGTTCACCCCGCGGAACATCAGCGAAGAGCAACTTGGACGGCAGGGCGACCAGATTGTTTCGCTGCTTCGCCCCGTGGTGCAGCGGAGGCCACTATCTTCTTCACGGAGGGCAGCCTCGAGGACAGATGCGATTCAGGAGAGTTCTGAGTGTGGGAGCTTCTGGGTGACGCTGCAGCGGGCGCTCCGTGAGATGTGCTGTGTCGGTCGCTGAGGCTTTGTGGTGCCACTTGTCTCATCTTGTCTTACCTCGGAGGTCCTGTAATCGTGCGAGGATGCCTAAACGAGTGCCACTTTTCACTGCAGCTCGCAGCAAGCCGCCATGTTCAAACCCTCGTCCGGAATGTCGTGAAGATCCCCTGTTCCTTTTCCGCAGCTCAGACAGTGCCACGCAGTGTAGCTGTCTAGCTTTTTGCACTGGGGCCACAGCGGTCTGCCGCGATGACGCAGCGGATCCCCGGCTTCTGGGCCGGCGCAGCGTCAGCGGCAAAAAACAATTCGAGCAGAAGTTCCGCCTCGAGGCATCGTTTTCTGCAGCTTCCGTGCCCCTTCAGACATGATCATGATACTAGTAGATAGTAGCTGGTTCGTAGCTGGTCGGTTCAGAGGAGCTGGCGCAAGAAGGGCGGAAGGCTGCCGGGAGCGGGAAGGCGGGCAAGCAGTCGCGGACTTCCCACCTAATCGGATGCAGCAGTATCCGTGACGATGCCTTCGGGAGGGGGCAGGGGTTGATCATGTCATCTCTGTCTTGGCGCAAGGTGGAGGAAGCGGTGCAGGCCGGCTGGGCCACCTTGGTTCAGACGGTGAAAGTCCGGGAGACCAAAAGCAGGGACTCGAAGGTGGTCGGTCTCTTGCCCGAGGGTCGTCTCGTCAAAATCTCGAAGCTTTGTTCCAAGTCCGCCCTTCTGGAAGAGCCAGTGGTGGGCTGGATAACACTGTGCCGTACTTCGGCAAGACCCAGCCCAGAAGCAGCATGAGAGCTCGGCTACCATGTGGGCCGTTGCCAACGTGATGGCCCGGTATGGGGCCACGCCAACGCTGGCGAGTGCCACGCCGGGTAGCAGCACAGACGTGCAGGAATTGGAGTTGGAGACAGATGCCGCGGTTGCCGTGACGGTCCAGGCAGTCGAGACGCCAGCTTCTGAGAAGCCTTTCCATTTGTTGCCGTCGGTAGGGACCTGGCTCTCCGCCGCTGTCGCACCCCGAACAGGACTGCTGCCATCTACACGGAGGGCGACCTCCAACACAGACATGGCTCCTGCATCGTTTGCCGTGGATTTTTTCGTAGACCACGCGGTCGTGGAACCCAAAGCAGAAGCGCAAGAAATCATCGACCAGGTTGCCGTGACGCCATTCCGGCAGTTGCCATCCGTTGGCACCTGGCTCTCTGCGTTCACACCGCGGAACATAAACGGCAGGGCGACCAGATTGTTTTGCAGCCTGAGAACGAGATGCTTCGCCCCGTGGTGCAGCGGAGGCCACTATCTTCTTCACTGAAGAAGATAGTGGCCTCCGCGTCACGGAGGGCAGCCTCGAGGACAGATGCGATTCAGGAGAGTTCTGAGTGTGGGAGCTTCTGGGTGACGCTGCAGCGGGCGCTCCGTGAGATGTGCTGTGTCGGTCGCTGAGGCTTTGTGGTGCCACTTGTCTCATCTTGTCTCACCTCGGAGGTCCTGTAATCGTGCGAGGATGCCTAAACGAGTGCCACTTTTCACTGCAGCTCGCAGCAAGCCGCCATGTTCAAACCCTCGTCCGGATTGTCGTAAAGCCTGCGTGTTTCTTTCCGCAGCAATTTTTCTGCTTGTTCAAGGCCTCGCCGAAAGGCGGCCTGATTATTTAATTGCCGTGTCGGAGGGCTGCTTTCTGAATTTGCAATCATGATGGTACTCCATAGTTACTTGCTGGTCACAGCTACCAGTCCTTTCAGGCAAAGAAGGCGAGGGTTCTCGGCCCCTAGACTCCTAAGTCCTAGACTGAGACTCGACAGGGAGGCATCCGCCATTTAGGCCTCTGGCCGGCTTCTCGGCTGAAGTTCACAGTGGTCGAAGAGAAGCTGTCATCTCATCAGCTGGCATCACGGCAGCCTGAGGCTTCAAATTCGGCAATGAGCACCCTCTTGCCGGCTGCGCGCCCAGAGCTTTCGCTAATCCGGGCCTCTTGCAGCGTTGCTTGCACGAAGGATTCTTTTCATGTGGGATCTGTCGGCCCGGTGCCCAGGACTTTGCTGGAGAAGTTTGTATGCGCCTTTACATTGGTCTTCTTGCTAGGTGCGCAGGCAGATTCAACGAGGCCCACACTACCAGCTCATTCCTTTGGTGCGGGGCTCCGACGGCTGGGACTCCGGGACTTGTCTCTCCCGAGAACTGCGTGGCTAAGGAACTTGCGATCGTGAAAGCGCTCGAATGAAAGTCTTCATGTCCAGAAAACTGGAGAAGTCCAAGGTTCGGCGCTCTTGCTCAGAGCCCAGAAGCCGCCTATGTCTGAGCAATGCCTCGCAGAGGCCAAGCTCAATTCCCCGGGTCCAGTCTACGACATCCCCTCGGCAGTGTCGGACTTGGCCCGTCTTGTAGAGACCAAAGCCCGCTCTGAGCCACGAAGGTGGGAGCAGCCCCGAGCTTCTCCTTCGGAACCGACGTGCAGCGGTGCGCTCTAAAACAGCTCGCGCCTCTGCTTCGAGCCTTCAAAGCGCGGCCCCTGCCGACAGGAAGCACGATCCCAAGAAGTATCCAGACTCGACCGTGGACCTGACATGCGGGGGCCTCCACCTCCGCCGTGGGGTTCCGCTGCATTCATGGCGTTGCATTGCGTTTTCACCTCAGGTGCCACGGTCGACACGCAGAAAGTGAAGTACGCGAAGACTCCGGGCTGCCACTTCGGCACTGAGCCAGGGCCTCGAGTCTCGAGCTCACGATTCAAGTCCGGGCCCCCGCTGTCCTGTGGGAGGGAACCCTACTACACAGCAGGCTTTCTCCGTGCGGATATTATCAGAGACCTGAGTGCTCTTGCTGAGTGGGTTGCTTCTAGGCAGAAGCTCAGCCTCAAGAATGCGGAGATCATCCGCACTCATGCAGGGTTGGCTCTGGGAGCCGTCCTCAGCACGTGTTGGGGGTTAATGGGCTAAGGGCCTGAGGGGCTTTGTGGTTTAGGGTGTGCTGTGCCGTGGCTTGTCTCGTTCCCAAGACTGTCTCACTATGTCTTCCGATTCCATACATTGGTCATGTGACGGAGCAGACAGAGACAGAGTTTCGACTGCCAGAGCCGGGAGTTGAGTTGGCGGCTCCTTACTCTCGAGACGTAGCGTCGAGTTGAGGTCTTTTTCATTCAGTGTTTGGCGTCTGCATCGCAGCTTCCCTCGAAGGGCTGCTGCATTCCTCACTCGCTGCAGTTCGGGCAATTCACAGCTGCAAGTACTGTAGCCGTAGACTCACATATCCATGCCAAAAACCGAGGTCGGAAAGACGGCAAGGGTCCTCTCACCGATGTCCCCGAAGCACCAAGATCTGAGATTCGACCCGAAGCATCCCGAAGCCGACAGCATCCGGCAGCTGCGCTGTAGCCTCTTCAGCACCCAGGCGCAGAGTCCCCAAGTGCCCTGGAGTATCACGTCAAGGAGGTGGCAAAGCGCGTGCCCGCACCCTGGTGCGGTTGGGACACGGTGGGAATTGGCGTGACTGTGAAGGGTCTCGGAAGGATCAGAGACTGTACCTACCAGGCCTGCCTACTCCTTTGGGCCCACAGAGTCCATGACGCCACGGAAGCCGGAACCCAGGCACGGCGAACTTTAACATGGGATGTTGAGAAAGTTACAAGCTGGGGCCTGAATTCAGCGTTTCGGAAGCTGTCCGCAATGTAAAGAGCTGCTGTGTATTTCTTTCGGCAATCGTCAGGGCACCGCGATGTAAAGGTGGTGGCTTTCCATGAGAAGGTCAAAGTACCGAAGCCACTACCACAACTGGGTACCGTATCATCTCTGACGAGCCCCGGTTCCCTCGCAAATGCGACTTCACGCGCAGTACGAGAAGGCTGAAGGGTCTACGCTTGCGGGGAGGACTCTGGAAGGTAGAAGTGCCCGCGTCAAAGGCTTGGAGGTTTAATTTCTGACTTGTGCTCTGGATCCGAAAGCCCTGCAGCTGCCTGCAGGGTGCAGCTCTTGCAGTCGAGCACACCGGCGCGGGTTGGCCCCGGCAGCGAGCCTAGAGAAGCGTGATCACAGGGCCAGAGCTTCAGACAAGACTCTTGCGTCACGGGAGGGCAAGCCCCAAGAGCATGTTCATCTCCAAGGCTCCCACCCAAAGCCGTCCAGCCTTGGCCAGCAGCCGATGTCTCCGCGCCCCACCGCGCCGGCGCGGATGGAGGGGGAATGGGTGCTCGAGGGGTTTTCGGGAACGATGGTTGAGGGAAGCAAGGGTATGTATTGTGTTATTGTGCAGAGGCAGAGGTCCCGGTGTGATTCGCAGGCCTGGACGATGCCCGGCCGCAGTCCCCGGGAGAAGCCGCAGGGATCCCAAGAAGTTTCCGTAAAGTCGTAGTCGTAGAGCACGTCAGGGTTGGTTCGCGGTGCCTCCAGGCAGACGGAGGCTCTTGCGATCGAGGACAAAGTCTTCAGCTCCATCGGCAAGCAGGCGACCTCTCTTGGAGCCTGGATTGCAACATGTCAGTGGGGAAAAGTTCTCACGTAAGGTGCTGTCCACAATCCGATCTCCCCGCTCCGTGGCCACGACGAAGTCCACCCGCGACCAAGTCAACAGGAGCTGCACACTAGCAGAACATAACTTGCTATGGTCCGCGAGACAAAGTCTCGCGACTCCAAGGTGCTATACGTTTCTTGGAGGAGGGTCGTCTGGTCCGCATCTCCAAGGTTTGTTCGAAGTCCGCCCAGCGAAGAGCCACTTGTGGGCTGGGTACACTCTCCAGAGGCGGTGCCGTACCTCGGCAAGAGCCATCACAGAAGCAGCAGGAGAGCTCTCCTGCTGTTTCTGTGCTGGGTCTTGCCGAAGTACGGCACCGCCTTTGCATAGTGTGACGCAGCCCACAAGACAGCTGGGCGGACTTCGAACACACCTTGGAGACTTTGACGAGGCACCTGGCTCTCTGCCTTCACCCCGCTGCACATCAACGAAGATCGACTTGGACGGCACGGCGACCAGATTGTTTCGCTGCTTCGCCCCGTGGTGCAGCGGAGGCCACTATCTTCTTCACTGAAGAAGATAGTGGCCTCCGCGTCACGGAGGGCAGCCTCGAGGACAGATGCGATTCAGGAGAGTTCTGAGTGTGGGAGCTTCTGGGTGACGCTGCAGCGGGCGCTCCGTGAGATGTGCTGTGTCGGTCGCTGAGGCTTTGTGGTGCCACTTGTGTCATCTTGTCTCACCTCGGAGGTCCTGTAATCGTGCGAGGATGCCTAAACGAGTGCCACTTTTCACTGCAGCTCGCAGCAAGCCGCCATGTTCAAACCCTCGTCCGGAATGTCGTGAAGATCCCCTGTTCCTTTTCCGCAGCTCAGACAGTGCCACGCAGTGTAGCTGTCTAGCTTTTGCCTCGGCCTCATCGGCCCCAGCAGAGCTCCATGGCGCTCACTGGGGCCACAGCGGTCTGCCGCGATGACGCAGCGGATCCCCGGCTTCTGGGCCGGCGCAGCGTCAGCGGCAAAAAACAATTCGAGCAGAAGTTCCGCCTCGAGGCATCGTTTTCTGCAGCTTCCGTGCCCCTTCAGACATGATCATGATACTAGTAGATAGTAGCTGGTTCGTAGCTGGTCGGTTCAGAGGAGCTGGCGCAAGAAGGGCGGAAGGCTGCCGGGAGCGGGAAGGCGGGCAAGCAGTCGCGGACTTCCCACCTAATCGGATGCAGCAGTATCCGTCTGTCGCACGGGACGATGCCTTGGGGAGGGGGCAGGGGTTGATCATGTCATCTCTGTCTTGGCGCAAGGTGGAGGAAGCGGTGCAGGCCGGCTGGGCCACCTTGGTTCAGACGGTGAAAGTCCGGGAGACCAAAAGCAGGGACTCGAAGGTGGTCGGTCTCTTGCCCGAGGGTCGTCTCGTCAAAATCTCGAAGCTTTGTTCCAAGTCCGCCCAGCTCGAAGAGCCAGTGGTGGGCTGGATAACACTGTGCAAGGGGGGTGCCGTACTTCGGCAAGACCCAGCCCAGAAGCAGCATGAGAGCTCGGCTACCATGTGGGCCGTTGCCAACGTGATGGCCCGGTATGGGGCCACGCCAACGCTGGCGAGTGCCACGCCGGGTAGCAGCACAGACGTGCAGGAATTGGAGTTGGAGACAGATGCCGTGGTTGCCGTGACGGTCCAGGCAGTCGAGACGCCAGCTTCTGAGAAGCCTTTCCATTTCTTGCCGTCGGTGGGGACCTGGCTCTCCGCCGCTGTCGCACCGCAAACAGGACTGCTGCCATCTACACGGAGGGCGACCTCCAACACAGACATGGCTCCTGCATCGTTTGCCGTGGATTTTTTCGTAGACCACGCGGTCGTGGAACCCAAAGCAGAGGCGCAAGAAATCATCGACCAGGTTGCCGTGACGCCATTCCGGCAGTTGCCATCCGTTGGCACCTGGCTCTCTGCGTTCACCCCGCGGAACATCAGCGAAGAGCAACTTGGACGGCAGGGCGACCAGATTGTTTCGCTGCTTCGCCCCGTGGTGCAGCGGAGGCCACTATCTTCTTCACGGAGGGCAGCCTCGAGGACAGATGCGATTCAGGAGAGTTCTGAGTGTGGGAGCTTCTGGGTGACGCTGCAGCGGGCGCTCCGTGAGATGTGCTGTGTCGGTCGCTGAGGCTTTGTGGTGCCACTTGTCTCATCTTGTCTCACCTCGGAGGTCCTGTAATCGTGCGAGGATGCCTAAACGAGTGCCACTTTTCACTGCAGCTCGCAGCAAGCCGCCATGTTCAAACCCTCGTCCGGAATGTCGTGAAGATCCCCTGTTCCTTTTCCGCAGCTCAGACAGTGCCACGCAGTGTAGCTGTCTAGCTTTTGCCTCGGCCTCATCGGCCCCAGCAGAGCTCCATGGCGCTCACTGGGGCCACAGCGGTCTGCCGCGATGACGCAGCGGATCCCCGGCTTCTGGGCCGGCGCAGCGTCAGCGGCAAAAAACAATTCGAGCAGAAGTTCCGCCTCGAGGCATCGTTTTCTGCAGCTTCCGTGCCCCTTCAGACATGATCATGATACTAGTAGATAGTAGCTGGTTCGTAGCTGGTCGGTTCAGAGGAGCTGGCGCAAGAAGGGCGGAAGGCTGCCGGGAGCGGGAAGGCGGGCAAGCAGTCGCGGACTTCCCACCTAATCGGATGCAGCAGTATCCGTCTGTCGCACGGGACGATGCCTTGGGGAGGGGGCAGGGGTTGATCATGTCATCTCTGTCTTGGCGCAAGGTGGAGGAAGCGGTGCAGGCCGGCTGGGCCACCTTGGTTCAGACGGTGAAAGTCCGGGAGACCAAAAGCAGGGACTCGAAGGTGGTCGGTCTCTTGCCCGAGGGTCGTCTCGTCAAAATCTCGAAGCTTTGTTCCAAGTCCGCCCAGCTCGAAGAGCCAGTGGTGGGCTGGATAACACTGTGCAAGGGGGGTGCCGTACTTCGGCAAGACCCAGCCCAGAAGCAGCATGAGAGCTCGGCTACCATGTGGGCCGTTGCCAACGTGATGGCCCGGTATGGGGCCACGCCAACGCTGGCGAGTGCCACGCCGGGTAGCAGCACAGACGTGCAGGAATTGGAGTTGGAGACAGATGCCGCGGTTGCCGTGACGGTCCAGGCAGTCGAGACGCCAGCTTCTGAGAAGCCTTTCCATTTGTTGCCGTCGGTAGCGACCTGGCTCTCCGCCGCTGTCGCACCCCGAACAGGACTGCTGCCATCTACACGGAGGGCGACCTCCAACACAGACATGGCTCCTGCATCGTTTGCCGTGGATTTTTTCGTAGACCACGCGGTCGTGGAACCCAAAGCAGAAGCGCAAGAAATCATCGACCAGGTTGCCGTGACGCCATTCCGGCAGTTGCCATCCGTTGGCACCTGGCTCTCTGCGTTCACACCGCGGAACATAAACGAAGATCGACTTGGACGGCAGGGCGACCAGATTGTTTTGCAGCCTGAGAACGAGATGCTTCGCCCCGTGGTGCAGCGGAGGCCACTATCTTCTTCACTGAAGAAGATAGTGGCCTCCGCGTCACGGAGGGCAGCCTCGAGGACAGATGCGATTCAGGAGAGTTCTGAGTGTGGGAGCTTCTGGGTGACGCTGCAGCGGGCGCTCCGTGAGATGTGCTGTGTCGGTCGCTGAGGCTTTGTGGTGCCACTTGTCTCATCTTGTCTCACCTCGGAGGTCCTGTAATCGTGCGAGGATGCCTAAACGAGTGCCACTTTTCACTGCAGCTCGCAGCAAGCCGCCATGTTCAAACCCTCGTCCGGATTGTCGTAAAGCCTGCGTGTTTCTTTCCGCAGCAATTTTTCTGCTTGTTCAAGGCCTCGCCGAAAGGCGGCCTGATTATTTAATTGCCGTGTCGGAGGGCTGCTTTCTGAATTTGCAATCATGATGGTACTCCATAGTTACTTGCTGGTCACAGCTACCAGTCCTTTCAGGCAAGGGTTCTCGGCCCCTAGACTCCTAAGTCCTAGACTGAGACTCGACAGGGAGGCATCCGCCATTTAGGCCTCTGGCCGGCTTCTCGGCTGAAGTTCACAGTGGTCGAAGAGATGCTGTCATCTCATCAGCTGGCATCACGGCAGCCTGAGGCTGCAAATTCGGCAATGAGCACCCTCTTGCCGGCTGCGCGCCCAGAGCTTTCGCTAATCCGGGCCTCTTGCAGCGTTGCTTGCACGAAGGATTCTTTTCATGTGGGATCTGTCGGCCCGGTGCCCAGGACTTTGCTGGAGAAGTTTGTATGCGCCTTTGCATTGGTCTTCTTGCTAGGTGCGCAGGCAGATTCAACGAGGCCCACACTACCAGCTCATTCCTTTGGTGCGGGGCTGGGACGGCTGGGACGGCTGGGACTCCGGGACTTGTCTCTGCCGAGAACTGCGTGGCTAAGGAACTTGCGATCGTGAAAGCGCTCGAATGAAAGTCTTCATGTCCAGAAAACTGGAGAAGTCCAAGGTTCGGCGCTCTTGCTCAGAGCCCAGAAGCCGTCTATGTCTGAGCAATGTCTCGCAGAGGCCAAGCTCAATTCCCCGGGTCCAGTCTACGACATCCCCTCGGCAGTGTCGGACTTGGCCCGTCTTGTAGAGACCAAAGCCCGCTCTGAGCCACGAAGGTGGGAGCAGCCCCGAGCTTCTCCTTCGGAACCGACGTGCAGCGGTGCGCTCTAAAACAGCTCGCGCCTCTGCTTCGAGCCTTCAAAGCGCGGCCCCTGCCGACAGGAAGCACGATCCCAAGAAGTATCCAGACTCGACCGTGGACCTGACATGCGGGGGCCTCCACCTCCGCCGTGGGGTTCCGCTGCATTCATGGCGTTGCATTGCGTTTTCACCTCAGGTGCCACGGTCGACACGCAGAAAGTGAAGTACGCGAAGACTCCGGGCTGCCACTTCGGCACTGAGCCAGGGCCTCGAGTCTCGAGCTCACGATTCAAGTCCGGGCCCCCGCTGTCCTGTGGGAGGGAACCCTACTACACAGCAGGCTTTCTCCGTGCGGATATTATCAGAGACCTGAGTGCTCTTGCTGAGTGGGTTGCTTCTAGGCAGAAGCTCAGCCTCAAGAATGCGGAGATCATCCGCACTCATGCAGGGTTGGCTCTGGGAGCCGTCCTCAGCACGTGTTGGGGGTTAATGGGCTAAGGGCCTGAGGGGCTTCGTGGTTTAGGGTGTGCTGTGCCGTGGCTTGTCTCGTTCCCAAGACTGTCTCACTATGTCTTCCGATTCCATACATTGGTCATGTGACGGAGCAGACAGAGACAGAGTTTCGACTGCCAGAGCCGGGAGTTGAGTTGGCGGCTCCTTACTCTCGAGACGTAGCGTCGAGTTGAGGTCTTTTTCATTCAGTGTTTGGCGTCTGCATCGCAGCTTCCCTCCTCGAAGGGCTGCTGCATTCCTCACTCGCTGCAGTTCGGGCAATTCACAGCTGCAAGTACTGTAGCCGTAGACTCACATATCCATGCCAAAAACCGAGGTCGGAAAGACGGCAAGGGTCCTCTCACCGATGTCCCCGAAGCACCAAGATCTGAGATTCGACCCGAAGCATCCCGAAGCCGACAGCATCCGGCAGCTGCGCTGTAGCCTCTTCAGCACCCAGGCGCAGAGTCCCCAAGTGCCCTGGAGTATCACGTCAAGGAGGTGGCAAAGCGCGTGCCCGCACCCTGGTGCGGTTGGGACACGGTGGGAATTGGCGTGACTGTGAAGGGTCTCGGAAGGATCAGAGACTGTACCTACCAGGCCTGCCTACTCCTTTGGGCCCACAGAGTCCATGACGCCACGGAAGCCGGAACCCAGGCACGGCGAACTTTAACATGGGATGTTGAGAAAGTTACAAGCTGGGGCCTGAATTCAGCGTTTCGGAAGCTGTCCGCAATGTAAAGAGCTGCTGTGTATTTCGGCAATCGTCAGGGCACCGCGATGTAAAGGTGGTGGCTTTCCATGAGAAGGTCAAAGTACCGAAGCCACTACCACAACTGGGTACCGTATCATCTCTGACGAGCCCCGGTTCCCTCGCAAATGCGACTTCACGCGCAGTACGAGAAGGCTGAAGGGTCTACGCTTGCGGGGAGGACTCTGGAAGGTAGAAGTGCCCGCGTCAAAGGCTTGGAGGTTTAATTTCTGACTTGTGCTCTGGATCCGAAAGCCCTGCAGCTGCCTGCAGGGTGCAGCTCTTGCAGTCGAGCACACCGGCGCGGGTTGGCCCCGGCAGCGAGCCTAGAGAAGCGTGATCACAGGGCCAGAGCTTCAGACAAGACTCTTGCGTCACGGGAGGGCAAGCCCCAAGAGCATGTTCATCTCCAAGGCTCCCACCCAAAGCCGTCCAGCCTTGGCCAGCAGCCGATGTCTCCGCGCCCCACCGCGCCGGCGCGGATGGAGGGGGAATGGGTGCTCGAGGGGTTTTCGGGAACGATGGTTGAGGGAAGCAAGGGTATGTATTGTGTTATTGTGCAGAGGCAGAGGTCCCGGTGTGATTCGCAGGCCTGGACGATGCCCGGCCGCAGTCCCCGGGAGAAGACGCAGGGATCCCAAGAAGTTTCCGTAAAGTCGTAGTCGTAGAGCACGTCAGGGTTGCTTCGCGGTGCCTCCAGGCAGACGGAGGCTCTTGCGATCGAGGACAAAGTCTTCAGCTCCATCGGCAAGCAGGCGACCTCTCTTGGAGCCTGGATTGCAACATGTCAGTGGGGAAAAGTTCTCACGTAAGGTGCTGTCCACAATCCGATCTCCCCCCTCCGTGGCCACGACGAAGTCCACCCGCGACCAAGTCAACAGGAGCTGCACACTAGCAGAACATGGCAGGACGGCATGACAGTGGTGTTGCCCCCTTAGGACTGCGCTGTTCGTCTCCGAGAAGGACAAGACAGACACTGCACGTGGACCGAAGCCCCATTTCAATCTGGAGCTGCCGGTCGTTGGCTTACAACCTGACCCAGTGGGACAAGTGTCCAATGTCGCGTTTACTCACTAGAATCACTAGAACATAGATGCTGCCATCTCAAGCTATGTTGGTCCAGACGCAGTGGCTGCCCATCGCCAGCAGTCAGATGGAAGTGATTCCTCTCATGCTGAGGCCATCAAACGGGTCGGCGGGATTGGCATATAGACGATCCACCCATGTTCTGAGCGCTATTCGCAACAATCAACCTACTTACTTAACTCTCGGGTGTGCATGTATGTATGTATGTAGGTAGGTAGGCATGTATGAACGCGCATAAACACTGTGTTTGTTCTGTATGTGGCTTCGTGATCTGTCGCACAACACGTGCACAAATCCCAAGCGTTTCACCTGATAGCGGCAGGGGAGTCATGAATGACCCTCACCCTGCTCGATAGGACCAGTTAAGGGGCAGCACGCCAGCAGCATCCCAGTCCAAAAGGTGTTACCAGTCTGCATGCAGCTGGTTGCCCCAGATCTCTAGCAGTTCCCGTCGGAAGTGGCTCGCATGCATAGCATGGGAGACACCAAGCGATCTTAACGCACGGGCTGCGCTCTCAGAAGTTTGGGAGACGAAACTGGCCCTGGCGAAAAAGGGTGCAGATGCAGATCTCCGAGCGTCGGTGGTGCTGGCATTGCTGCATCTGTCCACGTTTAGGCCCGGCCCTTAGCGTGAGCCGGCTTTGAGGCTTGTGCGGCGCATGCTACTGGTAACGAGTTTCAGGTGTTGCACGCAGCGTCCGTCTTGCAGTACTTCAACCTGTATCCCTACTCAACGAGACGTCCGAAACATGCTTCTGATCTTTGATCTTTGAGCCATGGGACCCACGGCGGGAGAGTTTCTTATGTGCCACGCCGAAGCACCTGGCAGCTCATGGGCTCTGCAGCCAGCGTTGAGGGTGCTGAAAGCAGCGGGGACGAGGTGACGGTGGACAGTGCGGGACTGGTTCCCCAAGTGGTGCTTCTTGGCGTGCAGGCCCGGAGACTGGCAGATCGGAACAAAGCTGCTGATAATGTTCGGGTTGCTGTTTCGGGTGAGTGAGTCTAATCTTGGCTGACCACAAAGCTCTTTTTCAGCTTTTGGAGCTGTTTTACATTGCGACATAATGGTGAGGCCCGGATCAACGCCTTGGAACTGGAATGCATCGTCCCGGCCGCTTGGCCTTGACGTGTCGCGCGCGGCAATCCTGGCATATGCGTGTGTGACGTCTTGGATCGTCTTGGGATCGGGTCCGAGAAGCTGAAGCTAGTAGGCATGAAGGATATCGAAGGATACTCGCCGTCGTTGGCAATGCACTTTCCCCAAGGTGGAAGCCCTCGCCCCTTTGAAGTCGCAGCTGTCGGATGCCTTGTGCCCCGGTCTGTTTGGAAAGCTTCTAGCTTCCGTCTCACTGGGAACCCCCGCGAAAATTGGATGCAAGGGCCGCATGCCCAGCTGGCTGCGAGATCTGCGCGGAGGCTGGTGAGGACAGGACCTCCAGCAGATGGTAAGGGTGTTCTTGGACAGCTCTCAAAGTCAGGATCCCTTCACTATATGATCGAAAGTCCAGCATGCGACTTGACCTTTTTGCATGTGTGCGCACTTTGAGCGGAGGCTGTGCGGCGCGTGGCGGAGCTTTGCATCGCGCTGGCTGCCGAGGAGCGGGTGGCTGTGGCCAGGGCTTTCTTGCACGTCTGGGGCCTCATGGTGAGGTCTATGTATTCGATTCTACTTCCCTCACCTTCTGTTCCCGAAAAAAGCCTTTCGCACAGGCAGGGCTCACCTCCGCCGCTCGCTTGACATCGCCTGAGGAGATTCGTGGTGGTAGGTTGCGTACTGACATCAATTGATCTGCGTTCGTGCGGCCTTGTCTTTACACGTCGACTAGCCCAAAATGAGGCTGTAATCATCAGACGACCGTACTCTAAGTGGTGCGTCGGTATGAGGCGAATCTGAAACAACATGGTGGTCACGGAGCACATGAAGCCTGCGATCTTGTCACCAAACCCGGTCTTGAACTGTTCCAGGAAGAAGCTGTGTATTAGGCAAGCTGTATATGCCCTGTTGCGGAAGTTCCCGAAAGCGGAGGCAAGCTGAAACTCGTGAAGAAAGCCCCTCCTCAATGATGCGCTTCGTTACTTCGGTTCACTCCGAGGTCGGGGTGGCCGAGCTGCTCGCCGAGGTCTCTTGGCCTTGAAAGCTGTTTTGTAGCACCTGACCATGTCTGTGAGCTGTGCAGGTTGTCATGCAAAAAAATCCCTATCCTAAGACAGATTCATGGCAGGATCTGCAGCCGTGTAGCGCGGAGCCTCACTAGTCACCAGAGGAGGAGAGCAGAGGCATCCTAAATCTCCAGCCTCCTGCCTCCAGCCTGCAGCCTGCAGCCTGCAGTACAGAATCGCATGATGCGAGCGAAAGTCTGTTCCATGCTCTGCTCAGGGCCTTAGCGCCGCTGCGAGCCTTCTGTCCGGGTCTGGCTTTGGAGCCGAGGCCGGGACCGAGGCCTCGTAGAGTCTTCTTCGTGAGACTTCGAAGTCAGGTGATGGCTGTTCTCGAGCCGTTGGGGGCGGCACTGGTGGCTGGGACGCAAAAGGAACCGGCGGGACATCCGCACCCTTCAGGGTGTGGGGGCTTTTACTGTTCTTTGGAGGTTCGTCGCCCCTGTCTCTTGGAGCACTTCTGGAAAAGATCCAGCGAGGAGAGGTGAGGGAATCCTCCGCAACGTGTTAACATGTCTTTTCTCAGGCATTTCACAGTGGACCCATCCTTCATCCATGATCTTCGCACGGCAGCATGATATAAGGACGGCTTCGTGGTGCAGATCCTGGCATCTTGGCAAGGAGAGGAGTTCAAAGTCGCGGTGAAATTTGGATGGCCGAGGCCAACCTGTGGCGTGTCTGCCTCAGCTTGTATAGCGCCGCGGATGCGGTGCAGAGCAGCGCAAGCAGCGCAGTCAAGCCAGGCCTGGAGGGGCCTGTGCAGCCAGAGTGGAGCATGGAGCGCTTCGCAAAGCCGGGCATCCTCTGCTTCGCCGACACCACGCAGCCCTTCTGCAAGCACGCCCTGGATCTGAGGCTCTACCAGGCCCTCCAGGCGAGGAGGCAAACGTGTCTGTTAGCGATTACTGTAGCTATCCGTCGACGTTTGTTTGGGACTCTCCTGTGGCAGACAGACTTCCAAACACCTCTCCCCCTCGCGACAGGCGGTGTGCATCTGGATTTTGGCCCTCTTGCTCCGTGCAATCGGGCACAGCCCTGGGGCCTCGAATCTCTGGGAGTCCTCTGGCACCGCGGCGGTCGCGGTTTCGTTTTGTTTGTTCCCACTAGAAGAAACAGCTTGCGCGAAGCTTGGGTTGGGGAGCTGGGAGCAGGTTCTGCAATGCAGACGCCCTGTGTGCCACCATCCTCGTGAAGGGGGCCTTGAGCTTCCAGCGTGGCCGACGCGAGACCTCCTGCGTGAGGGTGCCGCATGACTTGGCGCAGCTGCAGAAGGCGATCCTCTCCAGCGCTCTGGGCCTCAGCCACCCGAGCCTCGTCTTTGACGGCGATTCCTGCGACCGGGGCGACGTTGGCATCGAAGAACGCCAGGAGCAGCTGCTCAGCCATTGCGCTCTGCTGGCAGCCGCCCGTCTCAAAAAAGGTGCTCCTTTCAACAAGGAAGGCGCTTTCTTGGCTTGGCTGAGGCCGTGGCCTCTGAGAATGAGCTCCTGGATTCTTTGCTATCTTATGCCTGGGCAGAGGCAGCGGACCTGGTGCCTGTGCTGGCTGCACATCTGGCAGTAATGGCGAGCTCGACACAGCTCCCGCTTCCCCATCTTGAAGATGCTGCCACCAACTACATGCGGCACCTGAAGCTCCGGTCCCGTGGCTTCAGAGCATCTGTGGAAGTATTGGTAGCCGATGTGTTTTTGCAAGGTCCCTGATTATTTGGGACATACTTCTCCTCGAGACCTTGCCCGGACGCGGCTTCCTCCGTGACTGCGCGCAGCTCGCCTTCCACGTGGCTCCCAGTCCTGAAGCGGCCAGGTCTTTGGTCTCTCGAAGTAAAGGCGAAGACGCCCTGGCCGTGGCCTTCTCCTGCGCCCTGCTGGCAAACGCAGGCCTCGCGCCGAACGAGACGGCCGAGACGGCCGAGCTCCTCAGCAAACTCTCCGCGGCGATGCGGGGACAGGCGAAGGCTCAGCTGGAGGTCACCAGTTTCTGGAGAAAGGAGAAGGCCAGGCGGGCACTGCTACCATCCACCATCTGATCTGCAGGTGCAGCAAGTTGGCTTGCCGATGCTGCGACTCTGCCATGACTGGTTGTCACTGGGGCTCAAGTCAACATCGCAGGGACGAGTGCAGTATCATGCAGCTGCTCGCAGTGGTTGTAGTTTCAGATGCCAAGAGTGTATGCAGTGGCACGCCGCAAACATGGTTTCACATCAAGCATCTTGAGACACCATTTAAACACCTTGCTGCCGCCATGTGGACTTCTCCAGTCTCGAAGCGGGAGGCTATGGATAAGAATGCCAGGGATTGGCAGATGGGCACGGACCTGGCGAACGAAGGGAGCCGGTTGTGGGGGAAGATGCAAGGCTACATCCAAGGACATACACCCTTGGACACGGAGAGGCATTGCACGGATTGTCTTTTCATTCCCTTGTTCTTGGCTGCAATCGTTGGGCTTTGCCTTTGCATCAACCATGCCATGGAGAAGGGAAGCTTTGAGAGGCTGACGTCGCTGCCGGATTTCGAAGGCCACCTTTGTGGAACGGGTGGGCAGGGGCAGTATGTGTACTTCTGCCAGCAGGGCGGGACCTTGGATTTGCAGCACCAGATCTGCGTTCCCAGCTGTCCCGTTGACAGCAGCACCCAAATCTTCTGTCGAGGGACCGGCACGAACCAGCCCAGCTATGCAACGCACCCCGTGGCTGGCATGCTCTGCATGCCAGCAGCTGCCGAGGTCGCTTCACAGGCGCGAACCAAAACGGGTATTTCTTTCAGTATGCATCCTGCTTCTTCCCGGCGGGCATGTTTGAGCAAGGTATAGAGAAGGGCAGAGAGAACGCGGCTTGGTAGGAGAGCCGAAATCAGAAGGAAGGCAGGCAGGCAGGGAGAAGAGAAGAACTGTGGCAGGTCAAGCATCTCTTTGACAGCAATCCCTACCTGAAGACACTCTTCGAGCTCGTGGAGGTGACTTTCGACTGGGAGCAGCTCATTGTGGCAGCGGTGGTAGCCTCCGTCGTCTCCTACCTCTACCTCTTTTGCATCTCCCTTTGCGCCTCCTTCTTGGTGTGGCTTTGTTTGATTGCTTTGGTGGTGCTCCCGACGTGTTTGGGTTTGGTCTATGTGTACATGTCTGCCAGCCCGGAGATCATTGTGCCCAACTCCTTCCCTGCAATGATCACATCGGGTGACACCCGGAACGACTTGACTGTGGGCCTCTCCCTCTGTGGGGTGGGTGGCCTCTTGGCCTGCGTGGCGATGGTGAAGGCGAAGACCATACAGGCGGCGGTGGTCAGCATCGAGGAGGCGGCCGACTGCATCCGTCAGATGCCCGTCCTGGCGGTGGAGCCATGGATTTCCGTCGTCATCAAGCTGCTCTTCTTCGTGCCGGGCATGCTGGGCCTCCTGGCAAGCAAGCAAGCAAGCAAGAGCAGCAGAGAGATGCAGAGAGATAGAGAGCAGCAGAGCAGAATCTCTTGAAGAGATTGACGTAACCTAGGTCTCCTGATGCTGAATGTTTCCGGCGACCTTCCGAGTCAAGTGGATTTCAGCCAGGGTCAGCCTGTCTACTCCGGGGATCCCATGGTGGCTATCTCCCTGGTCTACTACTTCGTGGTCTTCGTCTGGATCATGGAGCTTCTCCACTCCGTCTCACAGTTTGTCGTCATGTTTACCGCTCAGGTCTGGTTCTTCAGAATGAAAGGCTACGAGACAAGCTTCTGGGCCCATTTCACAGCCTACGACATGCTTTGGGGTTTCGTCTATGGGCTTGGCTACCATCTCGGCTCGCTCCTTTACGGATCCTTCCTATGCACACTCTTCCGGGTGGCCCGAATCTTCGCTTCCTTGCTGATGCATGCCTCCCAAAATTCTGGCAACCCCGTTGCAGAATGTGTGGCCAAATGCTTTGTTTGTTGTCTTTCCTGTGCAGAGAAGCTCATGCAGTATGTCACCAGCATGGCATATTGCGACATTGTGATGAACTCCACCACCTACTGCGAAGGTGCAGAGCATGCAGTGCAGATCGTAAGCGGGAATGCGAGCCAGTTGGTGGCAGTTGAGGGCTTGGCTACCATGTTTTCCTTCGTCGGTGTTGGCGTATCCTCTGCTGCGACTGCCGGAATCTGCTGGTTTCTCAGCACAACCTTCAGCCGCTACAGCAGTCCTGTCAGTGATCACTATGTCCCAGACAAACAAACGATGGTCATTTGTGCAGCAGTCATTGGCGCAGTCATGGCGGTTCCCTTCATGCATCTCTTCGACACGATTTGTGACACCGTGGTCTACTGCAATGCGACCAGCAGCTTTCGCCTGCCTACATGGCAAAGCTCCAGCGGAAACGGCGGATTCTGGGGATGGTTCACTGGCCACTAAGCGGGATCCCATGCCATCTTTGAAGGAAGTCCCTGAGACAAAGGCTGAGCCTTGTGAGATTTGAGCAAATAGCAGCAATAGCAGCAAGAGCATCTAGTTAAACTACAGTGCCATAGCTTCGACGACCGTCGCATTGAATTCATCTGCCGGAAAGCCGGCATGCCTGCCGCCGCAAAGCACGCACAGGGTGAGCCCAGCTGACGGAGTGTTCGCTCCAGACTCGCCTTTCTGTGCAATCATGATTTGTGCAGCATCGCAGCTGACTTCATCCTGTGCACGGAGGGCAGGATCTGCACGGATCTTGCACTGACTCCGCGCTGCCCAAAGCTAGTGAGCTAGTGCGATGTTTTGCGAGACTTCCTGCCGCGAAATGCTCTGAGCTGTCTGAGCTGTCTGAGCTGTCCTTGATCTGCAGGCAGATGACTGGCTGTCGCTTTTCGGCCTGGAGCCCAAAGAGGCCGGAAGCGGGAGCTCGAAGTTATCTGCGAGTTCTCCTGGGATTTTCGAGGTACCTGGCCTGGCCTGATAAGGTAGCGATTCCAGAAGCAGTCTCACACTGCGCACAACAAACTCGGGGGGGTTGGGAGGTGCTCGGCGAAGATGCGTCGGGCGCCACAAAGTAACAGTACACGGCAGGATCTCTGCAGATCCCATGCTCGGGCCTCACGGAGACTTCGTGCCGCCCTGACTAGGCGGAACCGAAAAAGCCGGAGCCGGAGCGCTGCACGGCCGGTGGCAGGACAGGGCTTCCCCGCCTCGGACCTGACCTAACCGTAACCGGCCCTGTGTGCAGGATGAGAGCTCCTGGACTTCGAGATCTGATGTCAGACGTCCCCAAGGAGTTTTGCTGCGCACTGGACGGCAGGCCCGCGCGAGCAAAGTGGGAGTTTCAAGCATCCTCCCTCCCTCCCTCCCTCCCTACCTCCCTCCCTCCCTCTCTCTCTCTCTCTCTCTCTCTCCCTCCCTCCCTCCCTCCCTCCCTCCCTCTCTCTCTCTCTCTCTCTCTCTCTCTCTCTCTCTCTGACACCCGCAGAAATTGGTCTCTTCTTGGTTGTGTTTGACGGTGCTGCATGTGTTCAGGCTGCTTGTGGATCCAGTCCGCGCGCCGGGCGGCCACGTCTACGAGCGCTCGGTGCTGGCCAAGGCCCTGGCGGAAGGACGCCGGACTCGTGGCGAGGCGTTTGCGTTCGGTTCTGCCACGGAGCATGGTGAGTCTCCGGATGTCTTTGGTCGACTTCCATGTCAAGCTGTGTCGAAAGTTTGTTGTAGAGCGAGAATCTGGGGTGTCAAAAAACGGCATGCAGCCGTTCGCTGATTTCGGAGCTCACGAAGTGCTAGAGCTGCCGTCTTCGTAGATAGCTCCAATAACCAAGAATAGCTCTTCAGAGCTCTGCGGAGGTGAGAGCTGCTCGGCTGTGTGAGATTCACGTCAGGAGATCCTCGTGTGCTTTCTGACAGCCCGTACACCCTGCAAGACTGCCAGCGAGACACAGGCCGGGAAATGGCATCCGAATCTCGCATACGCCGTCTCTTCCCGTCTTGTTCCGTCTCCAACTTGGCATTGTTGGCATGTCTGCTGTTTCTGGAATTTTCCAGGCTTGCGAGCAAGGATCGTCGATTGGGTCCGAAGCACCCACTCCCAAAGCAAGGAGAAAAGGATCAGCGGATCCCTTGTCCTCATGCATCGTGGGTCGTCGTGTGCCTTGTAGGATTTCTCATCAGCCGCCGGACTACCGATTTGTCAGCTGGTCCTTTCATCCTGGCAGTGCAAAATCCACAAGGCAATCTCTGCTTCTTCACCAGGAGGCACAGATGCGGGCTGAGCATGGAGCACCAATAAGGTCGTAGCAGTAACAGTTGTAAGAGCAGGTACAGAAGCAGTAGCAGCAGTACAAGCATCACCAAGCTGTGTTGGTTTTGCAGCTGCGCAGCCCATGGCGTGCCAGCCAGAGGCCACTTAGAGTCATGATGAAGATAGCCTTGGCGTAGAATCTGCGTAAAATTCCTTGCAGGCTCGGAACTGAAGGCGGTTCGTTTGCTGCTGTAAACCGAACCCTGAGCCCAAGTTTTGGACATTAGGCCTAGGGAAACCAACATGAAAAGCAGCCAGGATCTTGCATCTTCGAGACATCGTTTTCTGCAGCTTCTGTGCCCCTTCAGACCTGATCATGATACTAGCAGCTGGTTCGTAGCTGGTCGGTTCAGAGGAGCTGGCGCAAGAAGGGCGGAAGGCTGCCGGGAGCGGGAAGGCGGGCAAGCAGTCGCGGACTTCGCACCTAATCGGATGTATCCGTCTGTCGCACGGGACGATGCCTTGGGGAGGGGGAGGGGTTGATCATGTCATTTCTGTCTTGGCGCAAGGTGGAGGAAGCCTTGCAGGCCGGCTGGGCCACCTTGGTTCAGACGGTGAAAGTCCGGGAGACCAAAAGCAGGGACTCGAAGGTGGTCGGTCTCTTGCAGGAGGGTCGTGTCGTCAAGGTCTCCAAGGTGACACCTTGGAGACCTTGACCACCCGACCCAAGAGACCGACCACCTTCGAGTCCCTGCTTTTGGTCTCCCGGACTTTCCCGGTCTGAACTTCAGAATGCGAAAGTCAGTGAGGGCAAGTCCCGCGACTCCAAGGTGGTAGGTTTCTTGGAGGAGGGTCGCCTCTTCAAAATGTCCAAGGTTTGTTCGAAGTCCGCCCAGCTGGAAGAGCCACTTGTGGGCCGGGTAACACTCTCCAAAGGCGGTGCCGTACCTCGGCAAGAGCCATCACAGAAGCAGCAGGAGAGCTCGACTACCATGTGGGCCGTTGCCAACGTGATGGCCCGCATGTATGGGGCCAAGACAGAGCCAAGACAGGAGCTGGTGAGTGCCACCTTGCTTCCGAGGCACCGGACAAAAGAACAGAATTGAAGACGACGGCTTTTCATCTTGCCAACGCTCCTGCATCGTTCGCCGTGGATCCCATGGAAGACGAAGCGACGGGGGTGCCAGCCGGCGAGGAACCCAAAGCAGAGGTGCAGGAATCCATCCACCAAGTGCGCGACACCATTCCGGCAGTTGCCGTCCGTCGGCACCTGGCTCTCTGCTGATCAACTTGGACGGCAGGGCGACCAGATCGTTTCGCAGGCAGAGAACGAGATGCTTCGCCCCTTGGCGCAGCGGAGGGCGCTATCTTCTTCACGGAGGGCAGCCTCGAGTCTGGGGCGATGCCCATCACAGAAGTTTCCAGCTCAAGCCCAAGACGCTCAGCCGCGAGGCACGGCAAAATCTGCCGAAGGACGGCTTCCTAGTTCAAGCACAAATCCCACTGCATGTGCCATGCTCTCCGGCGAGCTTGCGTTGAAATGCTGCGCCTGTCAGCACGGGTGGGCTGGATGTGGATGAAACTCACTAGCACAAATGTATGGTTGTTGGCCAAGGGCACTCTTTTCCACGGCTCAAGGTGGCAGCTAGATGGAAGCAATTGCATCTTCTTTTTTGAGTTGGATTGTGCAGCACGACGGGTATAAAGAATCTGTTTACGCGCAAGGACTGCCAAGACACTACAATGGGCAGTTCGTGTCGCGTACATCAGAAAGCGTTGAACACGGACGAAGTACCTTCGGCCCCTCTTGCCGCCAGCGACACGCTTCGCAGCATGTCATGCTCCTTGCGCGGCTGGTCAAGGACTGCTCGTGATGCTCGTATGGTTTTGTGAAAACCAGCTTGGGATCATCGTCTTTACTCGTTGCATCTCTCCACCACTGGCGTGCATGGTGCATATGTGGCCTGCTCTGCCCGTGATCTTGTGGTCGTGCAACTAAGTAATTATGTTGATGGCGGCCGTGCTCGCAAGGTCGCGCCTCGCTTCCCGGGGGCACTTAGAGGCAGCAGCGCACCACTGCTGGCTTCTGTGGTTCTTGTGCACGAGTAGGTTGAAGTCAAGGAATTTCTGCGACAGCAGTTTGTGTAGAGAGCCATGGAAAGCCCTTCTGGTTCAAGCCTCCCAGTCTACCTCCCTCTGGCCTTCTCCAGCCATGCGTCCTTGCTGCACGGAGGGGATGGGATGTCAGGTAAGCGCTTGGGGACCTCATGTAAGGTCCTCGCTCGCCCCCACGCTTTGCCGCGGATTCCGCAAGGGCATGGTGCCCCCGGCGGTTACCGCTGTGCAGAGGAGGCTCGCCTTTCTCACAGATTTGCAGATCATCGATGCGTGAAGTCTCGCAGCTTATCGCCCTTGTCGTGCAGGTTCTTGAACCTGCACGAGTACCAGGTCAGCTTGGCAGAATGCACCCCCTTCCTCCTGTGTTGAACTCTTGTAAAGGGAATGCTGTGAGTTAGGAATCAGGCAGCGGGCCTTGCAGTAAGCTTTGCAGGCACAGATCATCTTCCAGAAGCCGCTTGGGTGCAAGCTTCTGTGATCGTTTCTTGTATGTCCCATGAGTGTGCGATGGCCCCTTCCCCGGGCTCCGGGCCCTTGCAGGTTTGGAGTCGGAGTGCCGAAGAACCTGCCAGCTTTCTCTGTCACAGAAGCAGTGGAGAAGGCCAAGGAGATCCCTGGTGACGAGGTGGTGGCATTGGCCTCAGCAAGGTAAAAGTTGCTGCGGTCCCAGTGTAAGTTGTGAAAGCATGGATGCAGGGCACGAAGCGTCGTGAAAAGTTGTTGGGCTCGTCATAGACGAATGCTGCACCAGATTCCCAGCTCAGAGCCCTCCGGGAAGCCCCTGAGGTGAAGGCCCAGGTTCTCGCTGGCGGCCGAGGCCTGGGCCACTTCAAGGCCGGGTTGCGCTTCTTGTCCTGTTGTTGCAAGTCCACAACGTCCATTTCATCTTCATTCTCCGACGCGTATGGCTGTTGTTGTTGATGATCTTGATGTTCGGATGAGGATTTGTGGGTGCTAATGATGACGACGTGTACGTTACCGGCGCACGTACTGTGGAACAGCTTCGGTGGTCGAATTCTCCTGTGGGGCCTTGATAAGAACAGGTGCTCAGACCGAAGATACTGTTCAGCTGGGCCCGGGGCTGCCAGGGATCCCATAGCCAAGAGGCATCCAGGATCTAACGCCTCAGCTTGCGCTCGCTGGAGCAATACCCAGCTGACAACGCCATAAAATGTTGCCAGGGTATGCCTTGGGAAAACATTTTCGCGGGACAAAACATGTCGTGACGAGGAGGGTCGTGATGATAATAGTAACGGGGTTGACGTGATGTCGGTGATGGTGATTGGCGTGCCTGCTGTTGGTGTCTGTCCTTCGTCTCGGCCTTGTCGTCGTCGTTGTCTTCGTCGTAGTTGTGATGGTCTCGTGTTCGTGCTACTCGGAGGATTGGGAGGCACAGGTCATGGGTGCTGTTGGAATGCATGCAAGTCTCCAATGGCCGTCAGAGGCGGTCGCACACAGCATACTTGTGTCGGTCCTGACAGGAGAACAGCTTCCAGGGCGGCGTGCACATCGTGCCCAAGACCAAGGTCGCCGAGATTGCCGAGAAAATGCTCGGAAAGACGCTGCTCGGTTGGCGGCCGTGAGTCTTATGAAAGGTGGCTGTCCCATCCACATCACGATGAACGAACCCGACCCTGAATGGAGAGCGCCCTCTCCCAAGCATTCCCGAGCTCAATTTCACCATGTTCGATTCCCAGGCCTCCTAATTCCGAAACGGAGAATGTCCTTGAGGACTACTCGTAGCTAGCCCTCGATTCGACGGTCTTCGTGCAAAGGAGGGCTGAACCCTTCGCTTGCCTTGAACGCAGGATGCAATAGAATTCTTTGCGCAGAAATCCTGAACGCCCTTCGACATCTACCCTTTTCACCTTTCTGAATGTCCTCCCAAAAATGTGGATGCAACGAGGCTCATCACCAAGCAGACTGGGGAGGAGGGCAAGCCCAACAACACGTAGCTTGGATGCGCAAACTCAAACTTCGGGATGTTGCCTCTCACCACACACCTTGCTCCCGGTGACAAGGGTGCTCCTGGCCGAGAAGGTCTCAATCAAAGATGTGTCTCGTCCTGCATTCGGGCAAGGATTGCCGGTTGATCCGCAAGCGTGCATCCCGAAGAGTTCTTGGCATTGCAGGGATCCTCCCGGCTGAGGAGAAATATTTCGCCATCCTCATGGACCGGGCAAGCGGCGGCCCGCTCATGATCGGCAGCAAGACAGGAGGAACCTCCATCGAGGATGGGTCGTGCCTGTGCACTCAAAGGTTTCACAGTACATCACTGAGTGCTGTCATGTGCCCTTCCAATGGTGCAGGACATCGCAGCAGCGGACCCCACGGCCATCATCAGAACGCCGGTGGACATCATCGAAGGCCTCCGTGCGCATCGCCGGCTTCGGCTGTTTCGCGGGAAGTTTGAGTTTCAGGAAATGATTTCCAATCCTTCAAGGTACATCCCGCTAAGCCCTCAAAGCAAAAGCCCATGCTCGCACGCCTTGTGACGGTGTCATGTTCGGGGGCCAGCGGCGCACAGTGAGGCACGAGACGTTATTTCCTTCCTTTCCAGCGTATCTTTCAGCGAGTCGTAAACCATGCCCTTGGGCCTTGGGGCAGGGATGAATGTCGAACCTCGCAGGCTGCAGTCCGCATCTTGTGACCCTTGCTCCTGCGTCAATTTGATCGCTTCGCCTGGTAGCCCGACCTTCGTTACTGTTTAGGCCAATCCGTGTGGATCAAAGACAGCTCGCCGAGTTGTGAAAATTGGTGCGCGTTGATCCTGCGCAGCTCTGCCAGTTCTTGCCGAGCAGCCAGTCTTACGCTCGCGCACCTTCGAATTGCGGTGGGTGTCACGTTTCGCAACACGGAGCATGAACAGCAGGATCCCAGAACATCAGCTCGTCGTCTTGAACCTGTGTCATCGTGTCAAGCATGGCTTGGCATCCCGTGTGCAACAGGAGTAGCTGGGTTACAGCTCCAACCGCAGACGTGTTGCAAAACTCAGCGTCGAGTGAAAATGCTGTTCTCATGCGCAATGTGATCGCCGACCACGATTCAAGCAATACGCGATACAAGCACACGTGACTGAAGGAAGAGGGTTTGGAATTTTCGCATTCTACAGGTTTGTAGGGTGCGGGTTTTGGGGCTTTTGTTCTTCAGTGAGCTTTCCCAGGTTCTTTTGTGTTCTTTTAGGATTTAGACTGCGGTTTCAGAGGTTCGGGTTTAAGGTTTCAGTTTTAAGGGTGTGGAGATTTAGGGGTTGAGGGAAGGGGTTGGTTCAGGCTTTGAGGGCTTGTCAGTTCTTCCGGCTGTTGCCATTCAGGGTTGAGGCCACATTTTTTCTTTACAAATGCTTTTTGCGGGGGTGTGAACAGTCTAGCGGGAGAGTCAATCCCTGCGCATCCGCAGTGCCCGAATCCGCGGTGGGAGACTTCACCGCTCGGTGCGTGAATCCTCTGGTGCACCAATGGGCCTCGCTTTCGCCCACGCCGGTCCGGGCCGGCCAGAGCTCTCGCCCCATTGTCCCAGAGTCCAGTCCACTGTGGCTCGAAGGCATCAAGATGCCGGCTGCCGAGAAGATGGCCACCGAGATGGGCTTCAGCGGGGCCCAGGCAAAGGAAGCGGCTGCTTGGAACAGAACAGTCGGACATCTTGACCTGCAGTGTAAAGTCAGGAAAAGCAGAGGCACTGCAATGCAGTCGCACATCTCAGTGTCGTTTTGGGAGATGGTGCTTGTCCGAGGCAACCCTGATGGCCAATCTCTACAAGGACGGGATTTGATGTCGCACCGGCACGAAGCAGCGTGCAGCTGCACCACACAATGATTTGCCTACAAGTGATGCAATGGGAAATCCTAAGTTTCTGAGCCTCGCGGCTCTCACAGTAGATTGACACATGCTTTGCCTTTGGTCCCGGAGCTCGGAGCTATGTAAGAGTAAGAGATCGTTCATGGTCGTGCGGCAATCTGCGCTGACGCATACTTGTTGCCACGCGCAAGCCCTGCTTGCGCCGCGAAGTCTAACAGCGGCCGGGATGTTTTGCAGAAGACTCGGCACCTCGAAGTATAGCACCAAGGGACATGGAAGAGATGTATCACTGCAGCTCGGATAGGTCTTCATCGAGTGCGACTGCACCATGCTGGAGATCAACCCACTGGCCTCGTTGACGGACGGTCGTGTGCTGGTCTGCGACTCCAAGGCCTCCAGTACGGTTTAAGACGGTTTGTAAGTTCCTCTTCTCCGGCTTGAGGCTTCTGTATGCCGGAACCCGTAGACAATTCGAGTTGCACTGCGAGCGGAGCATGATGAGCCATAGCTGTATAGGTATAGCCGCATGGCTGTAAGTATCTGTGAGTCACTTGGCGAAAATGCAGATGTTGCGTCCCTGTCCCACACGCAGCACTGAGAAAGCCTCGTTGTGAACCGGAGACGGAGGTCAACTTTGATGACAATGCCTCCTACCGCCAGAAGGAGATTCACGAGCAGCGGGACACCTCCCAGGAGAACCCCATCGAGGCAACAGCACAATATAGTCGGGACGTGATGAGAGCTGCCCAAAGCCGAAGCATTGGCAAGATCTTGCCGTGATTGGGCAAGGTGGAGGCCAAGAAGTATGACTTGAACTACATCAAGCTGGTTTTGCAGCCGCATTAGAGTCTATCAGAGACTTACTGGGTTCGATCCAATGTGCTAAGGACGGCAATGTGGCATGCATGGTGAATGGAGCCGGCCTGGCAATGTCCACCATGGAACCTCGTCACGGCATATGAGCCATGCACAATACACAGTTGAATCTGTACGAGCTCTGTGTATCAACATGCATCGTTTGTAAAGACGGGACAGAATCAGATGTAGCGGCCTTGGTTGCAGTGTTTTCAGTTTTGTCGAACTTACCAAGGAAGCCCGCAGTGACCTAACATTGGGGGTCTCTTTCTCATCTCTTGTTAATCAGCTTATCCAATCACCGATCACTGAGAAGATTCTTTGTGGGCTGCTCTGTCTCCCTGGCTCGGCCTTGAGCCCAACATTTCTCAACCCTGTAGCAATGTAAAGTGGAGCACACGAATATCCGGATCCTCTTAATTACATGTCTCAGTAGGATGGTTGCCCTTCCCGATGGTGCTTCATACTGAAGCATGAGCCTGCTAGGACCTTCTCAGCATCCTCGGCGGAAGCCCTGCCAACTTCCTGGACGTGGGTGCGCGGCATGCACTGCTTGGGTGGCTTTCGGGTGAGCTTCGAGTAGAGTAGAACTCGGTAGAACCAACATCTCCCGGAATTCCCTTCTCGGTGGGGACTCATGTGTCCTAGACCCGTTTTCCGCAATCCGGTCGGAGCTGCGGTCCTGCAAAAGGTCCGTATGACTAATACATCTGGGACTCCAGAGTTTGACGCGATGCGACTGACTTGATGGGCAGAATTGTTGCCGGAGCAACCCATTCCGTAAGCATAAGGCCCACGCTTGACAACAGACCGCCTATAGGAATGGCTGACAGGCTGTGGTCGCAGGACTTTGTTCCACGGGCTGTAGCTGTATGGGTCAGGGGTCGTTTTGCAGAAGCTCCTTTTGCTTGCGTGTCGTGTGAGGCGGCGCATCCACCGTGGAGACCATGACCATGGCGTTCAAGACGCTTGAATTAAACAGTAAACATTACTGGTTAGATTCATGTCACAAGTGTTTGTGGCGCAGTTCGGAAAAGCGAGAATCGGGCCTTGATCTCCCGATGATCACTCAAAGCTTTGTCACGCAATCCCGTTGCGAGCAAGGATCATCATGGGCGACCCCAACGTCGCGGCCTCAAATACCTAGCATTGGATGTACTGCGGGGGCGTTGGTTGGAAAGAGGTGGATCATGGCAGGGCTCCGGGAGGCGGGTAGGTGCTTCTGAAAGGTGAAGTCCATCTTCGTCAACATCTTCGGCGGCATCGCGCGCTGCGATCACATCGCAGAGGCCGTGGTGGCGGGGGTGAAGGCTGTCGGCGGAAATGCGGCCATCAAGCCGCTGGTCATCCGCCTGGAAGGCCTGTGGAAAACTGCCGGGCTGAAGAGTGGGTGCACCGCCTGTAGCCGGGAAGACGAGGTAGCAAGTCATCTCGAAGGAAAGTCGACTAGAAAGGATCGTGCGTATCAATAAAAGAGCGAACAGTTCAGCATTTAGCTGCAATGACAGCAGTGATATGCATCATGCCAGTTGTCGCAAGTTGGGCTTAATCTAGTTGCGAAAGTGGAGTCCCTTTCGCAATATTGCAGATAGCTCTGCGCAGGTACGAACGTCGAGGCTGGCATGAAGATCATCAAAGAGAGCGGAGTGGAGGCTTTCCTCACTAACGACTTCACCACTGGCGCCAAGAAAGCCGTCGAGCTTGCGAGCAAGTGATGCCGGACCTGAAGAAACGTTCGTGTAAGTGTTGAAAACACTACTTTGCCTCTCCACGCTCTCCGGTGCCTTTGAACGTGTGGGCGACCCTGCCTACCCTGTCCGATACAGATGATTTTTTTCGTATTGACTCGGGAGTTACCCAAGCATCAGAAACCCACGTAACCACTCTGGAGAGACGGAGTGGAGTCCTGATGTTTTGAGAGATGCAGCATTGATTTAACGTTGCTGCCTTCCTGAATCAAGAGATTCAGCTGTTTCAGCTTGCCAGGTTCGTGTAGCCTGTGTTCGCAGTTAGTCGATAAAACCAAGTTACTCCAGGTACAAGTCGACCTAACCGACAGGATTACTAATTTGCACAAGCCGGGGTGCAGACAAGTATGTTCACAACTTTGCCTCGGCATTCTAGTCTAGGACCTAGACCTTTTTTACAGCAGAGAAGCGCCTAGCAAGCAAGATGCTGCTGGAGCCACCTTGGCCGTGCTGACGCAATCGATTGGACTTCTCCATTTTGGCACGTCTCTGAGAGAGGCTGCAGCCCGTCGTGAAAACGTGCATAAGCTGCAGGCTGACTGTGTGACACCATGTCAGGGCTCCGGGTATGGAGGGTGTTTCCCTGTGGCATCATTTTGGGATAATTACAAGCCACTTTTTCCTCGGTTTCGAAGCACCGCGCATCCGGAACCTTCTTCCCGCAGGCACCACTGCGGCCTTCGCCAGCGCGGCGAAGGCGGCACCTGCCTACAGATGGCCATGGCAGCAATCTTGGACAAGTCATGGGAAGATGTTTGTTCTGAACGCAGGTTGCCAGATTCAAGAACCAGAAGCTTCAACTTCGGCCCTGATCCCAGAAGCTTTTGAGGGTCCAGATCAACTGGACTCCTCAAGACATAGAGGGTGATGTCTGCTGCTAGGTACGCCAAAGTGCGTCAATTCCGAGATCGACAGAAGGACGGCCTCTGCTGCATGGTTGACAGACGTTTTAACACAGAAGTTCGAAAGGATTCTGAGACAGGAGCAAAGATGACCAGGGTCTCATGCTTGCGTATGCTTGTGTCTTGCGTCAGCGAGAAGGAGGGTGACTTCCCTGTCCTGCTCAGACCGCACGCGATACCGGAGGCACGCGAATCGGCTTCAGCCCAGTTTGCCCCTTCCTAGCCGTTTGAGGTCGTGGGCGGGAGCTTCGGGGTTCAGACTCCGAATAAAGCAATCATGGTCCCACCTACGTCGTGTCCGCTGTGGTCAGGTCCGCGATCTCCAGGACCAATCCTTGGACGCCGAGGCCGGGCTTGGCAGCCTTTGCAACGGAGCAGTACTTGTAGACTCGTAGTCTGGGTGTGAGCTTGTTGTCGTCATCTCAGAGCCCTTGTCACCTAGGTCGTTTGACTGTGCACGTCAGGGCTTTGCGGGCGGGGGTTGGGTGTGTCACGGTGTGTCGATGTAAAGAGAGACGAGAGCCGCTGACCTTTCTCACAGGCTGAGGCGGAGGAAGCTCCCGCTCGACGTCCGGCTCAGGCCGCCAGGTGTTGGAGTTTGAGAATAACTGCTTCGATTCCTTGCCCACGCCCCAGGGAATCTCCAGACCATCGAAGTTTGTTGGGCCGAAAGGCGACACGGCGAAGGCAAGGGCCAGGGTAGTGGGGGTGTTGCTTGCGTACCGTCATCGTCAGCTTCAGCTCGCTGGCCACGCGGTTTCTGCAGGTAGCTTCTCTTAAGCAGACGAAGGCTATGAAGCCTCCGGAGGCCTCTTTCAGACTCATGATGCTGTGTGGGTTGTTTCGAAGGTTGCCTTTGCAAAATATGGGATATAGGCATGTTGCCCTGTACAGTAGCAGGGCCGTCACGGAGGACTCCTGGAATCCGATTTCGCTGGATGTGCCAATGATTGGGCTTGAGGCACCTCTGACAACAGGGCCTTCACAAGGGCTTGAGGCAACACAGCTGGTCCGCCGGAGCAGAAAAAACCCTCAACCGTTCCGGAGGAGTCGCAATTGTCGACTCCGGCGAAGAACAGCCAGAAGTCCTCCTTGGCTTTCTCGCCAGCGAAGACGGATCCTTACCAAGTCTTTCTTAGCCCGGCGACAAGCGAGATGGCGGACGGAGCTCTAGAAGCTGCTCTGAAAGAGCAGTTTGGCCAGAAGGATCCGCTGTCACCGACGCTTCGACGTGTCAGCGATTCGGATAGAGCATCTGCAGGTGGGCCACAAGCTCACAAGCATGTCGGTGGACGTGCAGACTCGAGTCCTTTCCCTCTACTCGGTCTTCCTTCAACCGGCGCCCTGTGGTGAGCCGGAGGAGCGGCAGACAATAGATACTACATGCTTTCATCTTATGAATTAGGGTCAGGGCTTGGGGGTCCAAAGGGCTTCTGCAATGTGCAGTGCCCATCGTCGCCGCTGCAAATTCATCTTCAACGTCCCTCGCATGTGGTATGATGCTGTGCAGTGTCGACGACGTTTGTAGCTTCTGCAAGAGGGCTGTGCCGGCATACAGTATTTTGTACTTTACATGCTTTGGCTATGCAGGTGCCCCGCTTCAATCCGGACCGGGACATGAGCGAGCAGGAGATGCTCAAGAGTCACATCATGGTAAAATACCAGATTCAAGCTTCTGCTCAAGAATTCGGGGCAGGGTCTTGGCCGCGGCTGTTTTGTCAAATCAGTGAAACCGTTCCTCGGCCCTGATGCACGCAGGAAGCTGCCGAGCTGAGGGCGTCCAAAGCGCCAGCAGCCCAGTTGCCGTCTGCAGCTTTGGCCGTCACAGCCTGTCGGGTACAGAGGCGCCTTTTGGCAAAGCAGCTCGCCGAGCGCAACTACAGGCTCACGTCTCTCATTCCCTGCGAGCTTGGTGAGTAAAGCCTCTCGTGACGTTTTTCGGAACTTCCATCAGGTACATCCCCAACCCATACAGCGAAAAACCCGGCCCACTCGGGACGGTTGGGAGCCAAGTTCCTCGATCCGAGACGTCGAGAGTCGAGACGGGAGTGAGCACTTGAGGATGCCCAGGCGGAGGCCGACTACTTCGACAGGTCTGAGCCTTGGCTCTTGCGCCGGCCCGCCACACGTGGAAACATCTCGCAAGTCCAGCCGCAGCATTGCTGGACCTATTCATGAAGTCGGTGCCGTTGAGGTATTTCAACGGCCGGCCTCCAACACGAGATCGCCCACCCCCGACGTTGTCCACCACGGACGGTGCTCCGGAGGCCAGGCGGGAATGGAACGAGAGGTCGCTGCTTCCTTTTTGGAGCTAACCTTCATTGCTTTATCCATGCCGCCACAGCCCTTCCCATACGCCAACGCGACCTGGAGGACCTCGTGGACCCGCGCCGCGCGAAGCCAAAGCCGATTCCCCGGATCAGCCTGCAGGGTTCGAGCACAGCTGGCAACACGGGCCCTGCATTTACAAAAGTATGTAAGATGTGTCCGAAGGTGTCCAATGCTGCTACCTTTTAGGGGTCAGCAGCTTGCTTGGTACATGGATGGCCCGCATGATAGTGAGGCGAGAGCGAATCTCGCCAAAACGGTTTTGGATACAGCCAGATCATGTTACGTGCCAGCCTCGGATGCACATGGAGGCGAAATGCTCGTCGCATTCCGTGCGTCTCGGTACCGACAGCGCTTAGGCCGGATGCACCTACCGTGGCCTTCATGAATTCACGCGAGCTGAAGTATGCCATGGTTAACGAGGCAAGCCCTGAGAAAACCGTGAAGTTTCGGGACTCCTCTGTGGATGTTGATGTCCCATCTCTGCACACGGGCTGTAGCATCACGAGATGGACATTTTCTGGCCAGGCCTACTTGGTGCGGAAGTGGCGCAACGACCAGCCTGAGGCTGGGTGAAGCCTTGCAAATTCTGGGAACAGGTGGTCCGTCTTGCCCATCGATGCAATGCAGTACAAGTAGCATCTCCAGCTTCTGATTCTTGGGCAGGGACGAAAGGCGGGGCTTCCGGCTTCGTGGCTGCACATATAAGACTTGCAAGTTGTGGTTCGGAGACGGCCGTTTTCCTGAGCAAGGGAGGTTCAGTGGAAGTGCAGCTCTTCGTGTCCAGTACTAGGCAAATTCGGATGTGATCGAGATGTGTCAGGGACGACACTTGTAGCAAAGGGGGCTTTGTGCCAGAAGTGAGCGGTTGTGGGGTGACAGCCGGCAAGACCACACAGATGCAATGTCCACAGCGAAACGAAACCTCTTCCCTCGGCCGAAAAAATCCCGTATCCCATGGCCCGTGACCGCGTCGAGCCCCGTCTAGCTGCAGACCATAGTCCGCGGGGATCCGCGAGGTCGTGGGTCTCAGAGTCCGAATCGAGGGTGCCGTTGCGCTACAAGGCTGGTGCTGCCGAGCTTTGGATGGCCTTTGGCTATCGCGCAGACCTGGCCCCAGCTTTCGGTTTTTAGGAGTTTAAAGTCTAGGATTGGGCTGCGGGGAGAAGCATGCAATATTCTGCACTGGCGCGGCGTGTGCCGTGATGGTGCGGTTGAGTTCCTGCAATTTTCACAAACTTCCTTGACAATTGCCTCATGGATCGTGCGCTCGCTCGAGACCTCAGCTAGCATCCATCCATTCCAGGCCGAGCTCTCATGTGGTCGCACCGTGCGACCTTTGCCGGGAGAGGATGCGGAGGGTGCGCTGGCCCCGATTAGCTGGTGTAAGGCGTAAGGGGTCACCTTTTTTGGACCGGTTCATCCTCGATCCTGCAGGTACTGGCACAGGCAGAGTGCCCCGGAACCGGTGTAGCCTGTCGACTACCCTGCGCTTCCTCCAGGCGGGTGATGCTACGGTTTTCTGACCCTGAAACCCATGAACTCCATCACCTGTCCGCACCTGCTTTCGTTTCGGTGACGGGGCAAACACAACCCTGAACTCTCCAACGCAGGCGATGGCTTCCGTGCAGGCGGGGCCCTTCAGTGCCCTGCATCACCTTCTGCACCGAGTGTGCCTTGGCGGGCACTGGGGTCACCACATCCTCGACTTCGGGTGTGTTTGGTCGAGATTCCTTGGCTTGCTGCTTCCGATCACGCGCGTTCTGCTTCGGGGTTGGTTGCCCATTGCCCATGGCTCTTTGCAGAGCTCGTTGCTGTCAAGCTTAAGGGTTTCGCGTCCATCGCTGCATTCACGACTTATTCATATCCTCCAGCCGCCCTCCGGTGCCGCCAGCAGCTCCGACACCGTCGCCGACCAAGGCATGTAGCCAGCAAATACCAGCAGCATCACAATCGTAGCCACGACATGGCCATTAAGTCCACTTCATGTTCATCTTCAACCCGTCCCTGGAGGCGACTTGCAGTTTTGCAGAAGGGTTGCGCGAAAGGTGGCAGACGCCGTAGTTGATTTCAGGATTGCGGGGTTGTTGCAGTTTGCCTTTGACAAAAAACCCTCACGAACGGCATCGCCCGTGGCATTGTCCTCAGCTTCAGTCTTCTCCCCAGCATCATTAAAATGCTTAACCTCTCAATCATCGTCTCCGTCATCCTCATTGTCGTCTTGACTTTCGTCATCATGGTGTTCATCATATCTATACTATTTAGGGTCGCTTCGAACCGTACAGCGGCGACGGCCACCGCGAACACAAGTATCGCCGCGACCCCGCGACCACTACCAGCGCCAAGAAGGAAGCTTGCCGAGAGATTCAGTGCACAGATCAGGCGCACGAAGCCCGAACGTCGTAGCTCGACTTTGTCTGTGGCAGCCAAGAAGAGGTAGCTCGTTTACGGAGCATAGCACCACAAGCTGGCCCCATTGCCCATGAGCTCCAAAGAAAACACCACCAAAGTTCAACTTCGATCCAAGGCTGGAACATTTGAAAGACCTGCGCCCGCCTTGCCCTCAGTTGCCGCCTTTTTGCTACCTTGTGGATGGGCCAGAGCATGAAGTTTCAGGCACCAGTGCTTTTTCATCCTGCAGGCTTGAGGGGAGAATTTTTTGATAGGATGCAGATATGCACGTGAGTTGAGAGTCCAATCCGTTGTCAGAGTGGGCGTAGCAGCGACATTGAACTGCCGCAGTTTTGCAGTGTTTTTGCAGACGTTGCAGGCCATGAGTCGCTTGCGGCTGCGACACCCCAAGGCTCTTTGATTCGTTATTTGCTTGACTCTGGGGTGTGTGACAGCCTTCTTCGGGGCAAACTGGTTGCGCGCATGGGTTCAAAGCTCAAGCTTGGCACCATGAGCCATTCGGAAGAATCATGTGACGAGCAACACACCACACAGCGCAAAGAAGCCGACGGCATCCAAACTTTCAGAAGACTGAAGATCCACACGATGCCGCGAGCTCGCCCTCGGTGATGGCGCACGCAGCCGAGAAACTCAAACCTCCTGGGCCTTGTCCCCAGATTCGGGGGGTTTTCAGAAACCGGCAAAACTGATCAACTGACGCTTGTTGCGTGTCCCACGGAGGCCCGAGGATGCTGACCCGGGCAGCAAGGTGCTCCGCTTGTCAAGGAAGACTTGAGCCTTTCAAGTTGGCATGGAGTCGAGCCAATTCCATCGCTGCAGATAACAGGTGTCTGCGGCAGCGCCCTCGGTAGTCAGTGCACTGAGCCTGGTGTGGGGCCCCAGCCGATGCCTGTGCAGTCAGTCAGGCTTAGCTTTGCAGGGTGATTTCTTCTGAAGCATGTCGTGGCCCACATTGCTGGCCGGACATTTCGCAGGGCGGTGGCAGCAAGGCTGTGTCGGCACTGCGGCTCTCTCAGCCTTCCTCAGATGCTTCTGAGCTGCTGTTGGGATCCACCTCAACGACGAGCCCAGGCTGTCCAAGGCCCCGTCTTTGCCAGTCCTCTCCGCTCCTTCGCTGATCGAGGTGTCACGACCTAGTTTCAGCTCATGGGCTGACGAAGGGAGCTTTGCTTTGTTCCCGCCTTGACTTCAAGCTCCATGCCTGCGCTCCCCAGTTGTATACTATGCTGAATTTACATTCTGGCTGTGTAGACTGCCAGCCTGTCTGTCTGTCTGCCTGCGCACCTCTCTGTCTCCTTCTTTCTTTCCTCTCTCTCTCCCTCCCTCCCTCCCTCCCCCTCTCTCTCTCTCTCTCTCTCTCTCTCTCTCTCTCTCTCTCTCTCTTCTGCATGCTGCAGTGTGCACCATGACTCTGATTCCTAGCATCCCGTGGCAGGAGGAGGCGCTGAAAGCACGGACGCAAGCGGCCCTTCTCCGGCTCAACTGTGGTTGGAGATCCACCTACGGCTCGATGTGTCGAAGTCTCGGCTTGCGCCTTGCTGTGGTGTCTGTGTGTCTGTATGTGTGTAGTTAGTGATGAGTTTAATGCCATGGGCGTGCTTGGTGCGGTGCTTGCGATGCTGCCAGGCGATGACATCCCGAAGCTGGCAGAGGACCCTGGGCCAAGTCGTTCTTCTCTCGGCGCTGGAAACGGAAAGCGACTAGCTGGCCAAACTCTTTTCTGTGCTCTGCCGTACTTCGCGTACTTTACATCACTTCAAGAGCTCTGCAGGAGCCCATCGCGGCGCGCCCCAAGGAGAGCGGGGAGCGGCAGTCGCCGGGCAGCCTCAAAGTGGGTCCAATTGGGGGATGTAAGGCAAATGTGACCCACAGCCAATTTGCGGACTTCATGCTTTGCTCATTTGAGTCAGGAGGAGTATGTAGTGATGTAGTATCCAATTAGGAGTTAGGGGTGCATCTGAGTTGGTGCAAACGAGAACTTCCTATTTTTCATCGAGTTTGCACAAGATCCTGTGTTCTTCCGCATCACACCGAGGCTGCCGTGGACAAAGATGGATTCTGAGTACAGGCAGCTTTACCTGCCTGTTGCCGTTGGTTGTGAGCACGGGCAAGGCCTGTCCGCGCACTGCAATTTTCAACAATGCAGGACAAAGTTCGTGGACCACAACTCACCTCCGCCTGCCCGACCAGTGCCCAAAAAGTTGCAGCTTGGTGGAATGGTGCAGGCTCAACATGTTGCTGACTTTGTGCCGTGCAAGTTCAGTTCTCATGCTAAGGTATGTTCCGACACCGGCCGAGCTTCAACGGGACAGCCGCACCAGTTGACAGCAAGTCTTTTGTGGTGGCAACGCAGCCCAGTCGTCTTACTCAAAGGTGCTGCAGAGCATCACTGGCTGCCTCGGCAGGAGCATGCGGCCAAGGAGAAGCATTTGAAGCTTATCGAGGAGGTTGGGTGGAAAGGGACACCAAAAGTCCCAGACGAGCGACACGAGCTCGTTTAGTAACCTGCCAGGCACGCGCCAAGGAACGCCGCCGCTTGGAGCCTTCGCTCAAATTACTGAGTGGTCATTGCATTGCTGTGTGCGCCGCGCTGTGATTCCTTAAAGGAACATGAATGACTCAAGCCGGTATGTTACACAAGTGCGAATGTCAGAAGGATGGGCAGCGGTCCGAGCTGAACACCGGCCCGCTCACTGCTCCCTTGAAGTGCAGTCCTCAGGCTACAAGGGCCCTGCTGCCTTGCGTCCTTGCGGCACTACGTAGAAGTAGCAGAAGACTCAAGTCTGCGATGAGGCCGCCTGGATCGGAGGCCAATCGGCGAAGGGATGACGGCTCTGCTTCAGCTCGCTTGGTGGTCAGAGTCAGGTCCACTACAACTACGTCGGTGGGCCGCCGCCCTCGCTTTGGAGGCTCATGATTGGTCGGTGGGTGGTTTTGATTTGGGCATGCAGCCTGCTGTCAAAGTCTGTCAAGTCCGTACACGCTCCTTGGCCCCACCGTGGCGGATTTCTTCCAACTGAGGAGCGATTACCGAGGCAACCTCCAAGCATATGCCGGGCTCCTAGACGGCCTCTGCACCTTGTCTCGTAGTCCCGCGGTCACTTTGCAGTAGATTTCAGGTACATACTGCCACGGCGAACGCCCGGATGGCTCAGCCCACGCCGCTGGCAGCCGGGCCATGTTTCGGAGGGGGCCGCAACCAAGCACATAAGCATGAGACGAGGCAGAAGCAAACTCCGCAGCCAGGCCGTGGTTTCTTCACCCATCTCGTTGTTTCCTGGCGTGATCGGCCATCCAGATGCTTGGTTGCAAATACAAATCGGAGACTAGACTCCGTTCGGATGGGCTCGAATTGCTCACGGCTCCACGTCCTACGTGCTTCAGAGTCTGCCAGGACATGTGATCGTGATTGATGCCGTGTCGTTTGCACGGAGCTGCACGTCATTGCACGTCGTAAAGGACAGGGCCGAGATACTTCGATGATTGCCAAGCAAACGTCGGCCCTGATCTGGGCAGCTGCATGCACGCCAGGGGCAGACAACTTGTCAGCATCGGGTCCCGGAAGTGGCAATGCTGTTTCGTAGATGGTTCAATGGATCGCCACCTAGCTTGAGTTCGTGCATACCTGTCCAGCATGGGGCCTGTGGCTTCGTGTCACCTTCACGGCTGAACGAAGAGCAAAGAGTGTTCGGTCCCAGAAAAGACGCATCTCGTCCCTCCCACGTCTTCCGTGCAGCGATCTTCATGGTGTAAATCAACGGGTCTGCTGCTGCTTCCAGATGCACCATACGGAAGTTTGCAACTTGATCAGAGATTCCAGCGCATTTCTGCTGAGGTTGGTAGGCACCTAGATAAATAAGCCCGACGTCGCAAGAAAGCGCATGAAACAGGCCGGCCGGATCCTCCAGCAGCTGAGCCTGGCCTGGCGTTCGCTGCCCGAGAAAAAGTTCCTTGGCGCCGGGTCGTGTCTGAGGCAGCCAGAACTCCGGGAGGGCAGGCAGAAGATCCGAGGTTCGTGAAGGCAGCGAATGCCGTGGCCAAGCTGGACCTGGGAAAGGAGCGCCTGGGCCCGGAGACAGCACTCTGTGAGCTGCAGGGTGGAAATGCTATCAGCTGTGTCAAGTTCTCGACAGCCGTGCCAAGGCTTTGGGCAAAGCCGCTGAAGGTGGCTTTGGAAGCGTGGCTGCCACGAATGGACGGCCGACATCTGGCCAACCTCAAAGCGATTGCTGTCATGGAGCTTTTGGATGAGCCGCAGGCGATGCACGCATACCTGGAGCAGTGCGAGAGCCTTCGCAACGACATCTGGTACTCCCGACACCTACAAGTCATTGAGGCCCACGTCCACCTGCTGTACCCTGAGTTGTGGAACTCCCTGGACGAGCGAATTCGCCTCTTTCTGCAGGATGTCCGGACTGCCGCAGAGGAGAGCCGTCAGATGCAGGCCCAAGTCGTCCAGGAAAGCTCGGCCTCAGAGAACTCAGAGGACGAGTCAGACGAAGAGGAGGTCCAGGCGGTGCTAGCTCCGACCTTCGACAAGCAGTGCTTCAGTTCCCCCTTGCACGCGGATATCAGCCGCATGCTTTCGGAGCTGGGCTTGGAGCACAGCAACAAGATCTCCGCGGGGCCGGTGCTGTTGGACATCGTGCACCTCGTCGGTAAGTCAGAAACACTTGAAAGTGTGCCTTCAGGTGTGTGCTGCTCTTGATGCGCTCCTTATACACCTTAGGCTCTCGACCGTCCCTGCCTTTCAACTTGCAGTTCCCAGTCGAAGAAAAGGTTTCCTCTCTGTCCATCCCTCCCTCGCTCCCTCCCTCGCTCTCTCTCTCTCCCTGGCTCTCTTTCTTTCTCTCTCTCTCTCTCTCTCTCTCTGTCTCTCTGTGCCAGTTCGCCAACAAGGCACCTGCCCAGCATGGTGGTCGTAGAGGCAGCGGCACCCTGGCAGTACTACCTGCGCTCCCCACAGATCACCGCACTCGCGCGTCGTCGTCAGGAGGGGTCTGGGCCGGGCCAGTGCTCAGGCTTCACCCAAACGGGTCGTAGCTTGTGTATTGAGACCGTGGCTCCACTTGAAGCCGCGCAGCTTCTCAGGAGATGATCTCAGCAATGGGGTTCAACCTGCATGTCATCCCGCGGCTTGACCGATCTGGACCCTTGTGCATCACACTAGGCATTTTTTGGCACACCTCACGCGTGGCCAGTTGAAAGCATGCTCCTGAAGCATCTTCTACCATCTTGAAGCCCGTCGTATCTAAAGACTGAATCCTGAAGCCCATGCTTGACCAGCGAAGTCCTTTGCATCCCAACAGATGCGCCTTCTTTATTTGCATAGAGTTGGGTGTGACAGCCCAGGTACTTTCGCTGGGACACCCTCAAGGACGATGCTGCAAAAGCGGAACTTCTGAAGAAGCAGCTGCCCAAGGAGGCTCAAGCTGGAGATCGTGTGCCATTTCATGGCTTTCAGAGCTGCCATTACATGCCTGGCCTCACCATCATGTGGATGCAGGTCACCAGCTGCATGGCCTCGCATGAAGGTGCTGAAGGCACGAATACGAAGAGAGCTTGCTCTTGCCATCCATGTAGCAGTCTTTGGCGTGATGGCCACCCGGAGGCGCCCAGGCGGATCAGGGACAAAGCTCGCACTCCCGCCCCTCGATTTGAGCTGAAGAGCGCAAAAAAAAGCAACAGAGAAGTGCCTTGCACCTGCAACCTGCGGAGGGAGTACCGTAGCCAGCGCTGCTCCCCTTAATCCAGTGTTTCTCTGCTTGGCATGCACATTGTCCCGCCTTCATCGATGATTAACATGCCCGAACTCTTTCAGCTGAGCTGGCATGTCCCCGGTCCCAGTTGCGACCACACCCCAAACCCTAACCAGACCTTCACGAAAGGAAGCACTGCAAGGTGCTGTGCCAAGCAACTTACACAGAGGCCAGCCGAAGTCCGTAGGAGGAATCCTTCACCCGCAAGCCATCGCGACTTCTGGCCTCAATGTCCGTTCCGTCGAGGATGCATCGCTTCAAGGCGCCAGGGTGTTCCTTCCGAGTGCTGCGAGCAGACTCAGAGCCGCCCGCTTGGAGGCCCTCCAAGACATCTTATCGGCATTGGCGCGCATCCCAGCCGCCTCACACTTCCGTCTTGACACAAGCCGACGAACTCTACTGTCAAAGAAGCCGAGCAAGCCTCGAGTGATACTGTGAGAGTAAACGGGCTTGGTGCACAAAGCTTCATGCAGACCTCAAGTTGTGCGTGTCCTAATCAGGCTTTCATGTTTGGTCCAGGAGTTGCCGCACTCTGGAGCGCAGCCTCGTACTTGTCTCCTGTGTAGCTTAGCCGGCGTGCGGACCGTAGCTGCGTTTCCTAGCTGTTAAGCCGCTAAGCAACTCAGTGTTGCCAGTGTTGGAAAATTGCAGATTTTTTCTGACCTGCTGTGGAAAGATACAGCCCGCACTGCATGGAAGCACCATCACCGAGGATTCATGGTCTGCCCGCAGATCCCACGTTAACAGCAAAGACTTGAGGGCATATGTTAAATGTTTCCCAAACCGTCTTAATTCTTCGCGCAGCCGAGAAAGCCACTAGTGCAGCCAGTTGTTGGAGCGTATGCTCCTCGAGACCCTGCCATGAGCAACGCAACTTGCACCGACGACCGTCTCTGCATACGCTACTCCTGGGGGGCTTGCTGTCAAAAGGTCGTGGATGAAGAAGATGTTGCGGGTGCCGTCCAGGTAGGGTGGGGCTTCCGCATCAGTTGCAGGGCTTGTGATTGCCACCGTCATCCCCCAGGATATGCCGAGCGAATTGCCACGGGAAGCTATGGAGCCACAGGCGTGGCTCCGTGGTTCACGAGCTTTACGTGCAAAGCCTTGGCATACTTTGGCAAGAGGCTGTCTCTCCTTCTGCCGTCTTAGTCAGGTTCCCCGTCCGGTCGGCGCTCGGCAAGTGATGGCTTCTGAGGCAGTCGCGCTTTCAGTTGACGAGTGGGATAAGCCGTGCTTGTAGAATGTTCTTCCGACTGCAGCCAGCAGTAGTTAGTTCAGTCGCGCTCCACAACCGCCTACAATATCCATGATCTAAGCAGGATTCCAAGCGTGGAGCTCCCGATTGAGTAAGAGCGCAGTGCTGCCAGGTCGCACTTGCGAGTCTGCTCGCCCGTCGCGCTTGGGAGGGGCTCTGCCTTCCTTTCATTTACAGGGTATGGGCGTTGCCGATTTACAGGGATGGGCGTTGCCGAGGGCTGTGTCGTGGCCTTGAAGAGAGTGTAGGAGGTCCTTCAGTGCTATATGGAAAGCTTACGAAGAAAGGTCGTTAGACAGCGATTCAACACGAGTAGTGAGGGCACGCCCTCGCACAGGTCCACGCTGCTTCCCGACTCCGTCATCCAGCAGGCTGCTGAATTTGACTACAGGTCTTCCGTCCCTTCTCACCGCTATCAGAGCAGGTGTACCTGCATGCGCTGCCTACCACTCATGGCGATATCATGAACTCCCTGCACTTACGGGTCTTGCAGCTACTGTAGCATGGTCACCTTTCTGGATTAAACGGGAAGCTTCAACTTGAGAAATCTACCGTGCGATGAGAGGCGTTGGCCCTCGTGGACTCCAAGAGCTGCTTTGCCTGCATCTAGTGTCACCATTGCGTAGTGAATCGAGGGTGGTCCGCGCTCCTTCTGCGAGGCCTCCACGTGGTGACCAGCCAGATGGGTCGGAAGGCCTATGAGGCGGAAGCGGGAGGATGTGGGAGGGCCGGAGGATGCCGGAGGCTCCGAGGGCCAAAGCCTTGAGCTTCAGGTACGTGGCCAGAAGGCCTCGCACTTCGTCCTTGCACGGGGTCTCTACTGCTCTTGCGCGGTGCTCAGGCTGGTTTGGGGTGAAGTGGGGGTCAGAAATCAGAAACACAACATGCACCACAGAATCGCAGAGGGTTCGTTTGTTCATGACATTTCTGGCGATTGATGAATTCATGCAATGTGTGCAAATCCATCCGCGCAGCCAGCCCCTGTTGCTCAAAGCCAGCCACTGCTGCCCTTGGCCATCGAGTACGGCTGGCTCACCGCATGAACTGAAACAACATGACTCCAATCCTGGCACAATGCCGTACAGCGCCTTAGGGCATCTGCAAGATGATTGCAGACGTGTGATGTCGAGACTCGAGACATACGTGGCAGTCATACGCCTTAACACAGCTCATGCTGTCCGGTCCCTCGCATGCTTGTGCTACGGCATTTGCTACGCACGAGTGGCCCAAGCCGCCCTGCATGACGTGGGGAAATGTTGTTGCTTCGCAACAGGCTTGGGGAAGCGCTGTGAGCAGTAATCCTTTTCTAGACTTGCTCGACGCTCCACGATGGCTTTGTGTGAGGTGTTTGGTCCAGAGCCGCGGGCCGTTGCTGTTCTTCCCAGGTGGGTCTTGAAATCCATGCCTGATCAGATTGGAGATTCGACTGGGGCACCATCAGCTCTTCTTCTCAAGCCTTGCAGGATCTTCCGCTTCACCATCGACACCACCAAGAGTGCAAGAGAGTCGCATGGTTGCTGCTGCATGGTCTCAGCAGCATGCGTCTGGGCTGCAGGGCATCCCAGGCGGTTGAGGTGAATTCGCCAGACGCATTCCTGTCACCATAGACAACGAAGCAGTCTTGTGGATACTCTCAAAGGATAGGACGCAGACGTGAAGGGCATTTTTTTTTGTTCACCCCTCTTTGAAAAGGCTTGGTGCTATTCTCCAAGTCCAAGCTGCCCTTCGTCAGTCACCGAGCGCAGTTATGTGCGCTCCCTCAGAGCAGATCCCGAGCTGGCTTCAGATCTCAGAAAGCTCCGAAGGCACAGGCCAAGAAGAGAGCGGCCCCCAAAGTGGCAGCCGCCAGACGGGCGCAGCAAGGTGCAAAGACGCCTCCATTCCTGCCGCCCGTAGCTTCGACGATTTGGAAGCCAGTGCCCGTTACAGAGGAGGAAGCCGACCAAGCGCTTTTGGTCGGCAGCGGCGGGCCCACAGATTTCTCAAAACTTGCAGAGCAAGTGTGGGAGGGCCAGAGCGTGCTCTTCACTCGCCGCTGGACCGATGTTTTGAATGTGAAGAAGGCACTCAACGCCCTTGCAACGGAGCGGCTTCGCCATCTAGATGCCACGGCCGAAGCCAACCGTGAGCGGAGGCGACTTCTTCGCAACTGTGCTCGGCGGCTCTTTGCCGAGGTTGCCGTGTCTACTGGCGAATTGAAGCCCAAGGGAGGCCCACCACTGGGCTATGTGCCCTTACTCTACGACGGGTCCTCCCGACTCTATTTTCGTGCCAACGACATCACCGCGCTGAATGTGGCCTGGCAGTTTTTCGTAAACGGCTTGGACTACAGCTTCCTGCAGAACAAGCTGCATCCGTTCTTCGGCGTCTACTTCACTCCCTCTCCCACAGAGACTTTGCTTCTCAAATCACCCGGAAGAGTTACTTCGAGTCCCGAAAGAGTCGTAGATCGCAACACCATCGATGCATCAAAGCTGAGGAGCACTTCCAGCTGCTACGCGACTGGCTGGGACAGCTGAAGCCCAGCAATTCCTGGCGTGTCCTGGACCTTGGCACAGGGTGTGGCGTCCGGAGCTCAGTACCCTATGCATTGGTGGGGCTTGACACTGCTGCGAGCTTCGAAGTTCCAGGTGATCACCTTCATACTGCGCAGTATGTTCCCAGACATAGAGATTATCGCCTCGGACCTTTGTCCGAATGCCGTCTTCTCCGTGAAGGCAGAGTTGCAGCGATGGGGCGTGCAGCGAGTCCGGGTGGTACAGAGTGACCTCTTCACGAGGCTGAAAGAGGAGGGCCCCTTTGACTTGGTTGTCTTCAACCCTCCCTGGGTGCCAAGACCACCAGAGATTCGGCCCGACGGAGCAGGGGACGTGATCTTTGGCAATGACTACCCCGCGGACCTCTTCGACCGCCTCTTCACCGAAGTGCCTGCGGCACTGCAGCCGGGCGGCCATCTCGCCACTGGACTGCAACGGATAAACTTCCGTAGTGATGGCATGAGGGGTCGAAGATCCTGCGTCCTGCTAAAGAGGCCATCCTCTTCTCGAACTACGCGCTCTCTCGCGGCCTCGTGGAGGAGAGCCCCCTGAAGGTCTGGGAGCGAACCGCGCCACTTCTGGAGCTCCGGGAGCTCCGGCGGCGGCGTGTCGAAGCCAAGGACCGGAGCCGCTTCCGCCAGACGCGCCGAGACAAGGCCTGGGCCCTCCTCGAGGAGGACGAGCACCGCGTGGAGCTCTGGCACTTCGTGAAAAAAAGGACGAAGGCTCCGCTTTTTGAAGCTCTGCTTCATTCTGCTGTCAGCGTCTGACACTCCGACCGCTCAGGTCCCTACTTCGGGCGACGAGTGATCGAGGTCCTCCGAGTTTGGAGTCTGCTGTCCATGTCTCTCTCTCTCTCTCTCCATTGGTGTGTTAGGCAACTCTCGCAAGGAGGGCTCAAGCGGAGCTGAGTATCGAACACAGATCGAGCAGCATGTTCGGCCATGCCGCTCCGCGTAAGTTCGCAACCGAAAAGGTCTTTCCGTCGCATCGCGTGAAGAATCCTTTCTTCACTGACGGGAAGCCGCTGGAAGAGACGGTGAAAGACTTGAAGAACAACCCTCAGAAGGTTCTCCCAAAGATGAAGTTTGTGGAGTTTGATGGCAAAACTTGGTCAAGGAGCAACCGAAGGTTGGCCTGCTACAAGAGAGCAGGAATTAGCGAGCTCCAGGAAGGTGTGCACTTCGAAATGTACCCGCCAGACGACCACTTCTTCGAAGGGCTCGACAACAGGATCTTCTTTGCGAGTCAAGAAGACTGTGACACAAGGACATACTGCGGTCTTTGTGCCGTACCATTCAGAAACCGCGACATGTATGTACAGCATTGCTCGGATCAGCATGGTGTAGATTTCAAGTCGACTTGCATGTACTGCAAAACCGAGTTCAGAACCCGTTCCGCGCGCCTGGAACATGAATGCAAAGTGGTGGCAGAGATGCTGAGTGAACACAGCATGCTTTGCATCTTGTGCAAGACGGATTACCCAAGTAATTTTGCATATCTTCAGCACTGCCGAAAAGTTCACGGTGTCGCTGTCGGCTCCCGTCACTGCGACTTTTGTGGACAAGATTTTGGGACCGCGATCGGCCAGGCGCAGCATTCCGAGCAATGTGCAGAGCGTCTGCGCTTGCTGGACATGCAAAGCAAAATTGAGGCCAATCGTTCTCGCATGACTGGGAACGAAGTGAGTTTCCACATGCGAATTCCAATGACATCGGCTGCGAAGCTGATCAACATGAAGCAGTACAAAAAAGATGCCACCGAGCTTAAGTATCGGTTCGGCATCACCGACGTCAGCATCACACCTGATGTTGGAGCAGATTCAGAAGCTTTGCTACAGGTCAGAGGTGTGAAGGATGCAGTCACTCAGTGCAAACAATGGGTTCAGAATGATATTCTCTCTCGGGTGCCCTACAGACCCTTTCACGCTGTCCACTTGACCGTCCAGAAACTGCAAGCAGGGCGCCGCTTGGGAAAGTGCGCGCTGACGTTGGACAGTGAAGAAATCAAGCTGATGACCGAAGAATCTTTCACGAACCACATCCGGCAAAAAATCGGCATGAAGAAGATCAAAGCAATGAAGGTCCAGTTTGACGGCGAGGAAACTCCTCCGGAGGAGTTTGTGTTCTTGAAGCTGGCGGATCGAAGTGGTCGCTCTTCAAGGATCGCGCTCCTGGCATGGTAATCTTGGCGAAGCAGTGCACAAGCAAACTGTAAGCCAAGCCCTTCGAGGAACTGAGCAGACGAAGCCGTCTTCAGAAACATCAACCTGCAGCAATCCATTGCCGGCTTTGGGTTCTGCTGGCAGTTGCACTATTCTTTTTTTTGTGCCCCGTGCAAGTGCTCTGTCATTACGTATGCCCCACTTCGAACCACTGAACGAGGCCGGGGAGCTTTGCTGCAAGCATTGGCTGGCAGTCCAAGTGGCACAGTCGCGTTCTCGGCAACACTCCGAAGAATCAGGATGTTCAGGCAGAAGCCCCAAAGAACATCGCTGTGGCAATGTCGTGAATTTGGTATCTGATGTCCGGGTGCAATTCGAATTCGGAATCTGAGCAGCGTATGAGATCAGACACTCTCCTCTCAGCCTCTGAGGCGCTGCGGCACCGGGATCGGCTCCTCCGAATGCCTGCAGGAAGATGAGCAGGAAGCCAAGTTCCAAGCTGGAATGTATCTCGAGTGTTTCAATCCACACTTAAGGTCAGAAGCATTGCCTCGGATGCAACCATGTTTTTGTTTGTGCGGGATGTTGGAGGTTTTGCATGGTTTTGCTGTTTGGTGGCGACCTGTTGAGGTTCTTGGACTGGTCTCGGCAGCGCATGCTGGGATGCCAGCCTGCATGAGTGCAGGCATTTCTCTAGACTCTCTCACGTATAGTCACACTATCCATGTTACAAGTTTGTTAGGCTGTGTTCCTGCTTCCACCGGCCTCTTGTACCCTCAACGATGACTTAGGATGGAATTGCTGTCACAGGCGCTTAGAGACCACGGCAGCGGATGATATGCGGCCGACAAAAACAGCCCGGTCGACAGACGATGGGGACACAGACCCAGTCAGTAATGCTTTTTTGTGTGTAATGCTCGTGAGAAGCAACCCCACCAGGGTACGTATTGATTCTGCCTTCTGAAATCTACCGGCATCTTAGTTACAAGAGAGAGAGAGAGGTTGCGCACGGGTCCCACAGACTTACGCATGATTGGCTGTCCTTAATCACTTCAGAAAATCAGGCTTTTTGCAGTTTCCTCTGGCACATCTGAAATACTGGGGCTTTAAACAGCCTAAGCCCACTGCAGGGATCGGCGATTGCATTGATGCGACCTGCTTGATAGCCATGGCTCTGGCTCGCAGCAGACGATAACTTCGGCCCGAGAGGAGCCCGGCTACGGGCAGGCGGGACCTGTTGCAAAGTCTGAGTGTAAGTCTCCGGCCTACGGCCCACGGTCGTAATCCACTGTCCATCTGGCAGGAGGAGCCATGGACCAACAGCCAGAAACTGAGCTGACAAAGATGTTACGCAGCACCTGATCATCGGGAGTCGCCGCCATGGGCTTGAGCTGAACTCGTGAAATTCGTAGGTCCATGCTCCGGGCCCTCGCAGCTCTTGATGACACGTCGCTCATCACGGCTTCTCGGCAAAATGGCATGAAAGTTTCACAAGCGGAACATCCCAATTACCTCCTCTGTCGCCTCGCCGTGTCCCCACTTCCTTGAGAAGTTAGACCGTCGCCCCAGCTGCCCCTGAGGTCATCACCGAGACGCTGCAACGGAGACCGGAGCTTGCTCCTGGGGTGGTGAACGGTGCTGTGCCAGCAAACCCCTCGGAGCGGAGCAGTCGCGTCGCAGGTCTGGAGTGTTGAGGGGCGGAGGGTGACATGCCAAGGACTTGACATATGCTCCTGCTGATGCATTGTCAAAGAGACGGGCGCCCGCTGCTCAGAACAGGCTTTCAGTAGGCGGAGTAGGTCTCTGCATGTCGCCATCGTGCATTGAAGAGCGAACGCCGAAAGTCATATTGTCTGAAGCTCAGACAAGGACCGGCCGAATCAAGCCGATGATGGGCACGGGGTTTGGCTTCATTGACTGCCCAGACTTAAAGGCTGCGCCCTTTGCTTCTACTTTGGAGATGTCTCTGCGGTTTCGCCAAGCGCCTCCAGGCGGTCTTTGGGCATGACGTCTATGTGCACAAAAACCAGGCTCGCTGCTGAATGCTGTTTACAGGTTTGCAGGAGCACCCCAAAACCTTGTAGAGGGAGCCGGAGCCAAAGTACAGAAGCTCCCAGTACAAAAGCCCCAAAGGCGAAGTTCAGGGATCTGCATGGCAGGTGGGTACGCTTCCGCCGGGCACAGAGGTGAACTTCGCTATCCTGCTGAGCAAGGCAGACTCTTAAGTCTTAGGGTTTAGAGTTGATTGAGCCTCACAGCATAATTCCGAATTCCTGCAGGACATGAAGCCGCAGGCCTTCGATCTGCAACCCACAGGCCTGCGCGAAATGTCGCGGCAAGTGGCATTTGCAGTCACCATTGCATGACTTTACATGGGTTCTGTCTTTGTGCAACATATGTGTTGCCTTCGTGGCATTCTGCGGCATGTATCTAGAAGCTCAAAAGCTCTGCTGTTGGCAAAGTCCCTAAAACTTGCAGAAAGACATTGTAGAGCATCTCAGGCTTAGCGCCGGGCTATGTGCAACGTGGAGAAAGAACGCAGTCTCTCCCTAGGAACTTTTAGCATCCACAGCCTGCGGGCAATGGCGGGGCCTGGTGAGTTCGCTGTGGTTGCAGATGGCTACTGGTGTGCCACTTTAGGCCTGAATCGTTGTTTCAAGAACCTGTACAAGCCTCGCTGAGTTTCGCCGATGACATGTTGTGAAGCAGTGCTCGTTTCACAGGACCACTCTTGCTGCTGAAGCCTCCGCAGCTGACTCCATTGCTGCGCCCGATCCCGCCGGTAGCAGTGCGGCCTTTAGGCCGTTGCTGTCAGCTTCCTGCCGCAGAGCTTCCCACGGGACTGTGCAGTCTTAGCATCATGCTGTCAGCAGGCTTCGCGACAACACTGTGGGGCACGCTGCTTCTGAACGAGCGCGTGAAGGCGATTTCAGACTTGCACATTGTACAGCAAATCACGACTTCGCCTGCGGCCGGGAGCTGGCAGGATCAAGTGGGCCATCGCAGAGCAGTGGAGTTGGTGTGCGGGGCGAACACGCTGGCTTCAGCCGCGCTGGCGGTGCCTTGAACTGCAACAGCCCTGACGGGTATGGAGACCAGCTCCAGCGTGAGGACTCCTGAGCCGAATCCCAGGCGTTGACATTCCGCGCGCCCGCAAGATCGTTCCTGGGCGCCATAACGCTGCAAGTAGTGCCTTGCCAAGTTGATTGATTCTGATGGTAATCTTCGATCTGGGATTCGACGTGACCGGGGGGCCAGAAGGAGGAGTTCTGCCCAAACGAGCAAACTTATTGGGGCGTGGTGTTCTGGGATTGAAGCTGAGGGTGCAGGCTCTGAATTGCCCGATCGTATCCAGAAGCGCAAAACCGCCTCTTCCCGAGGCCGGCTTTGCGGCATGGCAAGGCTGTAGCTTGTGGGCGAGCAGATGATACGCAGCTGCCCAAGGAATTCAGTGAACGTCGAGAGACCTCAGCAGATAAGCAAACTGTCAGGCCGGAGCAAGCGGTTGTGCCTCTTTGTCGCGGGGACGTCCGCGGCAGTGCGCCTGCGAGCAGCGCCCCGGCCTGAGAGCCTGCAACCTGCGAAAGCACCCGATGCGCGCGAACTTGGCGGCCAGGCTTTTGCCCTCTTTGGCTTCGTTTCGGCACGGCGGTCCGTTGCCTGGGCCGCCCGGGCCTGCTCGCCCCGGAGGCGTCTCGTACCAAGTGGCCGGCAGTTGGCTGAACTGGGAGCTGACAGAGATGCTTCAGGATCCCATTCTGCCAGCTCTCTACTACTTTGATGTGGAGCCGCAGCATGCGCAGCATGGAGCGGACTGCTACCGCTACGCTGACGGCGATCTGGAGTACGGCTATGAGTTCCAGATCGTTCAAGATGCCGATTGGAAGCAAGTCATTCATCCCCAAAACGAACAGTCAGACGTCTCCTACGAGGCAGTCGGCCCCGATTCCGAAGGCCATGGGCTGAACTGGTTCGTGAGCGGCGAAGGCTTCTCTGGCTTTCGCATAGAGGTCCTCGCGAACGCGAACGGCAGCCTTGGGATCCAGGTGGCTGTGAGGTTTGACTCCGACGAGTTCTCCGAAGCTTCCGATGGAATTCTTCAGGCCAGGACCGAAGCCCTCGAAGAGGCCGCGTGCCGAGGAAGCTGGCAGGCCGTGCTGTGCAGCCTGGCTGCGCTGCGACAATGGGGGCCTCGGCCCAGTGCGGAAGTGCTGGGCTTGGGTGTTGCGGCATGTGCCGCCTATGCCAACCACCAACACGGCCGGGACGTGTGGCAGCAGGCCGTGCTGCAAGTGTGGGTAGTCTGAGTATCCGAATGACGTGGATGATCTGCGGCGTGCAGGCCATGCTTCTGCTGGACCAGATGTGGGCCGCAGAGTGTCCTGGCGTGAGCCCCTCGCAGCAGGACCCTGCAACCCATCAATGCGCAGGTGTTGAGTTTGACCTGGGTGCACAAACAAACAACGCCTTGCAGCTCTGCCTCCTGGACCGGGCCCGGCACTTGAGCCAAACAAGCAAGCATTTCTTGCCCACCCCGCCCGGAGGGCTGAAAAGCTTCTTCCTGGTCCTGCCTTTCCACCCTTTGCCTTCGTCACCGGGTGACTCTGTTGTCTTCATTGTCCGAACTCGGAGCACCGAGAACCGATCAGAAAGGGGGGTCTCTGTGATGGTGCGCGGAAGGGTATCAGGCGCACCAAGCCGGATCGGTAACATACCTCAGGCTCGTCGCATGAGGTGCCAAGTGTGTTGGCCGGAGAAGGCCGCAGGTTGCGGTCCTAACTTACAGCGTACAGAAGAATGATCATTGCTCAGCAGAGTCTCAACATGTCTCAACAACACCCCGACTGTACAGCAAAGGCCAAGGGGAGTCCAACGGCAACAAGCCCCGCTGGATCCGGAAGCCCTGCAGGACTACGCGCGCCTTGCGCAGCTGTGCCGCGACGCGGGACAGGAGCAAGCTGCTAAGCAGCTGGAGTCGGAGGCAGGGCGTAAGAAGTTGTGAAAAGGTCCAGTGGATGCAGTTTGGGCCTACTTGGCGTCAACGGTTTGACTCACGCAGGTGGCCTACTGGGGCTGCGAGGACGTGAACTTCCAGATTGTCCCAGGCTTCATCTGGAACCGCCAGGCCTAAAGCTTGAGTTGCTTTGCGCTTCTCATCGGGGTGGTGCTCGTGCGGCATCAAACTGAATGCACAGATTTGAGTCAGAGTGTGCGGCAAGGGGGCCTGGTTGCTAGGGCCTAAGAGCCTCGCGAGAGGTGCGCATGCTGGGGGGCATGATGCAGAATTGCTTGTCCTGGACTGAATCTGGGATCTGGGTTTCGCGGAACCTTGAGAATGCAAGCATTGTTGACCGACAACCGGGAGGACGTTGGGTGCTGCGATCCCCACCGCGCAGCACTCTGCTTGGCTCCTGTCCGGGACCTGGTATTCTCCCGAGAGCTTCATGCCCGGCATGCCCACACACAGAGAAGATCAGAGAAGGGTTCGGGAAGTTTGCTGAGTTGCGAAGCACAGAAGCTTCACACTAAGCCAGCAGAGCTGTGTATCGGGTTGGGAGTAGCCGGCTAAGCATGGTGATTGCCCCAATGAACGACAAGAGAGCTGGTGTAATTTTCGCGATATTCTGTCTGGAGACCAAGCAGTCTGTGTGCCAACAGCGCACAATGACGGTCCGGCTTTACTGCTGCAGGCCCTGCACGGACCGTGCAGCGCGTGAGATTGCTGAGCGAAAGCATGCATGGGAGGAGGCCTGCAGCCGAATCGAGATGCCCAGGTATCTCAATTTCGTGTCATGGGATAGCTCTTGACTTTCATGACATGGCCCACTTCACCCTTCGTAGTTATGAGAATGAAGCAAGAGGTGTAGAGGCCAGGCACTAGCTCCGTGAGTTGAGTGTAAGATGTTGCAGACGTGTGGCGTTAATCGCTTTGTCGTGCTTTGTTCCTCTGGTCTCCTCCAATCTGGGCAGGCTGGCTGGCGCACCCTCACCTGTGACCCAGACCTCGTGGAAGCATTGGATGACAAGGCCACAGACCCAAGAGTAAAGGGGCAGGTCGAGCTGAGACAAACTGAGACATGCTGGCAGAATCTGTGAGAGTCGAGCGGCGTAGCTTGCAGAATCAATGAGGAGCATGGGGTTTGCGCTGGTCAGAAAAGGGCATGGGCAGGTCAAGCTCTTTGAGCATGCGCAAGGGCTTGGGCTCGGCGGCTTCTTGCCGCAGCGGTACACCACAGCCGAAGCGGCTACTTATCCGTGCGGCTTGACCAAGACAGCTGACTGTACTGTAGGAGCTCTTGACTGCCTTGGTATGACTCTTCGAAGTCGCAGTCTTTTGTGGAGAGTCTGGCGAGTCTTGAGAGCAAAAGGCATGCTGAAGCCTGCATCTGGACAGTACGGAGAAGGCAGGCATCATCTTCATGGCAGACCATGGCTGCAGCCCTCTTCTTGCTCATGCACGTTCATGCCCGCCGGAGCAGGTGCCCGGATTGTAAACAACTCCGCAGACGTTGAGTGTGTTGTCGGCTTGGATGTTGGCACCGACTGGGCCAGGCACTCAGGTTAGAGCTGTTTGTTTTTCTGAGCGAAAGGGTCACCCTCGGGACCAGAGGTGCTGCAAGAGATGATTCCGGGGCCGTACGAGTACTCCACGTCCTTGTTGGTCTGGCAGACGCCTGAGTCGGTCTCGAGTCGGGGCCCCGGCGGTATGTTGTGGTGTGAGGCATGGGGATGTTCTAGATGCGATCACGATGAAGTACCACTATGACGGCACGCTCTATGTGTGGCCGCATGTGCGAGAGATTTCCAAAGAGATGCTTCTCGGCTGGGTTTTTGGACGGGTCGTCTCTGCTGCCTTTGTCTAGACACATCCCTAGTGTGGAGTGAGACGTCGGAGCAGATGCAAGCGAAGGTGTGACACTCCTGCTGAGCACCTGGCCATCATGACCAAGTTTCTGACTGGCTACAGACGTTTGGCGGCAGAGTCGCTTGTTCCTTCCATGAGATCATCCAGTCGCGCTGCTGTCTTGAAGGCGGCATCTGCAATTTCAACTACAAGCGCCGGCCGGACGGAAGGCGTGGGGCCGGGGAGCCCTCTTCCCGTGTCCAAGTAACTTATCATCCTGCCTTCTGTGAGGCCCTGCATCTTCGAGGTCAATCCCCGAATTGGGGCTGACCTAGCTGGTGACGCGCCCAAGCCGCGAGCACGTGCCTTCTTTGATAGATTCGCGGAGATTGGGGGAAAATGCGCCTGCACGCAGTCAGCCCTAGACGCTAGACATCTCCTGACTGCAATCCTACACTAGTGGGAACGACTCCTGCCGAATCAGTTTTCAACAGTGCTTGATGCAACACCTCAAGTGCTTTTTTTTGGGAGGCCCTCCGCAGCCTCCGAAGGGTGCAGGAAAGGCACAGGACTTAGGCCTCATTGTTAATGACGTGTTAAAGGCTTCTGAGTTTCTTCATGGAGCTAAGGCGTACATGGGCGGTCCCGGGCCAAGAGTGAGCCACAAGTACAGTACCAGTAGGTCTCCTGTTTGGCAAAGCTGTCGAGCTGAGGCCCCATGTCACCCGGCATGCAAGTGCCTGGCGTGGGACCGCCCGTGGACATGGCCATGGCAATGGGCATTCCTGGCGCAATTCGATACCCTGGCAGTCTTGTTGTCTAGATGTCGGGGGTTGGGGCACCGGTGCCCGTTCCGTTTCTCATTCAACGGCCGTGAACTGCCACGCCCCTCGAGTCGCTTTCGCAATGCAGTTTGTCCCGGACACGCAGATGGCACCTCTATTTCTGTGCATCTGACGACGAGCCAGACCGACTTTTAGAAGACATGCTGCCAGAGTCAGCTTCACTGAAGCGTCCTGCAAAGGGCATCGCTGCTTAATCCGGAGCTTTTGAAGACTCCATCGGGATCTTGAGGTGCTGGCACGTGCTGGTCCAGCTTCCCAAAGGCTCCGCTTCTTCTTCAAACCGTCTCTTGTCATCTCCCAATTTGCCAATCGGATGTCCAGCTTCGTCAAAGAGGCCAAGATCCGTACATGCTTGTGGCGCCCGTTGGTTGCAGCTGGGCGATCGTGCAGGAAACTGCTTGAAGACGCGTTGGGAGCAAGGAGCAGTGGAGTCAGGAATGGTGCTGGAGGTGGCGCTCGCCCCATGGTTGTTCTCTCGAACTGTCAGCATGCTCGTGCATTGATTGATGTAGCCAGCCACCACAAGTTCAGACACGATTCAAGATGGTGGAGGAGCAACAGTTCAATGGTTTGCAGTCATGGGTGGTTCTTGGGTACGCAACATGCCTGTGTAGCTGCGTGCCTCACTTAAACAGGTCAGGGATTCATCATTGTCCACAGAGGCTCTGACACGGCCAGTTCGGACTCGCCCGCCAACCGTTTTCAGCAGATATGCCCAACTCGACGGTCGTCCTGATGTGAAGAGTTGGCCCTCTCCGCCAAGACCACTTTCTTCAAATTAAATGAAAGTCCGCCGGTTTTGAGGCATCTGAATAAGACCATATCTCGCAGCAGGAACCAGGTCCTCCAACCCGGAACAAGACACGTGCACAGAGTTAGACATGTTAGCTTCAATTCTGCGAGTCCATGCTCAGCATATCACAGTCGAGTAAGCTCTCTGGAAGACTTGTCGCATGACGCCCTCCGCGTCCTCCCCAAGATTTGACATGCCAGGCCTGCCTGCCATGGGCCCCATGGGCCTGGGAGCTGACATGGGCAGCTTGGCTCTGACTTGAACCTGGTGAACATGGTAATGTCATGTTCTCACATGTTCAGGAATGGGCATAGCGGCCCCTGGAATGCCCATGGGCAAGGCGGTATTTGGTTTCGGGTTGCGGTTGCCGGCTGGAAGGCGCACATTCGGGCGTTCAAGGTTGTGTGCCATCTGTCAGGGAGACCCCATGATCATGGCCAAGGGTGACATGGGGAAGTTTGGAAAGGCCGCTTGCAGGAGTAGAGCAGTTGGTTTCCGGCACTTTCCAGCCTTCTAGATACAATTTTCCCAAGAGACGGCAGGGTGCAAAAGGTTTCTCGGCGAACGCGCAGCCGGATGTGACGCACCCAGATGTCTCTGCCAGTGTGGATCGAATCGCCTCGAATGCTGGCCACAGTCCAAGGTGCAGCAAGTTCTCGGAGCGTATATTGGCCAAATCAAGAGCTTCAATGCCCTTTGGATGCCAGCTGAGGGTTGCGAGTTGCCATGGCTTTCCGGCCAATACGAGTTGCTTTGCGTGGACTGCATGCGTGTAAGGCAACGCATGGATTTGGCTTTATCGTCTGCGAGGGCTTGCAGCAGCAAGGCTTCATGCAGGATGCCGGCATGCTCAGTGTTTTCCCAGCGCACCCAACAAGCTCGACGTGGGACGCGATCGGGCTTTTGTGTTTTGCAGCTGCTTTACGCAAAGAGAGAGCTGTTCATCTGCTGGCGGCCACGTTGATGTGCCGCCTCACCGCTTGCTAGCTTCCATGGCTTGCTACGCAGTGTTCTTGTTTGCCGGTATTCCGTCGTGATTAACTCCCACATGCTAATCACGAACAAATCTCCGAACTGTTGCTGTTAGCCATGGCGGTGCAGCTGTCCTCGCCCCTTTTCCAAGCGCGTCTGCTGGAGCTTTCCCAGCCGAGAGTGAGAGCCGCACCCCAACGACAAGCCATTGCAGACGCTTTCCCCCAAGCTTCTGCCGTTCCGATGCCCGTAATCGCTGGCGCCGTGGCCGGGGCTGCCTTCTCTCGGTTCAGCGAAGGGAGGCATGCGCGGTGTGGGCATCGTGCGCATCGCGGAGTAGCTGCCCGTGCAGCCTCGGCGAAGTCTGAGCTACTGGAGCTCCTCTCAGGCGAGAACTGGGATGCGAGCCGAGTGAACGCGGCACAGAGAGTGGAAGACCTTGTGGCAGAGCTGGTCGAGTCTTTTGACAAGACCAAGCTCGCAAGTGAGGAGGCCCAAAAGCTCCTGGCAGGAAGGTGGAAACTACTCAACACCTTCACCCCGGGCCAAGCAGCGGCGAATCTTTTCAGCCTCAAGAGCTGGCAGGAATATGTCTTTGGGAAGGGACCATCTCCAGTTCAGGCTGCCGCCTTCACCAACAGCGCTGTCCAGAAGGCCGCCTAGAGGGGCATAACTGCATAGTGCAAAAGCAAGAGCATCTTGTCGTGTGGCGAGAAGGAAACTAACGCTTACACTGCGCCGGCAAAACCGACCTCATGAGGCTTCGACACAGGTCTCGCAGCGCCCTTCGCGAGCATTTCTTACATGTTACGTTGACATTTCGAGTTCATTCCCGGCCTGTCGTGTGGCCAGGCCATTGGGCCTCCGAGACGATTACTTGAAACTAGTGACTAATGATTATAGATAGCTTTTGATGGGTTGTATCAAATGCCACTACCAATCTGTGCTGCTCTGTTTCTGCATGTTGCTGCAAGCGGACAGGTCTACCAAGCCCTGGACCTCACTGCCACGCCGGGTCGATGGTACAACGTCATCGACGCCTCTCCGCTTGGCATTATTTGCCTCGAGGCTGACCTCAGCACGGAGGAGCCCCGAGCTGCACTTGCACATGATAGACCGAGGGAGCTGTTGTTAAAAGCTTGTGAAACCCGATTCGATGGGATTAGGGTAGGGCCCGCATTGCCTCCCTGGCAGTTCTCCTTTGTGCCGGACAGGAGTCCGACTTGCGCTTCCAGTGGACAGGAGGCCGGATCGTGATCCGAAGGCCGCCCTGGACAGACCGCGATCTCGATGAGCCCATCCGTTTGCCGTACCCGGCTGCTTGGATACAAAAGCGCTCAGGCATGTGGGGGGCGCGGGGTCCCGGGGTCGGTTGCAGCCTTCTTCAACGGTTTCTGTTTTCATGAAAGGTTCCTTTCAAGCTGCTGGGTGATCGGGCACGTGGCATTTTTGAGACGGACTACCTCGACGACGACTTGCGTGGTCCGTCTGCACATGATCATGAGGCTCATGCACGTCAGAGCACGTCGAAGTGTGCCAAGGAATCTCGAGAGGCTCCAAGAGTGGGAGCGTCTTCGTCCTGACTAGGGTTCGACTCTCGACTGCAGCTTTGCTCGACCGAAGCATCCGCCTGCTTGCAATGCCCATCCTCATGGTGCCTCCTTACTGATCAGGCGATCCGCTGCCGATGGAAGACGAACTCGGCAAGATTGTCTGAAATTTTCCATCGAAAAATCGATTCAATGCGGCGGCAAAATGTAAGGAATGAGGCATGTCCATATTCGGCTTTTCTAGAGATTAGCACCGGTTTTGTGGCTTTATTGTTGGAGTGACGCATGACGCATTAGTTAGTTTGCGGATTCCAAAAAGGACCCTAATTTAGGCCGCTGCCCACTTGCATCCTTGCAGTTGAGCACTTGCATTCCATGATGCTTCCGATGCCGGTATGGGGAGTAGCGAGAGCAAGGTCTACTTGCATCACAACCAGATCGGCGAGTGCCAGCCCGGTCAGATGGCCAACCTGGCCTGTTGCCGTGTGGCTTTCGTTGTCGTGTGGATTGTGCCAAGCCACGACACACCTTGGCTTCGTGCCCTTTGTGGCAGGTCTCCTTCACGGCGTACCTGAACAAGAAGGGTCAGCCTCAAGCCATGGATCTGAAGGCTGGGCCGCTGGGCCTCCTGGGCCTGGGCATCTGCACCTCAGATCCGCTCGTGCATTCTCGTGGCGTAGGCATGCTGATTCGACCTGCTGCCACTCCGTCGGTCCTGCATTGGAGTCCCAGACTCAGCCCCGCAACTCGCAGCTGAAGCCTGTGTAGAAAGCACAGCGTTTCACAGCATCTCAAAGACTGAGAAAGCGCTGCAATTTGCAAAGCGCGCGAAGTGCCCCTTCCCATTATGTGGGGAGTTGAGTCACGCGGCAAGTCCTGAGACCATGGAGTTGGCAGAGTGCTGCGAGAGCAGCCGTGACCAATCGCGATCTCGACTTGAGGGAGGGTGGAGGAGCGGATCCCGGTTGGCCCTCCCGTCTGTCAGTGCGGGTGCGGGGCTTCCGATCCTCAGCGAGGATGAGTCGGCAAGGTCCGACAGGTGGTCTGACAAGACAGCGGAGATCTGGCAAAGCGACCCGCCCTCGCGCTGCCCCGAAATCCAGCTGGGAGCGCGAAGTGGAACAAGACATCACAGTCGCATAGTGCAGCCATGTGCGGGTCGGGCTGGGGCCACATTATGCCAAAGCCCAGTGCGGCTCTTCAGCCGCGGTGTGTGCATTCCACCTCGTTCCTTGCTGTTTCGGCTCCAGACACGGAGCGCTTCCCAGTTTGTGCGACCGGGCTTTGAGGTGCGACGATCTTTGCCCAAACAAGCATGTTGGCTACAGAGATCTACAGAGCCTGTTGCAGGGGGATCCTGCCGAAGTTGTTGAAGCTTGAAACCATGGACGCGCCGCCAGGATCCCAGGGAAGTCTTTCTCTGGCGCCTCCGTTTCCCCCTGCAGCGCCGTTTCTTTGATTCTAAGGTCTGTGCTGAAAGGCCTTAGCGGCCTCGATGATGCATCGCTGACCACAGCTCGAAGCCAAGTGGGCCGAGTGAACATCGTGTCATTAGGTGCCGTTCGGGCTGAGGTCATTACTGGAGTGCTTCAAAAAAGGCCGGAGCTCGCACCGGGCATTGTCAACCTTGCAGTGCCGGATCTGGCCTTGGATTGCACTTCTGCCTTTGTGCAAACGACGGTGCGAAGAAGAAGGATGAACGCATTTGGCATGCAGTGAGGGGCTCTGGCCTTCCCGTCGTAAGGAGCTGACGTACGTCCCAGCAGATGCCCTCACCAAGCGGCGTGCGAGCCAACCTGAGCTTTTGAACGGTTGGAGGCCGTGCTCTTTGCAAACTTGACAGTCAGGATTGGCAAAATCGGGGCACCTGCGGCTACCGGCTTTTGCATCGTCGACTGTCCAGAGTTGAAGGTCGGGTCAAAAAGTGCCTCGCGCTGCGGAGATCTCTATCGCTCAGCACAGGCAGTCTTTGGGGAAGATGTCCTTGTGCACATGAACCAGGCGACGTTGCATCTCATCTTGATGATTATAAGGGGCTCGCTGCATTCGTGACCCTCGTAAGCCTGGGCTTTGTACGTCCTTGTCCTAGACCTGTGAAGCTCTGACATTCGGAGCTCGCCAGAGACGAGAGGTGGGCACCATCCCGCCGGGGACAGACGTGCACTTCGCCATTTTGCTGAACGAGGACGTTGCACATCTGCATGGCTGACACGACGAAAAGACATCCAGAAACGCCACAAAAACCTGTGGGGTTCTTCTGAGGAGCTCCGGCCCCAAGCCTTCGATTTGCACCCTACAAGCTCGAGGCTGAGAAATCAGAAACTGCGGATGAACATCTGTACAGCAGCAACACCTGGCTCTCACATAGACACCAGACCTGACAAGGTTCGATGGTTCGTGGGAAGGGCATGGGCAAGGCCGGCAAGGAACGGAGCTCAGACAGAGCTTGGGCGCTGAGTTCCTCTGCCCTCTAGCCTAGCAGCTACTCTTGCACCTAGGCTCGTGGCTTTCGCAAGGGTGGAGTCCCCAATGCCATCGGCTCAGAACGCTCAGAACATGCACATCGGAAAGCACAGGGCTGTGATGCCTGGGGCGAAGAAGTCTAGCCAGACCTTCCGACTTCCCTGCGACCAAATAATGGCCGACCGATTTACCAGAAGACTGGTAAATAGGTGTTTGCCCTGCTCAGGCAGCTGGCTACTTGGGCCCCAGTGAAGACAAGCTTTTGCCGACAACTCAGTCATTGCCACTGACAGTACATCGCTGATGCAGCGATTAGGACAGGCATAGATTTCCCGATGATTTCAGTTCCTCCTTGTCTGTCTGGCCTTTTGCAAACTGGCATCTAGGTGTCGGGTGCCTGTAACTCATACAACATGTCAACATCCACCCTTGATGAAGTTGCGAAAGTGTTGCAGTCGGTTATCGTCTTTGGAAACTGTCCATCAGGCAGGGCTGAAGCCCATCGAGCAAGCGATGCTCGAAGGGGCGAACAGCTCTCTCTGTCTAAAAGGCAAGAGGCAGCAGCCCGTTCTGTTTTGGAGCTGGACCGCCCTGTGCTGAATGAATGCATTGGGACTCGAAGTACAGTCAACCTAATTCAGTGACTGTACAGGACCCACAAGCATCTGAGCCAGAACTGCTCGAGTGCTCTTCACAGCGCTACTGCAGTTCTCGCGTGGGGGTGATGTGCATCGCTGTAAGGATGCGAGAAGCAGGGGTTGAAAAGCTGTGTCCGGAAAGACGAGTCTGAACATTGTGCGACTTGTCCTGCAAGTCCTCGTGCCTCCAATCTGCAACACTTTCCTGTGAGCATGCTGCATACCAATGTCAAGGCAGTGCCCATGAACTCGCTAGAGACTGCGAAAGATTGGGAGGGACTCAGACATGCCCTCGGGCCTCGAGAACTGAGTTCTGGGACTTCTCAGATGCAGGGATCTACCAGCAGTAGCCACTCTATCTGGATATCCTGGGGTAGAGCTACACAGCTCACAGCACCGAGCAATGTCCGAGCTCGCACTGTTCCGCCGGGGCAGGCAGCTTGTCTGCAGCAAAGCCAGGCATGCTGTCCTCTTGATGATTCACACATGGTCCAGCGACTCTAATGCGTGATGATGCAGTATGCGCTTCAGGAGACAACTGCTGCTTGCGCGGGGTGGGCCGAGGCAGAAGTGCATGAAGCGGGATGAAGCGGGTCAGCTTCATGAGACCACCCACATGTACTTCCCGCAGTGTAAATGTACATGGCCTTGAGGACCTTCATTTGCTTGGATTGGATCTTGTTCATGCGTTGCTGTGCTGACTCAACGTCTTGTCTTGGCCCATGCAATCCTGCAGGCTGGGTTCAACAGGGATTTGCAGCGGGAAGTGGCCGAAGTGGAGCCCGTAAATCTGAGCTATCGCACCTGGTGGTTGGCTTGAAGCTGAATCCACGCCACCAGCAGGCTCCTTCTTGTGTTGGCGCTGGTATCAGTCGCCGGCAGCAGGCCGTAAGTGGGATGAGATCACTGCTCCCATTGTGTTACGACAGTCGTATGAAGAAATTTAGAAGAAGCTTTGGCCACCGACCCCGAAATCCAACCATGCACAAGACGTATAAGATATGACATGATGAGATGATGGGTTTGGAACACTGACACTAGTCACTACAGTAGATAGACAATGCCAGCAGTTCTTGATACCCACGAAGATCACGGCTCTGACAGCCAGGTGCTGGCTCTCAGGAGGCGCGCTGCGGCGAGCAGCGCTGCTGTCGGTGGCCCAACTGGGCCTGCTGCCAGCAGAGGCACGCGGCTTCGGGCTTTGAGAGTTGTGGGCTGCAGGCCCGACTGCACAGATGTCTCAGGGCAGACGTTTCAAGATCTTAGGGCCTATGGCGTCAATTGTGTGGCTGGGGGCTGTCTCAGCAGAGCCGGCAGTGGCTTCGTGGTTTCGACTTTCGGACTGAAGCTCAGAGGCCTTCGAGAACCGAGTGGCCGAGTACAAGGGCCCGAAGACCCCAGGCAGCCAACCCTCGGGAGTTGGAACCGGGACGCTCAGCGGCTGCGGAGGCGCCGCGCTTTGCTGCTTCTCTGCTTTCTGAGGGTTTTCGCCCTGCTGTCGCAGGGGCTCCGAACTGCTTTTCCTCTGCACCGGGCACGGACGAGGATCACTTCCTCAAGCCCTGGCTCTATGCCTCCGGTGGCGTGGCAGGCGCCGTGTCGGACCTGCAGAAGGTGCCTTCCACCTTTCTGAAACAGAGAGCTTTCAGCCCTTGCTTGGGTTAGAGTTAGAGTCCAAAGCCGGTTCCACCTCGCTGATTCCTGCTGAGGCCTTGAAGGATTACCCTCCGGGGCAGCAAGAAATCGATGGAGGGGGCTTTGAGATCAAGAAGATGGACCTGGAGAAGGGTTACATCTACGTGCAGTTCGAATCCTTGAAGAGGGGCTACATTGACGATGTAGAGTTCCTTGTGAAACCCACAGACAAAGAGTCGGGAGAGGTTCTGGTCAGATCTGCCAGCAGGCTGGGCTACCTGGACCTGGGGGTGAATGCCAAGCGACTGAACCGACTCTCGCAAGCTCTGCGAGATGTTCCCGACGGCCGCTGGACAGCTCCAAAGATTTCCCAAGCACTCTTCCCAAGGCCTGCTCTGCCAAGCTTGATGGAGGTTTGACCAGTCTTGCCAGTCCAACGTGACAACTCATGCCCACCTGCTAATCTGCCAATCTTCGATTGCAGGTATGTGAATGAGAATCGCTGAGACGTCCCACGCGCTCCGCTCCAGGCCAAAAGTCTGGCCCAGCAATCCAGTGGAAGGTTGCGTGTCAAGACCACTTCGTTTGAGTCCTTTGATTCCATTCGTCCAACGTTCTTCACATCATTGTTGGGATGTTCCCTGTTGGTAGCTCGCCACCCTATGCGGCCAACATAGGACACGAGTGGATTCTAGATTCTTGATCAGATGGCATACAATGCCCAATGCCAATCCATTGGTCACACCTGCAACACTCCTGCACCACTCCTGCACCACTGACATTATCCTTCTGCTTGTTCATGAAGGGCAATCGTGGTGTGTCATCTAACCTTATTTGCGCTAGCATGCCTGGCACCATGCCTGGACCTGCCATCTGCATCTGACATGATGCGAGCAGCCGCGACTTCAGATCAAGACTCAAGACGTCATAATCACAGCATGAGCTCACAGTAGACTGCTCCGGTGTTGGATAAAGCTCCCGTGATTTTTCTTGAAAGCTAAGCTCAACGTAAAACATACAGGTCAGGACCGTAACCACCTGCCGTGCGCCAGCCATGGATGGCAACAAAAATGTCGGCAGTGGTGTTCCCAGTTCAGTGACAAGATGTACAGTTCATGAAACGACGACTGACCAGCAAATCTTGAGGCGATGCCAAGACTGTCGAGCCTGTGGAGTACAACGTGCGTGAAACCTGCTCAAAGTTTTAAACTCAAGCTCCGATGTCTGCTGAAAACGAATTACCTACTGTTGCTGGGAAGCTTCGTAGAGAATCGGCTGAGGACTTGATTTTGTACGCCCTTGGTATCGGCAGTGAGGATCTTCGTTATATTTACGACGCTTGATGGCAAGGTGCTGTGATGCCTTCGCCTGGGAGCTTTCCGGTCCGTTGACTCGAGGAGAAGCACGAAGACTTCGCTGCATTTCCAACCTACCCCGTAGCTCTTCGGCCGCAGACGAAACCTCCAAACACTCCCAGAAAAAGCCAAACTTCCACGCTGTCTAAGCTTCTCGACCTCAACTTCAGGTTCTGTGCTACAAGGGCGTCTCGTACGATGCGCTGCCGTTTCCTTCGCCGATTTTGGTGCCCAGCCGCACAAATCTCGGAGGTTGCATACAGCTGTGTCGCAAGTCAAATCTATACGGTCTTGCAGTAGCTTGCAAACATCTCAACAGCGCGGCTGTTCCCAGGCGGCCTTCCCCAACCCTCCAATGCGGAATGCTCGTGGACCCTTGGACGCGGGCATCAGCCTGGAGCGTCTCGCGGAGCTCCCGAAGGGAGGAGGCCGCCTAAAGCTCGCCGGAGGCGGGGCAGGGGAAGAGGCGAGGTGATGAGGTGAGAGCAACAGGTTGAAAAAGGGTTCGGACTCAGGTGTTGCAAGCGCCCACAAGAAGGGCAAGGGCGCCTTGGTCGAGCGAGCCTTCGATCTGATGGACGACGCAGGCCGGCTGCATGTACCTGCAAGTGTCTGCAAGTGTCGACATGCGGCAAGGCAAGGTCTACTACAAGTTTGTGGATGCCAGCTTCGTGGTCGGTGCAGACGGCTTCGAGGACTTTGGTCCTGTTCTGACAAAGCCAGTGACCGTGCCGTCCACTCCGCCAAAGCATCGAGTTGAGAGCAAGATCGATCCTCGGGCCGCAAGCCTCTACCGCCTGTCCGGGGACTACAACCCTTTGCACGTGGACCCCGAGTTTGCAAAGATGTCCGGCTTTGACGCGCCGATCCTTCACGGCAAGTGTACATTTGGCCACGCCACACGTGCACTTCTGGACACGCTGGCAGCTGGCGATCACCGCAGGTTCCGCAGCTTGCAGCTCCGGCTGGTGTCGCCGGTGATTCCGGGTCAAACGCTGGTGACGGAAATCTGGCAGGTTTCCGCGGAGGACTTCCTTTTCCAAGTTTTGATCAAAGAGACGGGCAAGATATGCATCGGCAACGGACGTTTCCAGCTCACTCCAGCCAGCAAGATGTAGAAAGACACTGCTCAAATCTGCTCAATGCATTCGCGACACGTTGCTGTTTTTACACCTTGTATGTCTGCTGATTCTGAGCAGCTTCCTGGACGAAACATGCGGCAGCTTCTCTCGCCAGCTTGCTGCGTGTGCAGCCTCAAGCTTATGCTTACCTCGTATGCGTAGACATGAGCTGGAGCGTCTAGAATCTAGAGATCGGATAGATCGGCCACTGGACACAATCTTTTCAGTTAGTCGCCACTGCCACCAAGCTGTGAGACGGATTTCTTGGAACACGAGACCCGCTGCAGTCATGGCACTTGCCCTTCCTCGAGCTCCAATGCCGACGCCGCCGACGCCCGCTCGTGGCGGAGTCCGGGTTGAAGCCTCGTGGGGCACAAGGCTTCAACCCATGACGTTCCTGGCTGTGTTAGCGCCCAGGGCGGTTGGAGCCGTGAACGCGGCCGGGAACTCAGCCCAACCGAGAGAACCATGAACCATCCATCCTAGTCCTATTCTCACTGTGGCCGCTGGGCCGAGGATGTGTTGCCAGACTCGCGGTCGGAGTCGTTGCATTTGCCGTGCTCGGAGCTCAGACTCCTTGCAGTCCTTGCATCTCCGCACGCCTCTTAGCTCGGAGCCGAGGATTTCGACTCCTGGCCTGGGATTTGCTCCGGGCTCCAGGCCGCGACCGGCCCTTCCTTCGTCAACAAGCCGAAGCCTGGCAGAACTCGCACGCTCGAAAGCCTCGGGAGAAGCGGATATTTCAGAGTGTCCTAATGAGGGGTTCGTGGCTTGGATCCTCTTCTTTTGGGGTCCTTGGAGCAGAGCAGCGACCTGCGGCAGGACCTCCGAGGTTGCTCGGCCCCGGCACGTGGGGCTGTCGGCGAAGTCCGCCCTTGCAGCCGTTGCACCTGGGAGCCCCAAACCCCTTTTCATTGCTTCCACTCGGCAGTATTTGAGAGAGATGCTGGAGGTAGTGCGACGTGCGACTATCATGCTGCCAATCCCTTCAACCGCCCCGTCACCAGGTATGACAAAGACAAGCTGATGAATGAAGCTTCCTTCACCGAGGGCGCGATGAGGTTCCGGCACAGCACGCGAAGCGAAGCTGTGGTCAGAACCTGGTACAGCAGACCCCCAGACCACAGAAGCAGGTCCTTTCAAGATCTCTTCAGGCCCAAGGATGCCGAGTTGAGCCCTGAGGCGAGGCGAGGCTCTGCGAGAGTGGCCAAGCGCGCGGGTGTCTGCAACTGACTTCAGAGGAGATAGAGGAACAGCTGCGGCAAGAAGCCTCCAGTGCCGCAACTGAGGGTGTCGAGCCGCCCTGTTTTGAAGCAGGTCTTGCTTTTAAGCAGCCGAACCATCTTGAACCCAAGCGCCAGGCGATGCAGTCGCTGAGATTGGACGTTATGTCTGGGGAGGAAGACGAGGAAGGCCTGGCCTCTTTATGACCATGCAAATTGAGCCGTGTGCTTTACAGAACAACAGTTAGAAGTTAGAAGGGTCTTCCTGCCTCCTCCCTTCGGTCGAGTCATGCTGTTCTTCGGCTGCCCAGCGCCGCTGGGCCATGCCGCAGGGGGACCGCTCGCGCTTTTGTAATTCTGGGCCGCTGCTCTTCCTGTCTGACTTGCAACACCAATCTTTTCAGTTGTTGCCTACAAGGCTTGCCAATCCGACGCGCTGCTCCCATCTCCGTGCTGCAGTCGAAGGCCGATGGACACATGTCACAAGTAGCCGGCCTCACAGCGTGCAAGCCATACATGTCGGAAGGCAAAGCAGAGCCTCGTCTTCTTCGCCGTGCTGTCCCCGTTTTGGCTGCCTTTTCCTTCCGAGCTTCGGGATGCAGGGGCCGTCCAGGATGTTACTGCGTCTCTCATTGAGACATACTGCCACGCCTCCCCAAGTCTTACACTGTTGGTTCACCCGACACCCTACGTTGCGACTCGTGTGGGTAACTGCAGGTGCCGAAAGAGCGGGAGGAGCTCGTCACCGACGTGTTGCTATCGATGAGGCCGCAACCTTCTCCACTGGTTACCAAACGAAGTGTAGATTAATTGGACATGGAGATGGCCACAGATGTTGGCGGTTGTGAGGATCGAGGCCAAGGATATCTCCGAACGAAATCTTCTGCTGGTCCCTGCGCTTGCCTCAGCAAAAACGCATGCGACTTCGACTTGAATTTCAAAACAAGATTTGCTCAGAGTGGCCTCGGATTTGGAGGCCATTGTTGACGTGTCCTCGAAGATGCTGCTCGAGTTTCCGCCCAACATCAGGCCGCCTCCCGCAAAGCCACTTCTTGCACTCTCTCTCTCTCTCTCTGTGCAACGTGGCTTGTCAGCTTGCACCATGGGTTTTAAGGACTCTTTCCGTTTATCTAGAAATGTCCGAGCAGGAATGCCAAGCTCATGCGGCAGAAGTCGGTGGCTTTGCCGGTCAGCTCCGATGGGCAGGAGCTCGGCAGCGGGCAGCGGCTGACTCTGGCACTGGGACCAATGGCTGCCAGGCCGCTGCCTGGGGTGCGCTCCTCGCGGCCGAGTTCGAGGAGGCCGATGAGCAGGACATTGGAGACCAGGTGCGGGCAGCAATGCCGACATCGACCAAGCTTGCCATGCTTTCGATGGAATCCTGCTGGAAATTTTGTCTTGAGGTCAGACAGATGGGACTGGCTCTTGTGGTGAGGCCATGTCTGAAGCATTGCCGGTCAGAGGGCTTCGTTTCTGTCCTGGTGTTTAGGTCGGATGGTTCCATCGTCCGCAGAGGTGTCGGTCGACCTCAGTGGAAGGCCTGAGCAATGTGGGAGGGGAAGCCCTCATCTTCTCAGCCCAGTTATGTTGATGAACCCTGGCTTCGGCAAGCCTGCAAGACCCAAAGCCATCGACGCCGAAAGCCGACGGATGTCAAACCGAGGGCTGAAGTTAAAGAGAGGGATTCCGAAGGCCGCGACATTGATGCCTCGTCAAAGCCCAGTCCCTCGCAGGTGGTCTTTGACGAAACAGACGACTGAACTCGGATTTGGGCTCGGCGCTCTCTGATTCGAGAAGCTCAAGAAGGAGTCGGATAGTTACCCCTCAAGGGGTACAGTGGATGCAGCTTAGAAGCCCAGAGTTCGGAGAGGTGCCGAAGAGTAGCTAGGCAACTTTCTCAAAGAGGTGGAGGGCTTAAGGCCCGACCTCGGTGAAAGAGAGAAATTTTCCTTCTTGCGCGACCAGGCAGAAAGAGCCAGAAATGATGTGGATAGTAGTGCTTTTCTCTTGCACCCTGAGCAACGGTTCTGTTAATGGCAGCAGCCTCATTGACAACGAAGCATCTTCGGAACTCTGCGGCCTTTTTTGGAGGCGACTCGGGAGGAATGCGACTGAAGTAAAGCCTCAAGGCAGGATGCATACAATTCCGGGCGGAGCAGACGGCAACAATCGGCAACGAGCAACATGATCGGACAAACCGCACATATGGCTGCAGAAGGCAAGCACCGCTCAATTGCCACGCGCCTGCCGCGGGCCTTCCAGGGTCTTTGCTCCCTTTGGAGCCCGGCATGCCGCAAGAGCTTTGCGGGATGTCCTTGCTGAGCTGGTCCCTGGGAGTCACTGACGCCCATGCTGACGCGCTTCTCCTCGGCTCGCAACTCGCCAAGCCGTACCAGCCGGAGATGCGGGCTGCCTGCGCAGGCTGCGACGGGTTTGCTCGCCGCTGCGCAATGAAGGAGCCCGTCACACGGCGGCGCGATGCTCTGCCCAAATCCCAAAGCTGGTACAACGTTCACGAGTCGCCGGTGACGGCCTGGTCGGAAGCATGTCGCGGCACACAGCACACTTTCGGGGCCCATACTGTCAAACAGAATGCTTGGCCACTGTTTGCTGCGAGCTGGGATCCAACGCGTCATGAGAAAATCGCCGCACAGCGGGAGAGAAAGTTTGGCAGACTTGCGAGACGGTGGCGATGACCCGAAATTTTTGAATCGCACATTTTTTTCGTTCAGCAGACGCTTGGCATGATGTCGTTGATTCGCTAGAACCCGATGTCCGTACAGGACCGTAGTCTTCGACTCGAACGGGCAAAATGCAAAGTTCAAGTGGGCCCTCAGGTCATTTTGTTCGACTCCTCACTCAGTTTTTTTTTCGGGTTGTTGCGCGTGCTGGCACGTGCCGGTGCTATGCTGGTCTGACCACTGTGTCGGCACGCAGTTCCGGTCTAAAGGTGTGAAAAAACCATCTGTTCCTTCTGCGGCCGGTCCAGGTGCCCTCGCACGGCATGGTAGCGGAGCAGCTGGCCATGCGCGGCTCGGCAATGGCGAGCTGGACCGCGACGGAAACAAGCCTAACCAAACTCGCAAGGCCGGGTAACGTTGAACGTGGTGGCAACGTTCCAACGGGGCGAATGGAGACAACTCATGACAGCTTCTCATTGCCGCACGGCCCTGTGCCAGGCAAGTTCTGACATGCACCCCGGCACAATGGCCGCATGGGACGCGCTCACCGCTCGTGAAGAGCTTGCCCGGGGTGTGGGCCGCACCGCCCGCCAAGCCGCCTCAGTACCGCGCTTCGGTGCTGAAGCTACCAGCCTCCCACCACTCTTCCGGGCCGCTGCCTGTGCAGTCTGGGTCCAGCGATGTCCAGCGCTGGTCCGGCCTCCTTGCCGTCCCCGCCATGCGTGCCTTTGCCGCGTCTCTGCTCGAGCTGCCGCCCGCAGGTGACAATTGGTGACCCTTGCGATGCTGCCCGACCTCTACGAAGTAGTTGCCGAGGTCCGAGGCGGCCCTCCGCTGGTCGCTAGCCGCTTGCTGGGGGAATAACACCACGTGCACCGTGGCCGCGGCCACTGTTCGAAAAGAGGCGCGCGCAAGAAAACGCGGAGCGGCAGAGGATCTCTAGGAGACAGTGGACGCCGGGGACGCGCCAAAATGCTAAAGCATGCTAAAACCATGGGGTTACCCTGTATGATATAAGACAGCTGCAAACCTCGCCTTGCCGCTCATCGAAGGAGGAATCGCGAACTTGCTTCTGTCCAACTGAAGCAAGTTGTTCTCCGGGTTGGAATGCATTGAGTGATCACTCGTGGCACGAACAGCCCAGGGTTCGACCCGATCATCGCATTGTCTGAGATAGCGCTGCTGGTTCCGTGTGTTCTCGTGCATCTGGATCTCATGGATCTGGTCTTGCATTGAGACGAGGCCTTGTGTGTTGGCCATGCCAAGAGGACCAGAACCTGCGGGAGGATCCTTTACCCTTACTCCAAGGAATTGAAGTCTGATCTTTGCCTTGTGTCTCGTGGTGGCGGCGATCATGTTCCCCTGGAAGAGCAACTGCAACCTTTGGTTGTACCATTGGAAGTGTCAAAAAGTGCCTTGCGCGAGCTTCTTGGGAAAGCGCTTTTTGATCATACATAAGCCAAAACTTACATCGGCCATGCCGTACCGCGTCCAGATTAGCTTGCATGCTGCAGTACGCTGCAGTGCAGCTGGTGCGCATTAATCGCAGGTTTGTGCACCTGCGACAGTGTCCTGTTGTGCGCAAACATCACGATTCTACCGATTCCTCCCGAGTTGGTGCATGTCAGTGTGATGCATGGCTTCGGTGGGTGTCAGATGCCGCTCGATCTGCAGAATGGCTGATCTGAAACAATTGGTTGTTCTTTCTGCTTCGCGTTTGTTTTTTTATGGATTCTACTGCAATCGGCCGCTGTTGGATGCCCTCAGAAAGAGGAAAGGAAGCCAAGTGTGTCGCCCGAGTCCACAGACTCAAGGTTTTTTTACGAAGCTGAAGAGTGGGCAAGAAAAAAACCAAGACTCCCTCACGCTCATTGCTGCGTCGGAACGCGTTTCTACGCTACAACGGTCCGGTGGCAGATTTGGTCCGTGCACGTGCACCGGGCTTGTCGTGGCACCAATGCTAGATTTTGCGCTGGAGCGAGAGCGCAGTGCACACACAGCATTTGCACAAAATGGATGTTGAATTCGGCACCGCCGTTTGCTGCGAAGTTTAGTTGGGCCACCCGGTGGAGTTGATTGGACTTTGCCATGGCATCAAATATCATCAAATTTAACATTCCTGGACTGAACGCGTCCGACACTGTTGTGAACGCTTTGGTATCGAAGCATGGTCAACACAGTACTTGCGTCAATACTGGCGACTTGCCTCGTACATAGCATTGTTCCCAAGCCATCGATGGGTCAACGTGTTTTGCAATGGGATCTCCTTGGCCGTGCAACATCCGGTCGTGCGAAAATGATGTGGGATGTTAAAAAAACTGGTTGCTTTTTGCAGATGGCGAGCGCTGGGCCATTGGACCCAAAAAGCTGCATGCACTAGGACCGCGTCGTGGATTCTTTCAACGGGTGCGTGAGAAAAATAGAAAACAGACTCGCAGAAGCATGCGCCAGCCCGGACCCTATACGAGGCATTTTCAATAATAGCCAGCCAGAACGTCATACGAGGAATTTCACGTGCCAAAGTTGTGTTACAACCCGCACAATCCAGCCAGGACCCCAAGCGAGGCAATCTCCAATACTAAAGCTGTACAGCATCCGTGCACAATCCAACCAAGACTCTAAACGGCATTTCCAGTACCGAAGTTTGTACTGCTTTGTACTACAGCCCAACACAATCCAACCAAGACCTCTGCCAGCAACCCCCACCGCGTTCTCAGGCTGAAAGCAGCGAGCAGGGTGATCCGCTCATGCCGGCCCTTTTCGCGCTCGTCGTTGTGCCCGCCTTGCGTGCTGTGCAAGCCAACCTGCTTCCCCACGAGAGTTCCTCGACGACACGTACATCACCAGCCAGCGCTGTCGCAATGCATTCTTGCTGCAGGGGGTTGAGCACCACTTGTTTGCCTACGCAAACATCCCGCTCAATGCCGCCGAAACTCGTGTCTGGAATGCAGCAGGGTTCGCCTGGCCGGGCTCCCTCTGCCGCTCCACCCGGCGCCCGACCACACACAGATCTGGGTCGGCGACACTGGCTTGGCTGCATACCAACAAGGCTTCAAGGTCCTTGGGACCCCGCTCGGTACAGATTAGTTCGTTGCTGCGCACAGCACCGCGCTCTGCTCGAGCTTCTCCCCGCATTTCCCGACCTGCAAGTCGCCTGGTTGTTGGTCCTGTGCTGCGCCAACCCGCATGCACAGTACATACTCCGTGCCAGTGGCTACAAAGTGAAACGAAAACAGGTTTAATCTTTCCTACAAGGCGATTGGGCTGCTTTGTTGCAGGAGGCCTTGGCTCGTGAGCCCCCTCCAGTGACAAACCGCCGGGCACCCGAGGCGCCGCGTGATCGGGGACACGCGCCTGTGCAAAGAGCGCAGCGACGTCGGCAAACGCTTGTGGAGTCGTCGGCGTCCAATACCACGCGCACGACTTCAGCCGTGAATCCCGAGGGCCCGGGAGCCGCCCCTTTGCGCGCCCGGCGCAGGTTAGTAACTAGTGTGCCGTGCGATCGAGCTGGACAGGGGAAGAAGGATCCTAGTTAAGCAGCTCCGGGTCGATGGGTTCGTGCGGCTCACGTGGTGGGCGAGCCGGGTCGGCAAGCTGGTCGAAAGTTGCGTCGGGTGGCGGGGGCGAGATGTGTGGCAGTGATCGCCTGTCGTGCTGCTGACGGTTCGCCAAGGTGAGCTAAGTGCCGGGCTCGGCGTGGACATTCGAGCGGCCCTGGGACTTGGGCGAATGGTTGCTCATCCCCACCCCCTAACAATGCGCCTTGGGGGGGCGGGGTAGTGACTCTGGGCCCGGCACATTGTAGGGACTCTCCCGGGCTCATTTCTGTGAGAGTGGGGTGGTGGGGATAAAAATCAGCCCCGCTCTTGACATCATGTGACAGCTTCCTGCTCCGTAGCTTTTGCATGGTAGTACGTGCTACATCTTGCTACCAGCAGCAATGGTCCTCGTGAGAGTGGTTAAACCACCCCCTGACACGCGAGCATCCCCAGGAATGGAATTGGACTCATTTCCGAACCACCCCCCACTACCCACCCCCTGACAGGGGTGGGGTATGGTTGTTCTTCGCAAGCCCACCG